CCCATGGGTAAGGAGATCCACGTCTAAGGCTCCCCGTGGGTAAAGTGATCAACGTCTGAGTCTCCCCATGGACAAAGACTTGGGTAATCCACGTCTGGGGGTTCCTTTTTCTACTAAAAAGTCCCCTTTCTGGATTTCTTTGAGGCAAAGGAACCGTCTGTGGGGACCACCGTGCCGTATACCACGTTCCACATTACTCTCAGACCACAGTAAATATTTATTCTATTTTCATTGGTTGTCTTTGTTTCATTGGTTTCATTTGTTGTTTTGTGGGCCAACACTTAGTGTTACATTACAATAAAAGAAAACGGGACAAAAAGAATTTCTTGCCTTCAACTATCTGTGAAAATTGTCCATATGATACATACGTTACTGATACATAGGTGACCAAAAATATGAAGGTGTTGTTTTCTAATTTCATTGATTGTTCTCTGTTGTCATTACTGTACTTTGTGAGTGCGTGCGACGTTGTATTTGTGCGCACGCATGTTTTTTCATCGCTCATTCTTAGTGTTACGTAAATATGATACATACGTTACCAAATAATGTGAATTCATGTCAATTCACTGTATAGATCTTAAGGAAATATATAAGTATTATTTCTGATGCATCTCTGAAGATCTACTTTACAAATGTCAAGTATAATCCAAGCTTTCGGCCCCTGGGCCTTCTTCGGAAGAGGCATCCGCTTACCATGTAGCGTGTAAATACTTTATTTTTATTGTTTGTTGTCCGTTTTGTGAGCAAACGCCTTATCCTTACGGTATACTACATTCCAACAAAAAAGAAAAGCAGGGCAAGTAAAGATTACTTGTCTTGAAACCGTTTGTTGAATTTGTTTATATGATAGATATATACGTCACCAATAACGTGAAGGTATTGTTTTCTGATTTCATTGTTTGTGCATTGTAGGCCTATATGTAAGCACGCTTGTTATTACGTCGCTCATTCTTCTTTGTTACGTTAAAATGATACATACGTTACCGATACATACGGTATGGTAACATATGTATCGGTAACGTATGTATCATATTTACGTAACAAAGAAAAATGAGCGACGTAAAAACATGCGTGCGCACATATACAACGTCGCACGCAACCACAGAGTCGTGACAAAGGCCAACAAACAATGAAAAAAAAAAAAAAAAAAACACCTTCACGTTATTTGGTAACGTATATATCGGTGAGAAAACGCCTTATTCTTACGGTATACTAACGTATCCCAGGGGCCGAAAGCTTGGATTATATTTGACAATTGTAAAGTAGATCTTCAGAGATGCATCAGTAATAATAGGCCTACGTTGTATATGTGCGCACGCATGTTTTTACGCCGCTCATTCTTCTTTGTTACGCAAATATGATACATAGATTACCGTTACCATGATGCGTATAATTTGACAGGGTGTTCTAGTACCAGGGCCACAGACTGATTTTTCACTAGATATTCAAAGACACGTCTCTGGTTAAATTGAGGACAATATTCTTAGCACTTGCGTCAGAGAAAAAAAAAGTACACATAATAAAACATGCGGCCCTGGAAGACAGTAAGCTATAATAGTCTGTTACAAATTTGTTGCCCACGGTGTGATTTTTATACACTGTAGTATTTTAGTGGGCCCCTGGTGTCAGAGGGTAGTGCTACGTAATGTGAGCAAGAGGGCACCTTTGCGGGTCCACTGGGTCAAGGCTGAGGTACCCTACCCTTTGAAAAAAAAAAAAAAAAAAAAAAAAAACTTCCACTTTAGATGTGGGAAAAATCTCACTGGGATGGACTCGGGTCTAAAGCTCAAAGGAAACGTTATATGACCCTTGATGAGGAATCTGATGAATCAAAGGAATCAAACTTGGACGAATAAAACCAAATCCTGCCTTTCGAATAAATGAAGTACCAGAAGAGTGAAAAGATTGTTGGGAAATAATACATTTTTTCTGTTTTATATTTTTTTGAATGATTGTGCATATCTCTATTGCTCAACTAGAAATTTTGTCACGACTTTTACCGCGGACTATTTTCTAGTTTTACAATAACTGTGAATTAAAATTGATTCCATGGGACATTAAAAACANTTTTTTTACAATAGACTACTCATGAATAAATGTGGCGACAAATCAATTGTTTTTCCATCTTATATTAGATGAAAACGATGGAATGTATTCTCCTCTTTTTAAATTATTATTATTATTTTACTTATATTTTTATTAGGCCTATTACTTAAGGAAAAACAGCGCACTCACTTGTCAGCGTGAGAAGGCATATCAAAGATGAACGAATCTCGGTAGTTATAATAAACCGCGCTGACGTTCACAGGCACTGGGCATTCCGCTCCAAAGTCGTACACCATTTGATTGCGGTACAGCGCTCCAAGCCCACCACCTCCCAAAGGACCAGCTGGTAGAGGCTTGGGTCCTAATGAGGGGTGGGTCCCATAGGCTCCTACGGGAGAGCGAACGGGTTTTCCGGGGTAAAGCTGCTGCTGACTCCGGACGCCGTATTTCGTGGCTTGTGCCATGGAAACAAACAGGCACAAGGTTGCCAGGGTAAGGTTTGTCTGGAATGTGACAGGATATATATATATATATATATATATATATATATATATATATAGAGAGAGAGAGAGAGAGAGAGAGAGAGAGTCTTGTCTTCGGGATTATCCATTATCTATTTTCATCATTCTTGTTTGTATGGATTTCCAGCACACAATTTAATCATAAAATGTATTACGTTTCCTTGCTAAAATTCTATAGAAAAATCTCTTTGGGAGACCTTCACTCAAATGACCGATACTTATAGTTTTTTAAACTGGTTCATTAATCGAATAGAAACTAATGTGTAAACTAGTGGGATCCTACCCTCGTTTAAATAAAATTTTAAATTGTACTGAAAACTCACCAAATTCATTGTGTTCCTCTTCCACAAATCTGAATCATGAACAGATGCAAGGAGACCTTTCCGAGCACTTTATATACCCACTCTTTCTTGATTTTTACGTGAATCATTTAAAAAAAGAAATAAACAAAATATTTTAATTAATAAGGAAATGGAGTTTTTTCAGGTGACAGCAGAAGTAATAGCAGGCTTCAATTAAATAAGAAAGATATCAATTTAAAATTCTTTTTGTACCATGAAATTAAATTTCACGATCGCGTGCAACAAATGATACTTTAAAAATAAAACCCAGTTTAAGTTGAAAGTTATTGACCAAAAAAAGCACAAATTTCACAAGTATCCCTTCATCATAAGTCATATGAGAAATAGTCCATTATGAACGTGATGTCTCCGCTAAATAAAATGAAACGATTTCCATACTAACTAGGAAGATGTTTTCAATTTTTTTCTCTGAAAAAATTCATTTATACGTGTAGTGCGTAAAAGTTAACTGCAGAATTTTGACGTTCAAAAAAATACATATTAAAAAATCCCTATGGTATACAAATTTCTGTCAGTTATTTTGTTGATTTCACAAAAAAATATCCGTAGCTATTTGACTGTTAAGACGTTTTTCTTGGATTAGCTAAGGTCTAATTTAATGTAATCACGCAGGTCTATTATTTCTAACGCACGCACATATTTTTCCTGGACCATAAATTGTTATTTGTATAATTTTGAATTCATAGCATGTCATAATGAACATGGAAAAAACAATTTACAGACCCTTGAAGGCTAAACCGTACGTGTGAATCAACAGAGGGATGGGGAGGAATTATCCAGTAATTCAACCAACCGCTGCCAGATAATGGATAGATTTATATCATCGTGACATATAACATCGCTTTCATTATTACTGTTTTTTTTTTCATTTTTTTTTTGTGGAAAGAAATAAAAACATGGGACACATTGTCTATATGCCGTAAAAGGGTAAGCAATGGGGCAGGAATTCGCAAATCTAAATGACGACGGGTTCTAGTCAGGTTTTCGATTCCCCTTAATGTCTTTTTCCATTATAGAAATTGAAGAAATATGTCTATGTCTTTAAAAAATAGGCATTGGCCTTCAGTCTTGGCGATAAATCAGTTGCTTTGTAAACTAGAATATATATAGAGCTACTCTATTTAGTGTTTGGAGCTGTTTCGGTATCATTTCATTAATCAAAATGGCCGCCAAAATCATAGGAAATGATCCCCTGCCTGGAGTGTCCCCTCTTAGACTCTGCCTGAGGACCCCCATGTGCACGATGGTCCACGTCTAAGGCTCCCAATGGGTAAAGTGATACACGTCTTACGGTATACTACATTCCAACAAAAAAGAAAAGCAGGGCAAGTAAAGATTACTTGTCTTGAAACCGTTTGTTGAAATTGTTTATATGATAGATATATACGTTACCAATAACGTGAAGGTATTGTTTTCTGATTTCATTGTTTGTGCATTGTATATGTGAGCACGCTTGTTATTACGTCGCTCATTCTTCTTTGTTACGTTAAAATGATACATACGTTACCGATACATACGGTATGGTAACATATGTATCGGTAACGTATGTATCATATTTACGTAACAAAGAAAAATGAGCGACGTAAAAACATGCGTGCGCACATATACAACGTCGTACGCACCCACAGAGTCGTGACAAAGGCCAACAAACAATGAAAAAAAAAAAAACCCTTCACGTTATTTGGTAACGTATATATCGGTGAGCAAACGCCTTATTCTTACGGTATACTACATTACAATAAAAAGGAAACGCAGGGCAAGTGAAGATTACTTGTCTTGAAACCGTTTGTTGAAATTGTTTATATGATAGATATGTTACCGATATATACGTTACCAAATAACGTGAAGATTCATGTAGATTCACCGTATAGATCTTGATAAAAATAGAAGTATATATATATATTGATGCACCTTGAAAGATCTACATTATAGTTGTTAAATATAATCCGAGCTTTCAGCCCCTGGGCCTTCTTCGGGGATTATCTGATTTTTCACTAGATATTCAAAGACACGTCTCTGGTTAAATTGAGGACAATTTTCTCTGCACTTGCGTCAGAGAAAAAAAAAAGTACACATAATAAAACTGTAGTTATATACTGTAGTATTTCAAATAACGAGAAGGTTTCTGATTTCATTGTTTGTTCTCTGTTGTCGCGACTCTGTGGTTGCATTGTATATGTGCGCACGCTTGTTATTACGTCGCTCATTCTTCTTTGTTACGTTAAAATGATACATACGTTACCGATACATACGGTGGTAACATATGTATCGGTAACGTATGTATCATATTTACGTAACAAAGAAAAATGAGCGACGTAAAAACATGCGTGCGCACATATACAACTTCGCACGCAACCACAGAGTCGCGACAAAGGACAACAAACAATGAAAAAAAAAAAAAAAAAAAAAAAAAACACCTTCACGTTATTTGGTAACGTATATATCGGTAACGTATCCCAGGGGCCGAAAGCTTGGATTATATTTGACAACTGTAAAGTAGATCTTCAGAGATGCATCAGTAATAATAGGCCTACGTTGTATATGTGCGCACGCATGTTTTTACGCCGCTCATTCTTCTTTGTTACGCAAATATGATACATAGATTACCGTTACCATGATGCGTATAATTTGACAGGGTGTTCTAGTACCAGGGCCACAGACTGATTTTTCACTAGATATTCAAAGACACGTCTCTGGTTAAATTGAGGACAATATTCTCTGCACTTGCGTCAGAGAAAAAAAAGTACACATAATAAAACATGCGGCCCTGGAAGACGGTAAGCTATAATAGTCTGTTACAAATTTGTTGCCCACGGTGTGATTTTTATATAGGTAGGCCTACTGTAGTATTTTAGTGGGACCCTGATGTCAGAGGGTAGTGCTATGTAATGTGAGCAAGAGGGCACCTTTGCGGGTCCACTGGGTCATGGCTGAGGTACCCTACCCTTTGAAAAAAAAAACTTCCACTTTAGATGTGGGAAAAATCTCACTGGGATGGACTCGGGTCTAAAGCTCTAAGGAAACGTTAGGGCCTATATGACCCTTGATGAGGAATCTGATGAATCAAAGGAATCAGACTTGGACGAATAAAACCAAATCCTGCCTTTCGTATAAATGAAGTACCAGAAGAGTGAAAAGACTGTCGGGAAATAATACATTTTTTCTGTTTTTTAATGTTTTTGAATGATTGTGCATATCTCTATTGCTCAACTAGAAATTTTGTCACGACTTTTACCGCGGACTATTTTCTAGTTTTACAATAACTGTGAATAAAATTGATTCCATGGGACATTAAAAAGAATACCACTTAGAAAGTGGCCTAATTCTTTTGTTACTGCATGGTAGGCTAAAAGCATACATGTATAATGATGAAGAACTGCATGTAGTAATTATAGCGCACAGATTCCACTGTTATATTAATAAACATTAAAATATTTAGGTGTTTTAAAAAACTTTGTGTCTGGGATGAACCAGGTTTTTAACCTAATATGATATTGGCAGCTTTCTCGTTGCCGGACATAAGATTTCTTTTTGGCTTGTCATTCAGCATTATATAAAAACTAACATTAGTAAAAACTAGGGTGTGGTTGAGAAGTCACATTGTGTTAGTTGCGAACCGGAAGCAATGCTGTAGGAATGCGTGCACTTTGTTGACCTAGTTTCACCTTTCATCTGTCCGCGTGATAACTCGAGCTTTTGTTTGTGAAAGCAACAAATTTGGCGAAATTGATGAAATGGACTTCTGCTTATATTGCAGGTAAGATTCCTTTCTAACTCCCAGATATGTTACTTGATCGCCAATGCGAATAATAGTATCGGAAAATGCCCAGAAATTAACCGGCGACAACAATAACTTGTAAGTTACGTTACTCAAGTCGGAGCAGTAGTTTTTGCTTTGTATCGTGCTTGCCTTGCTGTAAACACTCTAGACTTAAATCAAACAAATGTGCACATGGGGAAATTGCATCACTGGATAGCCTTTATATAATGCGATAACAATACAAAGTAATTTTATGGCCTCTTTGGTTTTTAGTCGTTGTTTTTGCTTTTTCTGCCAAGCGATGGGTATCTTTGTTCGTCTTATCTTCACGCTTATGCTAAAGATCACGTCCTACCTTGCCGTTTATTGGCTTTGGCTGCATTATAAAAATGTCAGTTTTGTGTATCAGATGTATTTATAGTGTTTTTAATATTGTTGATAAAATGAAGTAAATCAGATGGCGAAAATACTTAAGGTTTAAAAATAAAAAACAAAGACACTTATATAAGATCCAACTTACATAATTCAAAATAGTGATGGGAATGTTCTTGAACACTATTCCAAAGAGTGACACATATATTTATTTTTTAGGTGAAGGAAAAGGGATGGAATCCCTCCTTTCATGAAGGAGCATAATTGAAGTGGGCTATGTCATAGTAAGTGATTGCAAACAGTAGATGTAAAGATGGGGAAGAAGAGGGAGCACTCTCGCGAGTCGACTCCTCAAAAACAGGACCAAATACCATCAGAGAAGAAAGCCTCACCATCTCCTAAAACCACTCCCAGTAAACAAGAATCCTGCTCTCGAGAATCTACTCCAGTTCTCCAAAAGAAAGATTCTTTGGATTCTAAGAAGTCGCAGTCAGAGGGAAAAGCTGTGCCCAAGAAAAGGGGAAGATCTCGAGAAAGTACCCCCCTGGAATTTGACGAACCTCCAGTGGATACCAAGAAATCACCGGTTCTTGAGAAAACTATAACCAAGAAAGGCGGCAGATCTACCGAATCGACTCCTCAGAAGCAAGACCAAAATTACTTTGATTCGAAAAGATCACAACCAGCTTCTAGGAAGAGATCACCAGCAAGCAGAAGTACAACCAAAAGAAAAGATTCCACAGGAAATTCAGTTTCCCAAGAAAATATAGCCCTGCAAGATTCCAGTGAAGCACAAACTGACCTTTCTAAAGAGATTAGTAAAACAGAGAATCCAGCAAAAGTATTACCTCACAGACGATGCAATTCAACAGACTCTAGGCAATCACCTCCTAAAAAGATGTCTAAGAAAATGGGAGAAGAAATCAGGGAAACATCACCTTTTGCTCAAGACAGTACTGTTTCTAAAAAAATTCTGGCCAATAGAATGCCCAGAAAAAAAGATGAAACTTCTAAAGATCTCGTCTCAGTTGGAAAGAAAATTTTGTCAAAACCGAGTTTGTTGAACCGACCCGGCATTACATCAAAAGTTTCCTCAATGCAACTTCATTCAGCAAAGAAAAAAACCAACTGTTTAAGTAAGAAAAAAACAAAAAATTCTGCTGGAGAAGATTTAGACAGCTGTACTCTTTCGACAAGCAGTGCTGTGGTCAAAGGTGTGCAGTCTGGAAAAGATGGGAAAAGGAGACAGAAAGACCGTAATGTGAATGAAAAGATGGCCTTGGATAATGATGTAGATATGCTTGTTACAAAACCTCAAATGCAGGACATGATTTCAAGAACTACTGCAAAAAGAGGTCGTAGCCGGAGCCAAAGTTCAAAAAGACTTCTTGCAAATAGGGCGGACAATTTTGCAATTGTAGATGATGTTGGGGTTACTGAGGAAGGCTCACTTGATAAAGAAAAGAACAAAAAATCTGGGCAGAATGATATTGCTGAAGAATTAATTGCTGCAGTAGCGAAGAATTTGAGTAAGACAATGGGTACGAAAAAAGGGAAATTTTCCCCTGAGGGAGTAAGAGAACCTGGAAGAAAAATATCTGCTAATAAGAAACTGAAAGGAAAAAGGAACAAAAAAGAAAAGATATTAGAAGAAACTTCTAAAAAGTCTCCTTCTGCTGTAACCACTCAGGGCTCAGAGAGTATGCAAATGAATCAAGCAGACGTTGACAAAAAATTTGTAACGCCAGGCAAGGTCAAAGAAGTCAGAGGGAAGAGCAAGGTATGGTTTATATTATCCTAATGACTCAATCTTTTCAATGGGGGAAAACTGAATTTTACAGATACTGCATTTTTTTAGTCATAATTTCTAAAAATTAAAACAATTGTTATTGAGTGGTAGCAACAAAATTAAAAAGCAGGCTATTCTGTAGTTCTATTCTGTGGAGTAAAAGCACCACAAATGCTGTATAGAAATAAAATTTTTGTGATCATAAAATTATGTATTTGAAAGTTTGATATTTTTGCCCATTGAAAAGACTGAGTAATATTGTATTTCTTCACCCATCTTTCCTTGAGTAAAAAAGTTAACTTTGTCAGAGAGAAGATATTTTATGTTATGTTAATTAAAAAGAAAAAAATTATCTCAAAGAAGAAGCTTATTTTCCTCCTTTTTTCTTTCAAAGTTTCGTTAGGCAGTCTAGAACCATGGTAACTTTTAAGGTGTTTAATATCAAATGTTAAAGTGAATTTATTTGGCAAAAAAATAGAAAATAATGCAAATTTCTTTGCCTTATAACTATCATTGACATGTTGAAGGGGCATTAATACAACTGAAATGGTTGACAAAACAGAAAGGACATCAATTTATTTTATACATAGGAATTTATTATTTCTGTACAAGTACGTCTTTACAATGGATGTCACCTGACAAAACATTCTATAATCACACTACTAAAACAACAACAACAACAATTTAAAACATGTTTACAAGAGATTGTTATTCTGACAATGTTATGATTAAGGTATACATAAAATCGGTTACTTGGCGTGACTTTGGTCTTTGGGTCAGAATTTGGGTCAGGGTTTTAGTATATAATCAATTCATATTGCATTATGAAAAGATAATTAAAACTAATCAGGTTTCCTTCCTTATTTTTCCATCTCCAAGCACTTGATTCTAATATCATAAATATAAAAAAAAGCTAAAGGAAAAAGCAAGTTGATCTTCCATCATGTCTTCTCTTCATTGATTGGCACAACTTAAAGGACAAAATTTATGCTCGATAATAAAAATTTAATAGTCAAAATGTATAAGTCAAAATGGCCCACCTTCCAGATAATTTTCCAAGAATTCAAGTAGACAAAAGGGTATTGCCCTTGTTTAAATATGTTATAAATTGTCCCACTTGCTCATATGACCTTGAGCTGTTTGGCCCAAATAAAACATTGTGGCGTAGACTACAGATAGAATATAGAGATACAGATACTCTGATAGTGGATGGGATTGAAGGATGTTGACATGGCTCGAATCAGTGGAGGTTACTAGTACTAATATTTGGCTATTTTATACCTAGGGTTGTAAGTTAGAAGTGTATTTTAAAAATATGCAAAGTAGCAGCATCACATATGATACACACATGACTTACATGCAGTATCTAAGAATCAGGGTTTACTTTTGACTTGTTCTTTTATAATATGCCAAGATGATAAGTTATTTGAAAGTTATTCTCACTGAGGGCTTTGGAAAATAAGGTAACTGTAGCGTGGTTGATAACATAATAACGTTTTGATAATGACTTAGGTTTACAAAATGATGTATGTACAGAAAAAGATGTATACATTTAGCTTGAGCTGATTATGGTTGTAGGAGGTGGGGATGTTTTTCGGGGGTCAGAGATACACACTGTATTTGGATTTTAGGCTAAATATGAACATACGTAAAGAATGAAGAAAGGGGGATCTTAGTAATTGTGGTACTTTACTGATAATGTTGTATTGGGATAGCAAGTAGCCACATAAAAGTGAGCAGACATTCTTAGGCTAATAACATAATTATGATGAATGAGCAAATATGGCATTGAACAGCCCCGTCACCTCTGTGTTGCACTAAATAATATTTCAATACTTTTTCTCCTTGCCACATATTGTCTTGGACATTTTACCTCTATTGTTTCAGTGGCTGTTGTTATAAAGTCCCACAATCTTTGGAGAAATGACATTTTTTTCTGATAGGATATCCTCTGCCTTTAATCCCCCCACCCCCACCCCCATCTCTTCCCTCAACCTTTACTGCAGAAATAGTAGACAAAGGTTAAGGGAGGTTGTTCCATCAACTTAACCTTAGCCAAGTACCTTTCATATATTCATTTTTTTATTTGACAATAACTCCATTTTAAGTGCAGACTGTCTGCACAGGCAGGCAATGTAAGAGAAGCTCATCCATAAGCACTATCCACTTTGGTTTTCCACTGATACTGCCTTAGAGCCGAATACAGCAGGTAGACTATCAAATTGATCAACTTGTTATTTAGTTGTCCTAGTCCAGGTTAAGCTCAGCAATATATCTTTGTAAATAGATATATGTCTTTCCAGACAGCTATGTCCCAGAGGATTGTCTCAAGGAAATTACTTATTCATGTGTTAAATTTTGTTTGTTGATTTATTTGAGTTGGGTGATAGTACATTTTTCAATTTTTTAAACAAGGTTTATTCCAAGAAAAGGAGACAAATCAATTCTAGCGTTGCATGCTCCCCTTTTACCCTCCCTACATTTTACAGTAATAAAGACCCAACATATATCACGTGACACACACGCACGCACACACACGTACACACACACACGCACGCACATACGCACGCATGCACACACACACACACACACACACTTGCATGCACACACGCACACATGCACGCACAGTATGTACTGCTAGCAGTGACCTGGACTTGGGCAATGTTCAGAGGCCAAACTAAGACAACAAAGTACTATAAGTGGATTATCATACATGTGGTGTTTGTCTGGTGGTCATTTTTAAGACAGAAATGTCTGAACTGATGTGAACTGGCCATCCTGTAGGTGAATGTGGAAATTGCTTAATGGCTGTGTCCTCTCTATGCTCAGCTTCCACCCCAGTACAGTACAAGGGTGGCAGTAGGTTCATTTTAGGATCTACTTTTTCTTTGCCAATGTCTGGATGACTTTACGTAGATTAATACTGACTTACACCTATTGACTGTCTTGGAGCATAAGCCACCAACAGGATCTGCCCCCCCCCCCCCCCCCCCCCTCCCCCCCCCCCCCGTAGTAGCCACATCATAATTTTGCTGATGATCAATGAAAAGTTTGGTTAGCAAAATATTGTACATAATTTCCTTTAGCCAAATTGGATTACTAGTAAGTTATTTGATATATAACTAATATAATACTTTGGCAAAATCTATTTTCGAAGAATGCTTTAAGAGATAAAAAAGACATGATTTTGACCTTATGTGAAGTATGCTTGTGAAGATCTATCACTTTTTTGCTGACATTTATTACAAAAAATGGGTGCACGTTGAACATTATAAAAAAGTGCTGAGGTAAACAACTTTTTTCATGATGAATGTGATCGGTAAAGTTATTGTTACATTACTAGTAGAAAGAAATGTTCCTATTTTTCCAGATTCTTAACTAAATATATATACTAGTTAAGTGAAGACATGTTGTAGATATTTGGAATATGAATTAGCAGACCATTTTATTTATGTTAAAATGTGCAGTAATGTTAAAATGTGCAGTAATACATTATACATGCAGTCACTGCTCTATATGGATTTCAGAAAACCCAGTGCTAAGTATATTTGCCAACAGTTCTCTTATTATTTATTTAAACTGAATTTTCCAGACATATGCTTTTCTATGATATATGTTTGCTTCTACTGTAGCCGTCCATAGAACCCGCTTTGATTTCAAGACTTTTATCAAATTATTTTTTCTTTTTAATTTTTGGGGCTTGTACAATTGGGGTTTATGCTATAAAAATTAGCCAGTGGATGACAATGATGACTGTTATCCAAAATGCCATCATTTAATTTTAATCACAGTTATTTTTATTTCCAGATTACTCCAGTCATAAGTATAGATGGCGAGACCCACTTAGTCTGTCCAGTTTGCCAAGAGGAGCTGATGTCTGAGTCTGACCTGACAGCTCACATCCGCCAAACCCACAATACCCCCAGTACTGCTAGTAAGGCCTCTTCTCGTGCATGCCTGGTGTGTGGGAAGGTGCTTAGTTCCCAGAGTTCCCTGGATAGACACGTCTTGGTGCACTCTGGTAAATATAGTTACTAACACTGAGGACCTTTTCACATTGAGTGGTATACTGGTGCAGTCAGAATCAGTCCACTTTTATAGGGGGTTACATGTAATTATGCTTTATCAAGGTTAACTGCCTTTCATAAGTGCTCCACAAGTTTGCTTCCTGTTGTAAATTTAAGCTAATTAATTAGCCCTATTGAGCAAAGGTGATATGCTTAGCTGGCTCTCTAACATATTGTGACTAGCTAGGCTGTTAGGGTGCTTTCACAATGAAACTATAGTATAACTTGGACTGATCCAACTCCAAGGGGAATTTTGCATTTGGTCGCACTCAAAACTAAGTGGAAAAGCTTCCAGGAGCCACATGAAACAGGGACGGATATAGGCCATCTTCATGGTCTTCCGGAAGACGGTCAGATTTTCAAGTTTACATTGACAGGTATTTAATTTTTTCTTTCGGAAGACAGTCAAAAATGGAGGATGGATCAACAAAGATAATTTGGAAGACTGTCAGAAAATATCTCTGGATCCGCCCCTGTGAAAGTTGATCACATCCTAGCTGCTCAAGGAGATGTGTCATTCCGTTAATCTGATTGCATTCAGCAAGTGTCCGTGCAATGTTAGAGCCATCTACTTAGTTTCATTGTGAATACAACCTAACAGCTTAGCTAATATGTAAGAAAGTCACCAAGAAACAGAACATCTGTGCTCCATGGGGTACAGTTGTTGCATTGTGAACACACCTTTCAAATGCCCCTCTCCCAAAGTGGACTGGTCCAGTGAAGTGTACCCCCTAATGTAAAAAAGGACTAACATACAAGGCTCGGGTGCATTCCCAAACTGAAACCAATCTGAACAAGATGTATCCTCACATGCCCCAGTTGATTTCCAAATATTGTCATGTAATTGTCTGGGACAACTCTTGTCTTGACAAATCTGAAGGTCTGGTATGTACTAAGGCCCCCGTGTGCTTGACACATCCCACTGGACCTCGGACAGTTAAATAGCTGGTAATATGGTCCAGGTGTCTGGTGACATCTCTGAGAGTCGGACTGGTTTAAAAGTTCATTCGTTGTCCATGCAGGGGCACAGTAATTAAATGTCAGCTCCATTCGACCAGATGCATGGGGAGGCGTGTGAGAGGCAGAGAGACTATTACAGGATTATTTGAGCCTTGGACCAGTTGATACTCGGATTTTCTGTTCTGAATGGTCCCTTTGAGAGTCGGACTGGTTTAAAAGTTCATTGCATTCATTAACGGTCTGGTGCTGGTGGTCTAGCTTAAACATATATGTTATATATAATATACATACTTAGTCTGCAGATATGCTTAGTTTTTCTAACCACAGGAAGACTGTATAACAGCACATGGCTTACTTAATTACAAAAGGATTAGGTGAGACAACAGGGAGATATAAGATTGGTTGTTAATGGTGACAAATCTGAATCAGTCTGCTATGATGGTTTGGTATAAGTTAAGACATCACAAGTGTACTATAAACTTATCTTTTAAGAGTTAAAACTCATCCTCAGATTGCCTATATAGATAGCTTGATAGACTGGCTGTGGAGCAGTAAATTGAAATTTTTAAAGGGGTCAAGTGTTTCAGAATGTTTAAAATAGGGGTCCTTAGAGTATAGTCTTTACTATTTTCAACATTTTTTCTACACTTAATTGACTGGAATTAGATATGGAATTGCCACAGAGCAGGGCACTTTTTATATTAGAGTGAATTAATATTGGACATTAACTTTAAAACCATATCTCTTGTAGTCTGCATTGTGTTTGAAATATTATCTCTGAAAGAAAAATCATACACATTTTTTGTCCCTACTGGAATATTCTTGTCAAGGTCACAGCTTAATAGTAAAGCCTGAAGATGAGCAACTCACTGATATATGAAGTGAGGTCACCGTGGAGATATAAATTTTTTCCACTAGGCAGGAGTTGATTTCTTCTTTAAGAAATACATGGAAGTAGGGGAGGAGGTTATAGTCTACCGGTGATGGATACAGAATTGATCACCGTAAACCTCTGTATCCAATTCACAGTCTGCTTCAAAACTAATAAAAAAAAAAGAAAATAAAAACTAGAAAAAACACTCAGAGAGTTCAGACCTCCACTGAGACATAGAGTTAACCAATGTTTATTCATTATTTCATGAATGGATCATCACCAATTTGAAATTTCTTATCACCTTCAATTTCTGACCTTTCCTGAAAATTTTATCAAAATCCCTCCATACCTTTTTGAGTTAAGCTTGTGATGGACAAACAGACAGACAAAAAGGGGTGAAAAATACCTCCTTGGTGGAGGTAATGACAAAGAGACGAATGACATTGATGTTTGAGTATAATCTGATTTCTTATTGACCTCTGTCAGATCATGGACTGGTTGGTTGGGTCACTTGAGGACACTGGAATTTGCTCTTTTAAAGAACTACCTGGGTCATTTTGGTTCATACATTTGTTCTACATATCACAAATGGCAGAGAATTTATGATGTCACACTGCAGAGGTCAGATATAAAAGATATTCGGTTATTACTAGAATCTAGTAGTTGATCTCTTTAATGGGGGGGGGGGGGGAACAGTAAATTTTACAGATTTTGTATTTTGATGTCATAATTTATTTTTAAATTAGAAGATTTTTATTGACTGGTAGCAACAAAATTAAAAAGCAGGCTACTCTATAGTTCTATCCTGTGCAGTAAAGAACCACAAATACTAAATAGTTATATAATTTTGTGATTATAAAATTATGTATTTGAAAGTTTGATCATTTTTGCCCATTGAAAAGATTGAGTCATTGCCGTTTGTTATGAAACTGGTGCTGTTACTAGTATGAGGTTGATGTCTGTTTATATTTTACATGCCTCTATGCTTTGTGCTTTGGTTTTCATATGAGATGTGAGCCTGGGATGTGGATCTCTTCCTCTGAAGGATTTTCTTTATTCTGTTGATGAAATCATTGAAAGTTGCTGTATATTGTGAAAAAATTTAAATGAAGGACATTCCATGGTTTTGCTTGAAATAGTTATATGTGTAATTAAGTAAAATTAGCACCAGGGAAGGTGAAATGGGGAACTAGTGCTCTCCTGTTTTTTTTTTTTTGCAAGCAGAGTGAAAGTTTAGAAGTTTGTTGGATTTTGTAAGGTTCTCAAACAAGGACATAGTGTGGGTTATGGGAGAAGGCAGATGGTCTACATAAATATATTCATTTTCTGGTCTCAGCATATTCCACAAGTATTTTATCTTCAGCTGATGGCAGTAGCAAAAATTATAGATACCGACGTAAATAGAGGCAGTGAAAAACATATTTTGAACCTAGGCAACTATGTAGATCAGTTAGATTTTAATGACATGAATAAAATTATTTTGCATTTGTGTGGGGCTTTTATTGCTTGCTGATTTTTTTTCTAACCCTGGATATGGTGACATTTATGCTTGTAGACTTATTTTGAGTGCTTGTCATTTTTTTTTTTTTTTTTTTTTTTAGAAATAGAAAACAAAAAGTCAAAAGGGTTTGTTTTTCAGTAGTATCAGATAAAATGTCATAACATCATGAATACATAGAAGGTGATGGTTGTTATAGTTCAGTTATTGTGCATAGGGTGATGGGATCAGTGGCCGTTGATACTGTTCACAAGTTAGGGACTATTCCCACAGATATTTGGATCGATCTATCTCCCTGGGGAGTCTCACTTAATTGCTATCAACATAACTGGCTTAAATGTCTGTCAGGCCTATTAGAACTGTTGGGGAGTAATTATATTTACCCCCTAGCTGATTTGGTGGGCGTGACAGACATTTAAGCCTGTTAAGTTGATAACAATTTAGTGAGACTCTCCCCAGGGAGTTAGACTGATCCAGATGGATTGATCTAGGCATGGGATCCCAGTCTTAGATAAAACAATAGTCAATGCTTGATTGGACACCCTTGCAGATATATGTATATTTATATAATTAATATATAAGACAACACTGTGCCAATATTTACATAAACACAAGTGATGATTTCATTATTAATTTGAATGTCAAAAACAAAGAGTAGGAATGATTTATACATTTCAGTTTTTGAGATAAGACAAATTGCTAGTACTATATTATGCTGAGGCAAGAAGGAAAAGAGTTGCTTTAAAAATTAGTGTTAAGTGTTTTTTTAAAGCTTGAAACACAGTTATTTAATGGTTAATAAGGAATAGAAATTATGTCAATAATAGCTTGAAATTTTTGTTTTTTTATGTCAAAAATCGAGAGAGAGAGCTATTCAAGAAACTTTATAAAAATCCTTATAGATGTTTGAATATTTTGTTGCACTTGGGAAAACAAAGAGTGTATTGATAAATTAAACAAAGAGGTATTTTGATGGTTTTAAGTAAATCAAACGAAGCATGTTTTTCATAGATTGTTTGGATCATGTCGAGCAAGTTTATAAGGAATATTCTACCACACATTTCTGTATTCTTCTTGACTGCATCTTTTCAGTCTATATTAAAATACCAAAGAAATCCAGTATTGTTAGATTCTACCTTAAGAGACATTTAATATTGTGCTTTATTACTCAACACAATTATGAAGGTTGAATTCTTCCTTCCTTCCTTTATTTATTTATTTATTTATTTATTTATTTATTTATTTATTTATTTAAATAGTCTTTTCTTTTGGAAAATATTTGTGTTGCACAGAATGCATTGTTTCACTAAATATAATAGTTATTAAGATCATTGAATTATGTTTATTTAGCTGTCTTGTGTGTTTAGCACTTATGCATGTTTAAACAAAAAGTTGAAAAACAGACCTAGTTACTAGTATGATATTTTGTTTAATTATGCATTAATGTCCAACTTGATTTTGATGTTAAAATATTTCAAATGTGTCTTACAGGTGAACGACCTCATCGATGTCACCTGTGTGAGCAAGGTTTTACCACCAGGGGGAACCTCAAGCGCCATCTGAAAACTCACCAAGATGCTCCCGATCCACCACTCCTACCTCAAACTGACAAACCTGGCAGGGACAACGAGTTTTCAAAAAAGACCGCACCAAAACCCAAACTATCATCAAAAAAGAAAGAATCATCAACCATTACTAAAAAGAGGAAAGCAGTCAATTTAATCCAGCAGGTAAACAAAGAACAATCAGTAGGCGGAGCTTCCAATCAAGAAGAACTAGGGGGAATGGAGGCTAACCCAGTGGTTTTATCAGAGATTGAGTCATACAGTAAAACTTCAGCTCAGGAAAAAACAAAGACAGCGACTAAAAAATCCAAAATTTTAGGCCAGTTGAATACAAGTGCAATCAGAAAGCCGAAGAATTTGATCAAGACATTGGATAAAAATCGACCTAATATTTCTAAGAAGAAGAAAAAATTGAATGCTCTTGGGAAAATTAAGAAAATAAGCACTCCCTTTCACAAAGTTGATGGTAAACCTAAGGCAACAAAAACCAGAACAGCAGCTAAAGCTACCTCAGTGAGAGTGCCTCCTTCCAGTAAAATCAACCAAGCAGTTAAAAGTAAGAACATCAGCAAAAAACAGTCAACCTCTGACTCTGATAACAAAAAGCGAACAAGCCCAAGATCTCAGAAAGTGAAATTGGAACAGGATGATGATTCCACAATCATTACCAACTCTGAAACCAGTTCTGTGGCTGAGGAGGGCGCATCTGCTTCAGACCAAGGTTCCTCTGTATCAGCCTACCTTAAAGCTGTCATGCCTCTTAGAAAAAGTCCACGCATACCAAAATACACAAGCTTCACAGAATTTGCCTTCTTCCCCAAGCCTCGTAGGGTGGGTGTCACCAGAAAAGAAAGGGAAGAAAAAGCCCCTAAGCAGGTTAAAAAGGTTCTTGTCACAGCTGAAGTGAGAGGTGCAGCAACTGTGACAACTTTGAAAAAAGTGAAGAGGCTTTCCACGGCTAGCCCAACCCTTCTGAAAAAAGCGCTAACGACAACAAATGAAGTGAAGTCAGCGAAAAATGACACGTGCTAAGTCAGCCAGAGAAGTAACTCCTATGGAAGAGAGCCAAGAGAGCTCGACCCTATCCAAACTCTCTGACGCAGATGTAGATGACAGCAGCAGAGGGTCCACGTCATCAAGTCTAAAAAGAGGAAGTAGCTTTGAGAGAGAAGTGCAGTCTGGGAAAAAGAGGCGGGTCAGCTTTGAAGGTGTTATTTTGCCTCAGATAAAGCGATATGGAATACTAGAGGGATCGGTACCGCTGGTTTCTCCATCCAAACGGCAGTTAGAACGGTTAGCCAGTGCTCTTTCCGAATCTGAAGCCAAAAGGAGACTTGAGATGGTAAGTGAGACAGGTGAAAGCAACTGTAATGTAAAATATCCAAAAGAAAATTTCAGGGGATTTCATAGAGAAGCTTAGATATATTATATTTGAAATGTAAATACATGCAGCATTTCACAGTTTTATAAATAATTTTGGAGTGGAGAAATATCATGCCTTATAATTTGCTTTAGATTGATCAAGTGATATTTTGCTCAAGTTTTATGATTACATTATTTTCTGACAATGTTGAGTAATTGGGTTGAGGTAAAGCATAGGAAAAATTAAGTTATGAACTAGATACAATTACCTACAAAACAAAAAGTAAATTCATCACCTGTAAGACTTTTTAAATCTGCTGTTGATAGAGCACATTGGTTGTGGTTGTTTTTACTGCACTAGAAAAGTAGGAAATTTTACCTTACTAATCCAATCAGTTGGGAAGTCTGAATCAGTTTCAGGTTAACACTTAAAAAAACCCAGTCATTTAAACAATCAGTTAACAAGCTATGATGAATGACATCCTAAATCAACTGCTGTAAATGATTTATGCAACTGGTGAGACTGCCCTGTCTGATGTAAATTGTTGATATTGTGAGTTATTGATTTAGAGAATTTGTTCTTTGTAGCAAATCTCAGTCGGGGGTCCTAGGTTGATCTTTTCTACACAGACCACTGATTCGACATTATTTTGACAGATAGATCTCTGATATATTTGGATGTGCACTGACAGTACTCAGTCATTTCTATAAAGGTTTTGTTTGATGAAAATTTCCCATTTCCTGCATTTATGTTTTGTGTCTGCAATAGTTGCAGTTTACAGAGAACGTGTACAAAATGAAAAATTGTCTGTCTGACGGATGGGGTGAATTAGTTGTTATGTTTTTTATATAAAAATGCAAATCCCTGATTAAAGGTTGTAAATGAGTTGTTTGAAGTTAAAATTTACAAAATTAATCATTGCAGTTAGGAATGTCAGAGCGCCAAAAGTTATATGGTAAAATACTTCTTCCGGTTTAAAAAAAAATTATAATAGTTTATAATCAAAATTGTTACTTTAAAAAATCTTTGTTTGTAGTAATGTTTTTCAAAAACTAATAACCCACTGTTTTTCACTGCAGGATATGGGCCAGAAGCAGATCCCAAACAACATCCTCCACTGCGGTGTGTGCAGGAAAATTTTCCTTTCCACCTTTGGGCTTCTGACCCACTTGGAGTCGCACCCAAATTATGCAATTCGTTGCAAAACATGCAACCTGGTCTTCATGAACCCGAGGGGCCTTACCATGCACAAACGCATGGTCCACAACAAGAGTAAAATGGGGTTGGAGGAATTTGGAGCCCATGGTATCAAACCTGCTGACATCCCTGTTGGGTTCTTTGATTTGTCCTTCGCAGAGTTTTCTACGCAAAAGTTTCCGTTGGTTGCTAAAGCATGGTGTGAGGAGCACCAGAGGGTCTCCAGTAGCGCATTTCATAACTTCACGTGCAATGTCTGTCAGAAGTCGTTCCCGTGTGCGAGTTCATTTGAGCTTCACAACCAGACGCACACGGAGATTACGAGGTCAAAGTGCACCCAGTGTGGCACGGATGTGGAGACTCATGTTGCGTTGTTGATACATGAGCTGAAGCATAAAGATGTCACTTGTGTGAATACTGCAGGTGCGATCGCAGATAACAATAGTGCAAATGCTGAAAAAAATAGTGCAAACAATCCTGTGAACACAGACAATGGCCCCTACATAGACATTGAAGATGGAACAAGTTTGAATGCTGATGATGTCCATCTAGATACAACTAGGGAAGATATAGGCACTGTTATTAGAAATGTGAATATAGATTCCAAAAATGTGCCCTTTGAAACAGGTGCTGAAAATTCAATCCCTGGAAGTGACAGGAATGATGGTGACAGTTCAGTTACCGAGAGTCAAATGTTTGATACTACCACGGAGGCAGGAGATGTGGCCTCTGATGGGGAAGGTATGAATAAGGATATTCAATCTGAAAACTTGAAAACATCCACCACAGATAGCGAAAGTGTAGAAGCACTAGAGGATGGTGATACACAAGAATCTTTGATAATATCACAGAGTAGAGAAAACACTGTTGAAAGAAGCAGTGATAGCAATGATGATCAGACATCCAGGGATAATAATGAAAATAAAGGTTTTCCAAAAGTCCGGGATAAGATGTCACTTGACATTACAGTGTGTGAAAACGAGGATGACACCCAGAAATTGAATATAACAAATTCTGATAATTCCAAAAAAGAACAGGAAGCAGTACCACTGGAAAATGAAAATGATAACAAATCGGTGAGTTCCAGCCTGGACTTGTCAGGCCATGGACAGGATCCTAGCTCTGGTGAGGACATGGACAGAAATGAAAATTCTGATTCGTTTTCAGCACAGCAAGAAGATACTTCGACTGAAAATGCATACAAGGAGTGCTTTATGGCAACTCTTGAACTGAACTCCTCCTCTCTTGAGTACGACAGAGTAGAGGTGGACAAAATGACATACCACACCAGACGTCCTGATTTTGGAATCAGCTGCTACTACCAGTTACTGGACACTTTGGACATGGCAGACATTAAAGCCATGGAAGTTGAGCTTTCGGGGCTTCCAAGGGACCACTCAAGGGGTAATGGAAAAGTGGATATTGTGGATACAAGTGAGGAATCCCAGGATTCTTACGATTTTGCCGAGGTCCAGGATGTGATCCGAACAGCTGTGACTGCCACAGCAGGGTTGCCTCGACTGTCACCAAGTCCAGCCCCCCTGGATCCCCCCAGGTCGCCCCCTCCAGAGATGCCCACCCTGCGCCCCATGTCTCCTGTACCCCCTCCACGATTAACCCCAGCGCCCCCTCAGCTGAACCCTGTCCCCGAGGATGAGCTGGACACACCAGCCCCTTTAGACTCCCTGATCCCTCCTACCCTGGCAGACTCCTCTGCTCCTAATTCTCCGCCCACCTCTCCTTCCCCTCCCTCAGTGTCAACATCCCCATTTCCACCAAATGTACCATCCCCCTCAGACTCCTCATCCACTGCCCCGCCCATTGTCCCACCCATATCCCCGCCCACTGCCACACCCACTCCTCCCAGCCCCCCTATGAATACTGATGCCATTGTGATGCCTGTGCTAGTGAGGCTCAACAACCCATTCCTTGGAGGTCAGTTGGTCAGAATGAGGTTACCCTGTGGTCAGTGCTCGGCCGTAATGGACAGTCCCAAGGAACTAGAATGTAAGTGCTTGATGCTTTTTATCTTATATTTTGTTTTGTAAATATTTGTATTTCTTGTCGGTTGATATTTTGGCAGTATCTTATCTGCTGCTTTAGTGAATAAGTATGGGACATTTGTGTCTGTCTGAATATCTGGGGTGTAGGTGCATGCACATGCATTTGCTAGGCTAAACAAAAAATGACAGTCCTGCTATTTTATCAAAAGATGGATTTAAAAAAAGAGTGTTTGGAATTGACTTCTGCGTTTTCTGTTTTTCCCCAAAGTAAATGTGAACAAATATGGGTCTTTTGAAAAAGTCGCTGACCTTATTTATCACCTCTTCTGAAATAAATGTGAAAATACATATTGTGATCATCATCATTATTATTATAATCATCATCATTATCATTTGCTTGTATCTTTTTCATACGTACTTAAGAAAACAGTTATGTAAAAAATATATTATCACTGCCATCATAATCATCATCATCATCATCATCATCATGATTTGCCTGCTTTCCTTTCCTCCTGTACATCCCCCCCCAAAATAACTGTGTTCACACATGTGAGGATCATTATCATTATCATCATCATTTACTGCCATCCATTGATTTTGTATATTTGTGCCGCATACTAAATAAACCTTGAGATCTGTATGATACAGACATTTATTCAAATACAGTGATTGTCTGAAAGCAGTAAGAATGTACGGACCTTTTCAGTGGCTTCTTAGGACTACAGTTGGAATTTTCAAACATGCTCCTTGTTAAGTTATTTTAGATATTTTCCAAATTTCTCCAATTTTTATGTCACGCTAGTGAAAAGGGTATATTTTACCCACTATGAAAGATGAATACCTGATCTGAAAATAATAAATTTAATATATCTCACATTTTTTGCCAGTGTATCATATGTTTTGACTCAATTTCTATCCCCAGTATCCATATTTCTTCCCCATATCGATTTAATGAACTTTTCTTTCCCCCGCAAAAAAAATTAGGTAGAGATATAAATCCATATTATGAAAATTCCTAAAGTTGCGAAAAAGGTGAGGTGGGCGGAAAGAGTGACAAATAAAGCAAGCTGTGAGGGGATTTACATTTTACATTAGTAAAAGCTCCATTGAGGAGTGTAAAAAGCTGAATGCTCCACTCCTCATTCAAGTCAAAAACTAGAAACAATCCTCTAGTTGTATGAAAAATATTCCAGACCCCCTCTAGATGTATATATCAAATAGAACTATAAAAACCCTGTGTTGAGATTTTGTTTGTTTGTCAACAAAATAGTTGTTTACATAGGGTAAACATAGAGAGGAACTAAATCAAAGATACTGCCAAGCTATGAGGATGTTGATTTTCTATTTCCCCTCTGGGTAACTGATTGCAGTTTTCTTCCTCTTTCATACTTGTATGCATTTGGGTCATCCTACGCATACGCCAACGTATGAAACAAATGAACTGTTTGTGAACAGGTGGCTTTCGGTTCTTGGCCAGTTTTCCTCCTGCTTATGCAGCGGTTTTTATGTCAATATTTTGTTTGTTTTTTTTTCAAAAAGAGTTTAGGAACCTGCATACAAATAACCATGATTCTAAAGTGTTTTTACCCTGTGGAATATCTTTCCTCCATTTTATTTTTTCTTACTTCTATTCCTTTAAATTTACTTCAGAGAAGTGGGGAGATATAACAACTATCATTTGGGTCCCATCATTTTTGATTTTTTTCATCTGATCTTTCTTTGTCTTGTTTTTGTGTTTGGAGTTTGGAGCATGCTTTCTATTGTAAATAACATTTAACATATTTCTTTTCACCTTCCTCTCCCCAAGTGGTCAGTGGTACACAGCTTCATTAGTGTGTTTGGCATTTACATCACTGGTTCGATCATCAGTATATGTCATTGTATTTTTTCTCTAAATTCTCTTGATTAAAGAAGAAAAACAATGACTATTTTCAGCTTCCTCTCCCCAAGTCATTAAGTGCCCATATTTATTGGCATCATCATTTCATTGTATGCCTTCATCAAGGTATGAGATTTTAACGTATTCCATTTTTTTCAAGAAACAACCCTAATTTAGTCATAACTTTTATTTCCCAAATCAATACAAGAGCATTTCTTTATGATCCTCTTGTTCATCTGTGTTATCTGTGTCTTTTCATGGAAAATATATGAGTTTTTCAACTTAAAAGGTTTAAATGAACCTTTGAAATAGCATGAAAAAAATTTTTTTCTTCCTCTCCCCAAGCAGTTTTGAGCCCATTTAATTTTATCCTCATCAACATCAACATTGATAACATAAAAACCCTCTAAAATCATCTTTGCAGTCTTTCCCATATGCCCTCTCCCCAGATGTCGAGTGGCCCAATTACTATCTTCTTCATCGTCATCTCTGTTAAACAAACATGATTGATATCACGTAGGACTTCCTAATCATCTGGTTTTGTTTTGAAAGTATATCCAATTTTTCCTTCTGCCTCTCCCCAAGTCATTACTGGACCACTTTATCATCATCATCATCATTAGCATCATCCATCATCTGAGCTTGGCAATTCCTTCTCATTATCTGCATCGTATTATACTTGTGCCCTGTGAGTGTATTATTAATAGCGTACCAAGGAAGAGTAGGACAAGCAGGCTCATCTATTTAGCACTAAGTATGAGAAGTGGAGATAGACTCAGTGAGCTATATTATATGGGAATCTGTTGTCTGAATCGCTGAACTCTATGCCGTCTGTGGCAGTGACTCAGTTGTATTGAATGGGAGGAGGAGAGGGAAATAGGTCGGAAGCGATATGGCTGTTATGGCGCGGGCAGCAGGCAGATTCAGGCTCTGCAGTACTTTCTGAAAGGCGGGCATTGTTCTGAGCAGTGCAGACCCTTATTGATCTTGGCATAATTGTTTGCTTAGTTATCAGCGCACAGGACCTGTGGATTTAATTTGTGACTACTGAAGAAGAGGAGGAGGAAAATGTACTCAGCTGGAGAATAATTCATGAAGAAGAGATATAATCTTGTTTTGAGTGTTGGATAGCTGAACTGGGTTACCAGTGTGTTTGTTATATTGGTGATAGGAAGTTGAGGTGATCCACAGACCTAAATGATGAACCAAGAAGATGAGGAGGATTAAATTTAATATGAAGTGAAGGATTGTATCATATGTACCATAGTTAGATGTTTCTTTATGAGAAAGAAAAACTATTTGAGCAGTATTGATATTGGTTGGCAGAAATATGGATTTTCATGATTATGTGTGCATAAGAATGGACCAATAGAATACCAGAATGGAAAAGAAGAGAAAAACAGTCAAGAAACCCTTCATTTTTTACATCACTTCTTAGGGAGAAAAACTACTTATCATTGAGTTTAAAAGCATAGATGTAATAATTTTGTGAAGACTTGACCAGATTTCTCTTAAACTGAGCACCGTCTTGAAACAAGATACCATGCCCTTAGTAGTAAAGATTTGGTTATTTTATAACTGTCACAGGACATAGGAGTCAGCTTGGGATGTAGAGAAGAAAGAATCAGGAGAAGAAAGATAGAAGCCACCACCTTTGTAAAATATTCAACAGATTACCATGTATTGATTTTGCATTTCATCAGTAGCAAATAATTGGATACAGAGTCTGTAGATGCTTAGAGCAACCCAGGTCCATTTGCTCTCAACAAGTGGGGATGAAGAAAAAGCTGTTAATCAGCTGATAAAAAAATATGTGGCTTGTCTTGCATAGAGATTTTTGTAGCAGACGGAATTTAAGTCGACTTCAAATGTTCAGTAATGGTGCAGCCTCCTACTCACAGTGAGTTAAATGGAATGGATTTTTTCTTTTATTTGCTCTCTCCTTTTTGATTGTAACATAGAACCACTGAAATGGGGCAATTTCAAACAAAGGCACCACATCTCAAGATAATTTTTTGAGAATACCAGTTCTTCCTACTCTTGCTTTTTTTCTCTTTATACACAATATCCCAAAAAGAACTGGGAGAGGAAAATATTTGGAAACAAATTCTGAATATAGAAAATCAATTAACAAAAAGTTTGATAAAACAACAGTAATGTTTTCTTTCTTTCATTTGTCTCCTGTGAAAATAACATAAGTATCATTAATGCTGAAAGTGCATGTGACCTGGATCTGGATCCTGATAAATTCCAGTGGGAATTTCGAGTGGGACATATGGCACTTCTTCAGAAGAAGCAGATACAGATAAGGAAAACACTGAAGTTTGTATTGCTGCTACCTTGTGTGCACATCTAATGGTTCTTTCTGACTAAGAATAAATGCCTACCAGAGGCCCAAAGAGGAAGTAGAAACTATGGAAGTGAAATTTAGGGTAAACTCAGGATTTTTTTAAAACTTTAGCAACTCAGTAGCTGCTGAGCACTGTACTCATCAAATAGAAACCCACATGTTTCATTCTAGAACATTTTGGAAATTTGAGGACTTTTCCCCCCTTATCTAACTTTATTTAACTTAAAGACTCTACCTCATTTAGCTTTATTCAAATGAAGACGATCTCAGTTAGGAAAGTCTGCATCCCTCATGAAGATATGGGTGCTTCATAAACCAAACAAGCCATAGTTTAACACTTCTATTGTGATGTTTACTAACATTGAAGAAATTCCAAGAAATTGGCATGTTTTGAATATTCCTGGAGATTCTTTCTTCTGAGAGGATAAAAAGATGGACAGAGAAAGGGAGGAAAAAATGGCTCCCAAACCAGACTTTGATAGGGTTAGTGATGCCTGCAGCTCAGCAGGGAAGGAAGGTTTGCCTCCCCCACCGCCATTGTACATGCCATATAATTTGATAAAATCTCGAGCAAGAAGTAAGTCATTATTTTCTCTCTCTCTCTCTCTCTCTCTCTCTCTCTCTCTCTCTCTCTCTCTCTCATATCATAATCAGCATCATCATCATTCTTCCAGTTACATCATCCTTAAACTTTATTTACCTTTTTAAAATTTATTATGTGTATTTACTCTTATCTGTAACATTGTGACATATATAAAAAGGCAACATATTGGGGATTTATGTCTTAAATAATTTTACTTTAGAAAAAAATTAAATAATGAAACTTTCGTTGTGGCTGAGAGAGAGAGAGAGAGAGAGAGAGAGAGAGAGAGGGGGAGGGAGCAAGTGAAAGAGAAAGAGGTGTTAAGAAAAGTCAACCATGTACACATTTTTATGAAAATCACAGGAGATAATACAAAAAAGAAAAAAGTTCATTTCCAGGTCATGGTGCTTCATGGATCTGTGCCCTGTGGGCAAATGTTTAAGTCTGAGAGAAAAACAAAGACAAAACATATCAAAGTTCACCTAACAACTACATTACCAAAATACATCAATTTATTTACTATTATTTGTTCATTATTTATTACTTCAGCTAAGGAGGTTGTGTTTTGCCTTTGTTGATTTTTTAGTTAACAGCCCATCTCAAAAACTTAAGGATGGATTTTGATGTTATTTTTTGGATAGGTCAAAAATGGAATTAGAATCAACCGGATTTGGATGGTGATCCATTAATTAATTAATTAATGAGTATGAGAATTGAGACAACTTGGTTGAGGTATGCACTCTCTTAGTGCTTTTCTAATTCTGGCATACCTTTGATACAATAAATCAAAACAGATATTGCTTTTAACTTCACTTCAGATCATGTAACCAAAAGCCACGAGGGTGCCACCCCATACAAATGTAAGATCTGCAGTTACAGCAGCATCGACAAGAGCACTTTGATGCGCCATCTACGAAGTCACAGTGGCGAGAGGCCATACCAGTGCCTGATCTGTGAGCTAGCCTTTACCACAAAAGCTAACTGTGAAAGACACATCAGGTTTGTGCTTAAAAAAATTAATTATGTTATTGTTTTATATGAATGCGGGGTTGTGTCTATGTTTGTGGGTTATACAAACATATTGGATGTAATTTTTGTATATTATATGCATTATTTCCAAGATGTCTTCTGTTTAGAGTCTTTACTGTTATTTATTTATTTATTTATTTATTTATTTATTTATTTATTTATTTATTTATTTATTTTAGGTTAGTTTGTTGGGCTTTATTTACCAAGTCATCTTTGTTCTGTGAAGGCTAGATTCATTATTATAGAAAGTTATTTTCATGCTGTTCACTCTTTGTTTTCTGTTAAATTAAGGAAAGATTGTAGAAGTTAATTCAATCATAATTATTTGAGTTTAGGTCATTATTTGATATCTGTATCTGTCTTCAGAATTTTAATATCTTCATAGCTATGATACTTAGCATTCTCGGAACAAATTCAAAATAGATATGGGAGTATTTAATATAGGAATCTATTAATTTTTCAGAAACAAGCACAGAATAGAATCTAAGAGAGATGTGGAGCATAAGATTGGTTACAACCAGGAGATGGCGCAGAAGGCGGCCATGTCTGACGCCTTCCATTCCCCTGACACCATCTGCAAAACCTGCGGCGTTGACTTCAAATTCTTCCGTGATCTCAATAATCACCTGCGCACCAGCAGCTGTGCTCAGAAACCGTTTTTATGCAGCCTCTGTAACTCGGGCTTTTCAAACAAAGCCAACTGCCTCCGCCATTTACAGAATGTACATGTGGATCTTCGTGGTGAGATTGATTTTGACAAGTATGTCATTTGTACTGGGGTTATGGCCAAAAAATCAATGGAGGAGGCGGGGAAAGATAAGCTGAGCCCCAAAGGTGGAAATCTTCCCCCACCACCTCCGTTAAAGCCCATGCCAGGGCTGATGCCAACCTTGAGCTCGTTTCCACAGCTTTGGATGTATTCCCCATTCGACCAGTCTGCTACTTCAAACTGGATGCTGGCTCCATCTGGTGGCAGTAATGCAGACACTGAGCAAGGAGGGGATGGAGAGGGTGATGGAGCACAACTTCAGGACAGGTATTCCACAAGCTTGGAAAATAGTCAGGTCTTCCCCAGCGAGCAGGCTGGGGACAACACGTGTGGTGGCGATCAGGAAAAAAATAATCAGGAACTGGTCTCATCATGGAAACAGAGGGATGAAGACATAATACAGGGAGGAAGGTGTTATGGTGAAAATCTTCAGGACGTTTCATTATCAGATAGCTCTTCAGGGTATGTTAATGTTAAAAGCAACCTGGGCACAGTATGGTCTGCTCATAAAAATACTGACCAATCAATGACAAGAAAAAGAAGTCGCAAGGCGGTGATGCCGAGGAAAAGGCCGTTTGTTGCGAAAACTGTGCAGAAGGAGCCAGAATCAGGTAAAGAAATTATTTTCAAACTTTGAAATTGTCATTTACGTCTAGTTTAGAACTTGGCATAATTGTGCTGTTGTGCTGAAAAGTTTGTAATTTGAAATTTTGAAAATTAAATTTCTTTGTATTTACAAACATTTGTAAATTGTTAGTGATGTTGAATATATTGGCAGGAAATCAAGTTCTTATTATGGCTTATATGATTTTCTTTCAGAGAGTGAGTCTGAAAATGATATCGAGTTGACCATTTATTCAGAAGAGGAAGGTTCTTCATGGGAGAGACCTGAAAAAATACCTAGAATGTGCATGGACGTGGAAGACAAAGAGGTGATTGATTTATATTATGTGAATGTGTGTGTGTGTGTGTGTGTGTGTGTGTGTGTGTGTGCGTGCGCACATACGTGCGTGTACATGCATCTGTCTGTTTGTGTTTGTGTCTGTCTGTGGTTGTGTGTGTCTGTCTGTCTGTCATTTTAGTGGTCGATTACATTTTTGGAGATTTAAAATCTCAAAGTGAGCTATCCTTAATCCTGAATATATGCGGGACGTAATAAAGTGAGATCCATAAAAAATAAGCCATTCAAGCTGGATAACAGTGGTTCAACAAAAAGACAATATCCATTGAGGCATTTATTTATTTATTTTTAATTATGCTTGCAGACCACTAACTCCAAGGAAGGCAGTGCAACTGAGATTACTCAGAGCAGTGTAGAGAATATCAAAGATGAGCCCAATTCAGAGTGTGTTATAGCACCATCTAGTAGCAGTCCTAAGCATGATGCAGCAGCTACAAATCTAAAAGCATCCCCACAGAAATCAAAGGACAGCTCCAAGCCTTACACTTGTTCTTACTGTAACCGTGTCTTTCCTTGGACCAGCTCTTTGCAAAGGCATCTCTACTCTCATACTGGTAAGGCAGGACTGGAGATAAAATATTGTTATATATATATATATATATATCAAAAGTATCGACCATCAGAAGAAAAACAAACTTCTTCCCACCAAATGTTAGTGATGAGTTTTTAAGTGTCTGCTTCTATATATATATCAATTTTCACCATTTTTGTTGCATCATCAGCAGACATTGAATTTAGCATCTGCTTAATGGATATAACTACGAAGAACTGAATTCATGTAGTTGTAGACAGGTCTTTTGCAAGTAATTTAAACCTTTTTACTCTCTTAGTTGATCCAACTTTACAAAATTGTAATTTTAAATCAGATTGGACCTTTTTCATCGATAAGGGTGATTATTTCGCCCCCCCCCTCCCCCCCCTCAGAATCACATACACCTCCACCACATCCATAACCAGCCTACTTCAGGCCTGATAGAATGTGCTTGAAACAATGGATTATCAGCCAAGATTTAATTAACTACAGATAACAAAAATCATAGTGGTAGTAATTGGTAATATTTCTGAAAATAATTTCTAAATTCAAGCTCTTATATCCTACATGTGATAAAGTTGGTGAGTAAATTGCTTCATTTGATAGCAAAATATTTCTGTTTCTGAATAAATATTTGATATGTTTGTTTCAGGTAAGTTAGTTATTGACTGGCAGTTTTAATAATATATTCCAAAAAATAATAAATTCTTCACCTGCTTTCAGAAGGGACTAAATTTTAAGTTTTAGATGTAGATTGAAATATAGGATTGCTTAAATTAAATGTACCAATTTAAAGCAGATTCTAATTGCACTTTTCAAAATATTTTCTTAGCATTTGTGAAGAAATATATTTCTTAGGTTTATGATGATATGATATTTTTTCCATAGGACAAAAGCCTTTTGCCTGCCCAAAGTGTGACATGTCATTTTCCACCAAATCCAATCGTGAGCGCCATCTATTGAGAAAACATGGCATGAACAGCTCAGATCCTGCTGTGAGACAGAACTATGACCGTCCATATAAATGTCACCTCTGTGTGTTCAGTACTTTCTCTACAGTTGGTAAGGGCTAGGCTTCCTTTTAAGTTCTGTTATTTAATCGTCTTTCCCCATGTTATGATTTCCATTAATTAGTTATATATTACTTTTTGTTCTGTCCTGGTTTGAAAAATCATTTGGTCAAACCAGTTATGTCTACTAGTATCAGTAAAAATGCTTCAATTTTTTGTTTTTATTATTCAGATGAATGAAATGCAAATTGTTAAAATGAGTTTTGGAGTATGACATTGTATTTAATTCGTAAGTCTGTTTTTAAGTTCAGGAGAAGCAGGAAAAGAGTGTGATTTTTTAAATTTAAAATGGAAGTAAAATGTTTTTAATATTCAACTCCACTCAGTTTTGTTATCTTGAAAGCCTGTTGGATAGATATAAGCTCCTTTTGTAAAGAAGTAGCTGTTTTAGAATTTGAATTAGAGTTTGTGTTCATTTCTGCACTATAACACCCCATTTCCATAGATTACATCGACCTACTTTAGATCGACCTAACTCCCTGGGGGTTCACGCTAAATAGCTGTCAGCCGGGCGGACACGAAAGTTAATTACCCACTTACAGCTTGTAGTAGGCAGGACGGACATTTAAGTCGGATCATCTGAAAGTAATCTAGTGAGACTCCCCGCGGGGATAGATCGATCTAAAATCTATGGGAATAGAGCCTAACACTGCTTTTAACGCATCACAAATCACATATAATATAAGCTTTTTTTTTTTGCTTTAGATAAAATGAAGAAGCACTTCAAAGAGAAACACCCTGATTCCCACCTTCCAGACTCAACAAATGTTCATCAGCTAGGTGCTTTTAGCAAGCAGGACAACAAAGCTGAGAATGAGGACCGTAAGGAGATGGAGGGGGACATACTTCCTGTGGAACAAGTTGAAAATTTCCACCAGTCTGAACTGAGCTTATGTAGTGACTTAAGGCAAACCAGCCAATCAGGTGATTCCACTCTTGGGAGTTTGGAGGACCAGGCCTTCATGTGCAGTAAATGCCCAAATGTCTTTGAATCAAGAGTACTTCTTGCCAAGCACATTAGAGAGAAACACACTGATCATCCGTTCCGTTGTTATCTTCATCAATGCGACCTTTCATATGAATCAAGGCAAGAGTGCTTAGAGCATATACACAGTTCACATCCAAACGAGTGGGAAAGTTTATCTAAACGCAATAAACTTCATGATATTGGAGACTTTGTGGGCCAGCTTGAAGGTGCAGAAGCCTCAGCAGTGCCCTCTGTTGAGAAAGAAAGGAACAGTGGTGTGAGGGGGGAAGGTGGCGGCAGTGATGAGCTAGCACGGAAGGTCAGCTGTTCTCTGTGTTTGAAGAAATTTTGGTCAATACAGGATTTGAGGAGGCACATGCGCTCGCACACAGGTACGTCCTTGTTGCAAGATGGTGTAAGAAAACTTGATTTCAAAATATTGGCTAAATACTTTTGGGTGATTCCAAAGAAAAATTAATGAAAACAAAAACTGAATGTCGAAAAAATACCAAATTAAATTTTGCAAGTTGCTATTTTCTTGCAGCCTCATATACAGGAATAGATCTATGCTTTAGAAATTTATCATATGAATGAAGCCTATAATTTGAATGAAAATTGGCTCAAGAATGAGAAGGTGGCAAAGGCCGGGTGTAGTCTTATTATTTTTATATCATTGTGTTAACTTCAACAAGAGCTCCATTTGGTTTTTATTTACAAGTAGGGAAACAGCTCAGTTTGATCAGAAAAAAATTGTAATATTATTTTCTTATTTCACCAGGTGAGAAACCTTTTGCATGCAATTACTGTGGCAGACGGTTTTCTCTAAAGCACTCCATGATGAGACACAGGAAAACCCATCAAATTGAAGAGGATCAAAATGAAGAACAGGGAGGCCAAGCTGCAGAGACTGCTGACCAGGTGAGTTACACACTAATTCCTGATTCATTATGAAAAAAAATGTTCCCAAAATATCTTTGTCATAGCAGTTTCAATTATTTTCACATCCACCTCAGACCAAATATATACAAGATTCTTAATCCTAGAATAATCCTAAAGACCAATTCAAATTTTGCACATCTATGAATTTTTTATTACTTGTGTGCCATTTTGTTGTTTTAACTCTTATAATCTGTGCATTCTAGCCATGTTCCTATGCAGAAAACCAATCAGATTGTTCCGATAGCGGTGGGGACGAGAGCATGGATGATAATTCTGTACTTCTACAGAATCTCCTTGGAGTGGAGCAGACGGCCATAGAGCAATTGCTAACATCTGCAGATGATGCAGCAAAAATGCTGGGGGTCAACAATGGCAAGAATTAATATAAAAAAACAGCCATTTAGAAAATCATTAGTGCCATTTGATAGAAAAATAGTTTGTTTTACTTCTGATGAAAACTTAGCATGTCAGCGTCTGATGATGATGCGGGGGAAATATTGAAGTTGAAGCTAGTATTGGACAGTTTTCCATGATCTCCAAGTATTTAAGTTAATATGCATGTTTATTTGTATTTCAACGTTGACCAAACATGCTAACAGTGCTGGCCATTTCAAAATACGTCTTGGCAAAAGAGTCAAGTTTTAGATTCACACAGATGTGGGACATGTCTTTTACACTTTCAAGAACCATGCTTGTAGTAATGAAAATCCCTTGTATCCAAAGGAATATAAGGTCGAATAATTCATTTAAGAAATTGGGGGAAAAAGAAAAATTAAAGATCGAAATTTACAAAAAAAGGCATATTTAAAATGCTTACATATAATTCTAAAAGGAAAGTGATGGTAAATTAGTTTTTTTTTTTTTTCATAATTTACACTAGATCATTAGATCTGTCATTTTGGCTTTGTTCTTTTTATTGCACGAAATAAGAGAAATGTTTGAAAAATGGTTTGAAGGTACTGTGTAGAGTTATTTATATTGTTTTTGTGGTTCTTTCAGAAATGCTCAATACATAAATGTCACAGTTTTTCATATTATAAACCCAGGTTTGATCAAGTAAAAATGTTAACAAGTTCACAAGTTGTCTGCTGCTAACTATGGCGCAAGCAGTACAGCTGTTTCGATTTTCTCTGACAAATCATTTCATTTGCTTTTCAAGTAAAGTGTTAAGATTTATATTTTGCTCTTCATTAGGAGGTAAAAGTATCAGATACTGATGATGCCAGTGCTGATATTAAGTAATAGTAATTGTTTCATCATTTAAGAGGTAAAAGTGTGCAATTTTATACTCATCTCTGTAGCACAGGTGATTCTTTGTACATTAATAATTACCACTGGATTCTTTTGTAGCTTAGTATTATGCTAAACTTAGGTAGTTTCTTTGCCATTTCTTTGCAAAAAAAAAACATGCTTTATTCAATAAAAAAAAAGTACCTCAAATTGACATGACCTGTTATGTGTGAAGTACATGGGCAAAATTATAGTTACTTGTTTTTTGCCAGGGAAAATATATTTTTTTTTATGTAGAATAATGCTTACTACACAAAGTACACTTTGCACTTTGGTATTCAGCTGTTTGACAAGTTGCCTCAGTGCTTTTTGCCGAAGTTTACTGGATATATGTAAATGATTGGCCTTTGGCTGATACAAAAAGTAGATAAGACACTACGCAACAGCTTCTTCCTTCCAGCTAGCATGAACTAATTCAAAATCTGTTAAGGTTTAGTTACAATGAGTTACTGTTTAAGAACTTGTCCTGAAATATTCATTTCAAATAGATTATTGAACTATTAAAAATCAATGATAATTTGTAAATGAAAAATCAGCTGTATTATATAAGTATTGCGCTTTTGATTTAACGAAAAATGTTCTTTGATATTTTGTCAAGTTTTGTTCCACACTAGTTGTTCATATAGTATAGTAAACAGTACAAGGGCCTTATCAAATAACAAGATATTATGCCATCCTACTGCTCAATTAATGGGGGATTGGTCCAGTTCGGTACTGTTTATTATAGCCCACACAAAGTTAGCCATGATAGCTAAGGGAAGACTTATTCCCATATTAATATACTACATACATATTTTGTAAAATTAATTTACATGTAACATGTGCATGAGTTAGTGATTGACCTCCAAGAACTGGATATATTAGAAGACAGTTATTTGCATGGCCGTTTACTCTTTCAACTACCATTTTCTTTGATATTGGTCACCACATGACTCACGCAGTAATAGTCTAGAAAGTCGAACAGCAGGACAACAGGTTTGTAGTCTAACATGGAATAAAGTTTGTCTTTGTAAATGGATATTAGAAAATCTTTTTGTTCTTGGGCTTCCAGCAGAGAAATACTTACATTTGATTCTAGATTTCAATCTATAATTCGTGGGTCTCAGCAGTAATCGTGCCCACAGGTTGAGTTCTCCATATTCTTAATGTTGCAAGAAACTAATTTCCAATTTGTATTTTTCTGAGATTCAGGAGACGGTCATCAGTTTACATGGAGAAATATTTATTTACATATATTTTGCATGACAAGTACTTGTGATACAATTTTAAGTATTTCTTTAAATAAGACTTGGGATTTCACATAAATAATGAAAAAGAAAATAAAACTTGTGATTTCACATTTAAATAATGAAAAAAAGTAACTGGTATAACTCATTCCCTCCAAATTCACTACAGGTCTATTGCAGCTTTCTCCTTAACGATGTTATCACTGACCACAGACCCTGCGACTTCTCTGTTGCTGCCTTGTTCTCAACGTCATCCACAAGGTCACCCTCCCCCTGAATCTCAAATCCATTACAAAGCAAATCAAACAGTTTCATTTATTTATTCATTTTGCTGAATGTCCAGGATCCCAGTTAACATTTCTTTGTCTTTGATCCTTGCTCTTGTATTTTCTGCTTTCGTGAATTCTGTTTTTTCTTTTTGTCAATGGGGATTTTGATTTTATTTTTTCCTTTCTTTTTTGTCTTCTTTGAAGAATCATGGGAATCATGCAGTTCTAGACCGTGTCCTTTGTGATCATCTTTCAATTCGGAAAGCTGCAAAAAAGTAAGATTTACATTTAAAAAATAATTACTTTCTGAGTACCAATTTTGCTGGATGTTGATTAAACATGAAGAGATAAGATGTCTGCAGTTAAAACTAAAAACATACGACAATACAACTAAAACATGTTTGTACTCACAATGAAGAAAATTGCACAGATTTTTAATGGACAGACCTGCATTTTCCCCAAACAAAGGTCACCACCTTGTTCTTCTTTGCTCTTCTTGTTTGGTACATCTTGAAACCAAATGACATTATTATAACAATAAAATGTGGAATGCAAGAAGAACACACAAAATGAAACAGAGGCTGTGGCACCTAAACAACAATACGATCTTATTTTTAAAAATCTCAAAGATGACTCCTATTACATCTCTTATTATTATCTACATAAGCCTATACAATACAGATATGTCATATTTTGCAAACTATGATTCCTTGATCCTGGATCCATTTTAATGTTAATAACATGAAAAACAAGGATCAAAATAAAAAAGAACTGTTACCATGGAAACACTCACTAAGCCACAGTACTACCCACCATCTTTATCATCCAAGAGCTCCTTGAACAACTTCCTCTTCTTAATGTTTCCAGTCTGCACTTCTTTCCATTCTCGTCTACGGTGGGCAAAGTTCTGCAGGGCACAGTTCTTGTAGATGTACTGGCCAAAGCGGTCACTTCTTAACTTGGACTCCTGCTTAATTAGCTCTTCTGCTATCAGGATTCTGTTCTTTAGGGAGGCTTGAGCCCACAGGCTGTCCAATGTACGGCTGCCGTTACGATGACAGGCTAATGCTACATAATGACCCTGAAGGCGAATAATTTTCATTTCTATATTCCAGTAATATTCAATTTGAGTATTTAAATAGGAAAAAGAAACCAAACCTAACGAGGCTCGCCAGATTAGAATGTGTAACACACAATGAGAAGTTATCAGACTATAAGTAGTGAAAATCTACGGCTTCCCCAGCTTGCAGTCTCAGACTGATGTTGACTTATCCAAATTTTATCAATTCTGATCCAACTGGCAAAAAGTTTGTCAGTCAAACCTCAGATTTCTTTGAAAATATCAAACAGTTTCAAAACCATCAAGTTAATAGCTTTTAATACAACAATGAATTTAATTTCACGCTCTCATCTTGATCTCACCTTGAGCCTTCCGTACAGAACATCTTGGCTCTTCTCTCCTATCGTTGGACTGTGAAGGAACGCTTCCACAATATGGCTGCCAGAGGCGTTACAGGCCAACACTTGCAGCTCTGTTGGTTTGAGGTCGAGAAAACTGGAGACAAGGAGGCGTGGGTTGCCGTATTTCAACAGGTGTTGTACCAGTAGTGACCCGTGATAGTTCACTTCTGTTAACATGGGAATGGAGGTGCTAGATGACTCCTCCTTCAAGAGAGAAAAAAAATCTGTTAGAGACAATCACAGGCAACAAGACATACATCAGGTTACTTAGATTCATAGTTACTGTATCAAATTTTTCGATAAATGAATTAGTTGATTTTGCAAAAAAAAAAAAAAAAAAAATAAGGTGCAGCTTGGTAATTAATATATGAACCCTGGGGTAGTGCTAGCAAAATTTTTCGCTTAGCCAATCACCACATTTTTGTCAATTTGTTATCATAATCGTTACAATTTGGCTAAAACATGTCATGTCAAGCCCTTTTTCTTAAGCCAATTTAAGTCAGTTTTAGCATTTGGCTAAATTGGCAAGTGTTAGCGCTACCCCAGGAATCTGTTGGTTTCGTCTTTATCACACACCCCCTTCCCAATCCACTGTAATCCAACATCACTCTAAAGTATTTCTATTAAACCACAAATTAAATATGTCCCACAGAACTCTGAGATAAAATATAAAAGCATCTACTTTGCCAGGAGCTTCTGTGAGAAAGAGGTCTTAATCATACAAACCTGTGGGTTGTCTTGCTCATCAGAGCCCTCTATCTTGAAGAAAACTTCATAGGTTGTGAGGGAAGTAACCAAGGACATAAACTTCATTTGTCTTTCAACAGGGCTATAGCAGTGAAATGCTTTCATCAAGGCCTAGGTGAAGTAAAACATCGATTAATAACAAATTTACTTTTACTGAAATAAAAAGAACTGAAAATAAAGAGACATAAAAATACAGAAACTGTCTTCTTCACTCTAATGGGGTTAATCTTTTCTGGACAATTTTCAACAAACTACACTCATTTAATTTCATTCCTCAAAAATGATCAATATGCATCTTAATCAGTTTGAAAGATCAACATCAAAACAAAGGTAACATTTTTCACAAGAAAAAAGATCCAAATGGATAAAATTTGCGTAAAAAGTATTGAGTGAACTGCAGACACATACCTTCACAAATTTGTCCTGTTTGGCCCCCAATCTGTGACATGCCTCTGCTAGCTGCACCACAACTCCACAGCAGTTGTGAGCTAAAATATTCTCCAATTCTTTCTGTAATGCCTGGAACACCTGCTTCAACTGTAATAAACAGACAGGATTTTTGTAAGGAAAAAAGTAGGATGAAAGACCGGGTGGCTTTGGGGGTTGCTTAAAGTTGGAATGCTGTCAATAGAACATCAAATATTCCATTTAAATTGCATAAATAGAGATAAACAAATATCTTCTCACAAAATCACATATCAAATGAAAGGTATAAGATATGCAATACGTCATCCATGCCTGTAGCCAGCCATTTTAAAGGGGAGGTTCTTTTTCTCAAAAAGTGATCCTTTTAGTTTTACTATGAAACCTTTGTGTACCTAGATCATATTTTACCCAAAGCGGACCATTTTCCAACAAAAAGGTCAGTGTGTTCAAATCCCCCTAGCTAGTGGTCTGACATCCCTATAAACTCATGATAAGTTGATTAAAATTACTGAAGTATAGGATTATGTCATTCAGGGTTGGGCGTGACTATTGGCTGAGGTAGCACAGCTGAAAATACCCACAATCCACTGGTCACCTGAGATGTGTTATGAACATTTTTGATCAGTCTCTGGACTACGAAATTCCCAACAGGATGTCCACTCCACTCAGGCAGATTGGGGAGAAAATGAGTGTCCAGCAGGCTCTGGTACTGACCCTCTGTGGACAGTTCTAGGATCTGTTCTATGAGGTGGGAACTCACTTGGCTGAGCACCATGGCACGGAATGCAGTCTTCTGAGTTGAACTGGAGGGAAAATAGAATAGCTGTGGATAAAACATGGCATGCATATTTTTTATGTCAACTAGATGGAAATAGTGCAGATAACATATGGCACAGAATGCAGTCTTCTAAGGGGGGGGGGGGAGAGAGAGAGAGAGACAGAGAGAGAGAGATGGAACCTTACCCATCTTTTTTATTTCTCATCATCAAGGACACAATCCGGTCACAATATTCTGAGCACTGTTCTGGGTGGTTTTTGTGTGACACCAACAGCACCGTCTGCACCACAGGAACCACCAGGTGATTGTGGAAATACTCTGAAAATGGGATAAGAAGAAAGATTAAAATGTTCATTTCTTTCCCATGAATTTTTTCACCAGTGAATTTTTATATCTTTTTTTCTTTGAAGATTAAAAAAACAAACAAAACCACAACACTGTAATTTCTTACTTATTCCACACATAAATAAAATGTGCCATAAAATGAAACACAGGCACTAGGCGTATTAATTATGCCCCTAGTTATGTGTGCATCAAAAGCCTCACCAATATGTAAATATTTAGTTATTCCATGCACAAAGCATTACAAGTGCAGAGGACCTCCTCAGGACATTCCCCCCCCCCTTTCTCCAACCGCACAGCAATCAAACCATGGAAACGAGAAAGCATGCATAAAATTACACTTCTTCCAACACATGGCCTGCTATGCTTCACAGATATAAACCAGAGGATGGGTCCTTTGAGGTTGGCCAGGCTATAGCAGTGAAATGTAGCCGCACCCACTTAACTATAAAATTGCCATTTATTGCATTAATTATCTTGAAATGGAGAACAGCAAAATCTGAACTGTGTTGTTTAGAATGCACATTTCAAGACAAAATATGTTTAAGCTTGAAATAGAAAACTCTTATAAAAAAATTATATTTGTCTTTGTTGAAAACATTGAATAATAGGGAATCAAAATGCCAAGATCTGCGCTGACAAATCAGAAGAACTGCAGTAATGACACCAGATGTCTGCAACACAAAAAGTAGACGCTGACAACATTTAACATTTTACGGACAACCAACAAAATTAAGTACTTCCTTCTTTCAAGCTTCACACATATAATGTGACCATCATGCAAAAATAATTTTAGATCTGTCCAGGTCTTCACACTTGGCACATGGCCACCATGGGAGTGTGCACTCACTGCGCGCTGACTGCTATCATTGCTCTGACTGTAATATCCACGGCTTTTGGCAAGGTGATAGAATATGAAGAAGTTCGGAAACTTGTCAAAGAAGAAAAAATAAGTCACCATGAAAAGACTGCAGAGAAAAACCAACGGAATAAGAGGAATATTCCAAGCTGGGCTTTTGGTTTGTATTTTTTGTTACTGTCATAAAGTTTTTGGTAAAAGTGAAGAGTTATCTGTTGAATTTGAAACAAAATTGGCTGATAGGAGAGAAGCTGGCTTTGAACATGAGAAATCAATCATGGAAAACCTTCAATAACGTAAGTTTTTACATGTGCTTGGACAGTTCCATGTTTTGTTTAAATTAATTAAATGTAAGGCAGAACATCAATTAAGGGTTATCACTCTTTCTTTTTCAAGGAAGTATTATAATTCATAAGTGTGATAAATTTTCCATATATTTGAATTACACATTTCTTACTGCATTAAGTGAGGTAATTACAATGATTTTGTGAGCAATTGAAATAGAACATTTTTAAAACTCATGTCGCACATGCACATAAGAGCAAACACACACTGCATTATACAGTTACAGTGTATACAACTATAATATTATATTGCCCAGGTCTAATCCACTCTGGGATAGCAACTGAGAAGTACTTAAATTACACCTTTTTGTACTGATGACCCCCTCCTCCGACCCCCCCCCCCCCCTAAGAATTTAATGTGCATAATATAGTAACAGTGTCTACATTTGCCGCATATGATAATCATATTATCATTGACCTATATAACTCAGGTGCCAATCCCCCTGGGGTACCTGCTCTAGGCCCTGGGGATAGTGGACCTGTGTTTGTGGAGGGAAGTCCCTGGGGTAGAGGTGGGAGCAGTGCAGGGAGTGGCAGTCCATGTAAAAACTTTGACAAAGGTAAGCATTATCTACCCACACCTTTTAGTTTAATATATTCATCAGTTATGAAATAAATACTTTTTTCTTTCCTTTAGGAGGAAAATTTTAGTCTATACATTTTATTTTTGAAGTTCAGAAAAGAAAGGAGCAATACAGATGTCCTTAACAAAAACAGTTCTAAGGTAACTTCATAACATCAAGTTGTAAAATGTACTTAATTACAATTAATTTGCATAATTGGAATAAAATTGCACTAAGCAGTTGAACTGAACCATTTTACACATTTTAAGTTGTTTAGTACATAAATAATCCAACACATTTGTCACGGGCCTTAAACATAACGCTCAGGAATGACACAGTCCATATGAAATGCAGAGGGCAGTATCACCAAAACACCTAGACTGAAAGTTGGTAAATAAATAAATAAATAAATAAATACAATATCTATTTAAATAGGATTCTATGACTTGGTGGTAGAAACTGATGGCCAAGGCACCATTAGTGGACCCAACAAAAACAATGCCATAATGGTGTCCTTTTCTGGCGGCTGGACCACGCCCAGAGACTGCGCTCGCCAGGCATTGGCAAAAATTGACTTTGATGCAGGTGCAGGAAGAAGACTTCGGATTGACATGTGCTTCAAGCAGCCTCAAGGCTTTAACATCAACATTGGGGACTCCATAAGCAACAATGGCTATGGTAGGTGACTTGATTGTAATCAAGCTGGTGCCAGCAAGGCACTTCTTCAGGCAATTACATCATGGGTTGAATGCATGAAGGTCATTTGTAAGCTTCTGTTTTTTTTTCTATTTTTTTAGACAGTTATTTAGACAGTTTAACTAGCAGAATGTTTAAGGCAATGTGCTTAATTCTAATGCGGAAGAGTGAGTCTTTGGACCTTCAATTTCCTGCCAATGTGCACAGTGACACCTAGTGGACAATGTCATGACTAATGTCTAGAACAGACTGTAAACTTGAAGTATTATCAGTATTATTATAATGTGGGTATAATTTTTAACTTTGTGAACAATATACAAAGACCCTAACTGGACCATAATGTGAGCATGCCCGAAGACCTACAAGGAGCATTTACATTTAAGATAGGTGTTCCCTTCTTGGTATGCCATTTCTCTGTGTGCAGCTTGATTCAGGCAAACTCTTCACAATTAGCAAATATATTTAATCTGTTTCTCCAACTACTGCCATAGCCACCCTTTGGCATGGCGCCCTTCATACTTCAGGACAGAATACACCTGCTGCCTGCAGAGAAACTGGCACATGACCAGAAGAGATAAGTTGAATACAGAATGGTCGACCTATCTTCAATGAAAACCCACCTTCAGTCCCACAATCCTATTTCTTTTGTCTTTATGTTATGCTTGTCAAGGTTTGCATTCTGCATTTTTACTTTAGGTGGAGATGGCAACCACCAAACCAACGATGCCGAGGTTCACAATATCAATTCCAACTTCTACGCCTACGCCAGTGACCTTCTCTCTGCGACCCAACTGGTCAACGACCCAGGGGCCATCCTTTCAAATGAAATCTTCAGCATGGAGGTGAGGAACAACTACATAGGATGGGCCAACTCCCTGAGCATTAGCTCCAAATCCTCGTCAGCACTATTTGCCCTCAACCACCAATACGACCAGGGACCACACAATCCAGGCACCAATTCTATCGTCTATATGGGGATGAACCGTGTGATCAGCTACAGGCAAGACCGGATCGGCCGAGGACTGTGCTCTGTTGGCTTTAAGTGGTTTTAGAGGAAATGGTTCACTCTGAATTATTCTACTTATTAGTAACAATGATACCATTTGTTGTCAAATCAAAACATATCCACAAAATGCATTGGTCACGAATAATGTTTCAATGGCATATATATATACAAAAATTTCATTTTATGGCCATGAGTTCTCACTGGATGAATTTATTTGTGAATCCTTTCACTTTAGACCAAGTAATAAAAGAATATAAACAAGCCTGTGTCCATATATTTAAAAAAATGCCCAGTAGGTACAAGTGTCCTTCTTTAGCCATCTTTCTATTTTCTATGACCAGAATAAAAGCCAAAGTGCCAACCTTAAAATGCTGAGCAAAAATCAGTGACATTTCATCCATCCTCAAAAGTTATTTTCATTTTCTCAAATAAAAACTGTAACATTTTAATGACCATTGAATGGTAGTGCCCGACACCTTCTGATGTAGATTTCAGTATAGTTAATATAGATATTAGTAAAAAGTTACTCTGCTATCTAAATGGGCTACCTGGTTTTGATAAAACTATCTCCATAATTCTGGCACAAATTTTTTGACACACAGGTTGCAATTCTTCCACTTTCACTAGCTCTGGAGTGACTTTATTTCTTTCTGAAACACAAACCAATTTTTCAGTTCCTGAATGAAATAAAAATGAACATTTTTTGCAAAGGCATTATAATACAAGAAGTATAAAGGAGCATTGACAAGCTTTAAATTCATATCACTTCATGTCAGTTGTTGCATTTAACCATTTCATAATATTTTTAAATTAACAAAAAAAAAAAAAAAAAAAAGAAAAAGAAAAATTAGCCCTGCTTTTAGGAATATCAAACTATTTTGATAAGAAATAGATTTCAAAAGGATAAAAATATCAGAAAATTGATCATCTGCAGAAAATTCTCACCCGACATCTGTTCCCGTGACAACCTACTCCGAATAATTCTCTCCGTCACCCTCACAGCACCAGTGGCTTCCAATAAAGTTCTAATAATGTGACTTGCATATGTGTGTTCAACATAGGTGTCAGTGTTTTCCAAGACATGACCACACAAACTGAGAAAGTCAACCCTAAGGCTTGTGGAGTATTTTCCCTTCTTATCTTTCTCATTCTCCTTTTCGCTATCAATATTAGCATGAGCATCTTCATCATCATCAGTTTCATCATCACTGTCACTGACTTTTTGGTTCCAAAATTGTGGTGTGACTTTTATTATTGTTTGTGTCACATAACTTGCAAATCGATTTGTGCACACAGTTTCCCAGTCAAAAGAAAAAGCTGTCAGGATTTGGTAGAGTTGTGTCCCACTTGCCCATTGGACAATATTCTCCACCACTCGGCTTACAGTCTGGTTTTGTGAAACAGTCACTGCTTCTGTAGCCAACTGTTTGAACACATTCCTCAGGAACAAATCTACAACAGAATATTATATAACCAATCAATCAATTCACAAAACAAACTTCATTTATATAAGGCATTTTGATCTGGCTTTTTGCATTATGATAGACTAGTATGACAGTTCAAGGTTGTTTTATATGTGTTTTTTAGGTTTATGCACCATGTTTATTAACCATATGGCAATTTTACAACCCTGGCTTAGTTACCAATCAAGGTGACAGCTGAGTGCGCCCATAAAATACAGCACAGGTGCTGAGCTAACATATTTGCTCCAATTTTAATGTGTATCAAAAAGCTTAATTACCAAATTGTGGCATAAGCTCAGCACCTCTGTTATATTTCATGAACACATTTGGGCCGAAAAAGAAGCCAAGATATACTGATCCTCTGGGTAATAGTCGGTTTTACGGGTCCCTATTTAATTAATATAATAAGGGTTTATTGTGTTCTTTGCAATATATAAGACATATATTGAATGTATATGTATAAAAGTATAAAGATGTAGTACTAAAATAGAGCTTTAAGATAAATTCTAAGTTATAAAACCAATAATGAGGTTAAAAATGGTGATTCGTTGTTATTTTCAAAAGCTAAAAGTTAATGGATAGACCTAGATCATTGACACGTATATAAACAGTATGGGATAAAAGTGTTTCTATATCTTTTTGTCCGACATTTTGGTAAAACATATCTATAAACATTCCTTAGGTCCTTTTTAATTGTTAATAACTCATTAAAAACGTCATTAAAAACATATTCAAGGCATAATAATTATAATCCAAGTCAAGAGAAAGGTTTGTAGAGTCTAACGATACCAAATTTATGAAAATCGGGCCAAAATTGGTCAAGTTATTAACAATTAAATAGGGACCCGTAAAACCGACTATTACCATACTCTGTTCACATGCTATTTCAAGTGCATTGTATTTAAAAGAAACAAAATGCCAGAATTATCAACGTACTTAACGTAACGTGCCTCCTTCTTGAGTGTTGTTGCCCAAATACTGCAGCTTACCTCGTTCCTCTGAGGATTCAAATCCTTCTTGAAGAGTGTCCGACACCCTTCTGTAATAACCACGGGTATGTTCATCAATATGACCACGTTTTTTCTTCTCTTGTGTCCCGCTACTTCTAATATCTGCTTCCATATTTATATTGCGCCCTACAAATTAGCTCTGTGTTGGTACCATGCTTTTCCTACAAACAGAAATAATGAAAATCTTGTACATAGTTTCGTACCAAAGTATACATTTTTCTTCCTGTGTACAATAATATTCTGATTTGATTTCTTTAAAACAAACATAAAAATATTTTTCAAATTTCAAAAGTGTAATTATTACCATTGTTAAATGCTTAATCAATGTAAAAAGTATGCGAAACTTATTTTAATTTCTAAGGTTGCGCCGATATCCCGTCGGTGATGTAACGTAAAGTGCGAGTGTCTACAAAAGACCAAAATTTGCCATGGCTTACAGATGTTTGGGCTTCGGAAGAAGAGGGGAGAGAGCTTTAGTACGCCTTCTACGCTCACATTACCCTAAACTTTCTGTAAGTAGCGTGACTTTGTTAGAACACTCGACAAATAGGCCTAATTTTGATTGCAGCTCGTGGATAAAAGTTGTTTATGCGCAGTCGCTCTGTTCACCATCACTTGCTGATGCAAAAATGTTATGAAAGTGCTTTGTCATAACAGGTTAACGTAAGACACCTTCACCAGTTCGGTTGCCACTTTTAAATATTCATTCAGTACAGCCAAGAAGTTAATTTTCTAGATGCCATGTTCTGGGTGTTAGGAAATAATCTGATATAAATATATATATACATGCAGAAGAAATTCGGACGGTTTTCAAACATAAGTTACGACACTTGTACCATCACTATTGTTTGATGTCATAATGTTGGCATCTACATAAGATGTGCTATTTTACTTTTCAAGATGGGTGTTCTTTATAATAATGAATAAAGTGTAGTGGAATGGAACCGCCTTTGGTTTTCGTACAGTCTGTCTGTTTTACAAAAACAGTAACATGATCAGCGACTTATACCTGCAGACACTGTTTGTGCCATCGCATCTACACCAAACAGGCCCTGCGCTGATAACCTATTCAGATTCTGATTGATTATAATAATTAAGTCAGCTAGTAAATGTATGAAAAATGTACATCAGAAATTGGATTCTTTCAAACTCTTAAAAGTGATGTAAAAGTGAAATAATAATATGTAGTAATGAATGTGATAAAATCATCAAGTTAAAGATATGAGGTTAATAAAGTATATGAAAAAAATAATATGAATTAAAATTTAGAATTAAAATGAGAAACAGCTAAAGGTTAAAAACTTTTTTAAAACCTCTTTCATCCCAAATATTTTACACTCACAAAAATGGAATATTAGCATGTTCATATCTATACATACTTTCCAGCCAGACTTGTATACTTATAGTGTCATTCACATATTTCATCAAAAATGTACCTTGAACATTTGCTTCACAATCAGAAAGAAGACGGAGAATAGCGAGCGCGCACACACACACACATTACCTGTGAGACTCTACTGTTTAAAATGATAACATTTGATGTTTTTGAGCTTGCTCTGACAGTGTTTTCTTTCAGTAAGAAAATTTAAAATCAAGTTCCAAATAAACAATGGGAGACTGTGTAAAAGCCTACAAGGTGAATGCTAAAAATGATCAACTTAACCAGCACACCCCTACAGGTGAAGATCATTATTTTCATTATTTTTCCAAAAGTGTTCATGGGACATTAACACCCCCTCACCCCCACCCCAGGGCACGGTTTGCAGACTTGTGAAAATGATTAAGGCTGACCCCTTAACTGATGGCAGGTGTCTATAATGGTCAGGTGCTGTTAACAAGTATAAAGGGTATGAATACAACTGCTGGCTCACTCTCATATGTCATATATGTAGATATATAATAGATTTGCACGGCATTTTCACATGAAATCCCACTATCACTTTTCATTGAATAAAAACTTAATTGTAATACAAATTAAAAGGTACTATTTTTTTTTTCATATAACATAAGAGAGGAGTTTTCTTTTGAAAATATTGCAGTGATATGATTTCCATTTTCAGATGCAAAATAGCATTCAAGAATTTCAAAGTCTCTCTCGGACTTCAAAGCTATCACAAATATTAGCAGCTTGGAATAACTCACTGGAGCAGTTAAAATATGATAAACCACCTAAAGGTTTTGAAAAATTTTATCAAAAAGATAAAAAGAAAGGCATACCAGTGAAGGAAAATGAGAAAGCTGATAGCAAATCCCCAGAAAATCAGCCACCTGAAGATAAACCAAAGGAATCCGAAGAGAAGTCGAAGGAGTCTGAAGAGAAGGCAAAGGATTCTAAGTCTGATATTGACAAACAAATGGAAAAAATGGGTTTCAAACCTTTTATCAGGGTTGGAGGACCTAAAGGTTTTGGTGGAGGTGGATCCTCTCAAGGCATGAAGTAAGTAAAACAAAGCACAAGCTTGTCTGGACTTGGTTAAGGGCAGATAGTTATCAGCGCTTGACATTTTTTTTCTGCTTTTTCTCTGTACATTTGACAGCTTTGTTGCCTTGTTTTCAGACAAGCACACCGTGTTGCCCTTTTCATGTAGCCATAAATATATGCCATCCTATAAATTATTACAGTAAATAAAAAAAAGAAAAACTAAAAAAAAAATAATAATATTTTTTAATAAATGAAGTCTGACAATGATGCAATTTGGAGACTGATTATGTTGCTAATGGTGTGAGGCACCCACATGCACACATTCATTCTTAGTGTATCAATACTGCATTTAGCCCCCAGGAACAGATGGGTCTTGGAGTCCTTTTTGCTGCAGTCCTAGCCTTTGTGCTGTTTAAACATTTTGATGCTGGGAAAGAAATAACATGGAAGGAGTTTGTGACTGAATATTTGACTAGAGGAACTGTAAGTTGGCTTTAAGTATCACATCTACAGTTCTGGTAATTGTACCAATTTTTTTTTTAGAAGTCGAGTTAATTAAGTGGCCAGAAAAACTGTTTGCTTCACCAGGAATGGTAACTTTGTCAAAGGGCTCATTCTTAATGAAAGTTATAGCTCTACAAAGATTTTTCAATTCTGCAGGGACTCTTGCTGACTGCAATCAGATTAACATGCCTCTTGTTTCCAACATACTCTAATTCACCAGCTTTTCTTTGTTCAACGCAATGCCAGGAGGCGGCATGTTAATTTGTTAATCAGATTGCATTCAGCAAGAGCCCAGCAGAGTTGGGTTAATCTATGTAAAACGATAATTTGGGAATGGGCCCTACATCGGGAATGTGCCCAAAAGTGCTGTATGGTCATACAGGACCACAAGATTGTAAATTGTAGGCAAAATAAGTAATATGATTGTATAAAAAAAATAACGAAGTTTGATCAATGTGTAGATATTTTTTCATTACCATGATAGTGATCTATGTCATTTGACTGAAATTTTGCCAGCAATATATGTGAAACTTATAGAGCCCTCATTTTTATTTTAATTTATTTGTTTTCAAGGTTGACCATTTAGAGGTAGTGAATGGCAAGTTTGTGAAAGTAAAGCTTATCCAAGGAACAAATAGCACTCAAGAGGTAAGGAGTTGCTTGAAATTTGGCATCTGTTTGAGCAGATGTCACGGCACACTTCTCTCAGATATTCCTTTGCACACAAGCCTTCACCTCATAATGATATAATGGTAAACGGCGGATTCCTTTCTGCATGATTTCATAAGTGTGCTAGACTTGACCAATACCAGCTCACACTGGCTGGGTCTTTTGTATACTATCATGAGAATTACCACAAAATATGCAAGTCAGAAATCCCTCTTTGATCACCTTTGTATGGCCTTTGTTAAAACTTGTTGCTGTATTACCAAATTTAATGACATACCAAGACTGATGAACTGATTTTCCATTTAATTTTATTCTTTCATCTGATTGCAGAATGTTTGGTTTTACATTGGAAGCGTGGAGGCATTTGAACGCAACCTAGAGCAGGCAGAGATAGATTTGAACATGGAACGGTCAAATTTTGTGAATGTTCTATACAAAAGTGAGGTTGAACCGTGAGTATTATATTTATCAGTTACTCTGAGAGAGTTCTCGTTTTGCATTTTGTAGACCTCAAGCCCAACGCTTTTTTTTTCTATATGAATGTGCTTATTCCAGCTGGTAGTACAATATCCGGAGGCAGTATCACCTCTCTGATCCTCTAGTTAAAAATAGGGGAAAAAAGCTTTTAATCAACATGACAATATGACCAAAATTTGCACAAATGCCACTAGAGGTCAGCACATCAACTGTTCTATATGCTGATTGGCCAGTCTCCAGAAGTCGGTTAGCAAATTTCAGACATATTCCTCTAGATAGCCCATGCTGTTCAAGAAAAGGAAGGCCAACAATGATATATTTACTTAGCTCTTTCATTTATTTATTTATAATAATAATTATAATGATTTTCAGTTTTTCAATAATTTCAGCAGCTAAATTTGTAGATGCTATATTTTTTTATGTTATTTTTGCAGGGAAAGGCTCTTTTCAGCTTTATTTCCTGTCCTTTTAATCGTTGGAACAATGTTGTACATGAGGAGGGTAAGTTTGCTGATTTGTCCTAGTAAATGGAGGTGGAAGGGTAATTTGGGGGAGGTAGCATGAAAATTTGGTTTTAGTCCTGTTTCGTGCACCAGCTCTGCTGCCACGTCACCGTTACCACTTTTCTTCCTAAACTGTGAGAGACTACATACCCATCTCTTGGATTTAGGTCACGTAAAATCTTAACTCGATTCCACATAAATTATCAACTTTGTCAATTTTCATGCTACCTAGGTGTGGCGGTCGTGGCAATGCACCCTTGTCCGAAATTTGATGAGAACTCCTTTTAAATGCATTTTGTAGAGCTTGTCAAGCACAACACTGGAGGTGGTGTCCCTTTTTTTTTTTCATAGGTATGTGCCAACTCCAGCTTGTGGTACAATACCTGGACGAGGTATTGCCTCTCTGATGAAATATTAAAGGGCAACTCCATGGAAGTGAATTTTCCAGGAAAATTTGAGCAATCTCGTACTCCAAATCATTTGTTTATCCCTCTATACACTTGGATTTGACATATAATTGAATTTGTGAAGGTTGATTTAGCATAAAATAACAGGCCAGACATTATAACCAGCGACCATCTTCCAAAGCTCCAATAGAGATATCAGCATCAGGTACGCCCCAAAAATAATTATTTAAGGGGTTAAATCATTTTAAGATGTTTTTAAGGTTTTACAAAAAGCTGTGGATGGCAAATGTAAGCATTTGGGGGATTTTCAAACCCATGGAGTACCTTTTATCTGAATTGCTGCTATCGCTGTGCAAGAGAGATGGTCATGATGAGGATGCCAGCAGAGAAACTAATGCTGATAACATCTTTGTTTCAGCTGACCGGTGGCCAAATGGGAGGCCGGCCAGGGCCTGGGGGGAGAGGCGGGCTTGGCGGAGGAATGTTTGGTTTTGGCAAGTCCACTGCTCGCCTCATTAAAAAAGATGAGGTGAATGTGAAGTTTAAGTAAGTAAGACCACGTCTGATGTATTATGTGTGATGTGAAGTTTGGGGAAGTAAGACCACGTCTGATGTATTATGTGTGATGTAAAGTTTGGGGAAGTAAGACCACATCTGATGTATCATGTGTGATGTGAAGTTTGGGGAAGTAAGACTAAGTCTGGTGTATTATGTATTACATGAAGTTTGGGGAAGTAAGGACACATCTGTTGTAAGATTTTTAATTAGCATGTCATTATTATCTTGGCATGTTATGAATATGTTATTGCTAAAAATGATGCATTTATAGTGTCCTGTTGATCATTTATAATTATAATGACATTTTTATTCTGAGAAAAAAATGTTGAATCATTTCAGTGATGTCGCAGGCTGTGAAGAAGCAAAACTTGAAATCATGGAGTTTGTTAATTTCCTGAAGAACCCAAAGCAGTATGTGGATCTGGGAGCCAAAATTCCTCGTGGAGCCATTTTGACTGGTCCCCCTGGGACAGGTGATTGAGATTTCCACTTTATTATTATTATTATTATTATTATTATTACTACTACTACAACTACTACTATGAGTATGATTATTTTCACATTTTTTAAAAATTTTTGTATGAAAAAAAGAGGTCAGCGTCATCCGAGTCCTTTTATAAATACACCATAATTTTCAACTTGAAAATTGTTTAACAAATTATTGACCAGATAAATTGATGATTTTGTTTAAATGAAGTTACCTTGAAGTGTTGTGTTATGCCAGGTAAAACCCTGTTAGCCAAAGCTACTGCTGGTGAGGCCAACGTTCCCTTCATTACGGTGTCCGGCTCTGAGTTCCAAGAGGTGTTTGTGGGGGTTGGACCGGCTAGGGTGAGTATCATGTGTCCAACGCTGTCAGATAACGCAAAAACCTACTGTGTGTATCTCCTCAGAATTATCATGTTGTCATAACAACTTGCTTGGTTTTCAGAGCAGATAAATCTTTCTTGATGAAACTAGGTTCATAAAAGTTATTGACTCAACATTTTCATGGAAAAAGAAACTGAATATATGAAGGTCTGGGTTAAAATAAAAGTAAACAAGCTGACTGTTGCGAATACAAAAACATAATTTTCCGGTGGAGGTATGAACATTTATTTACACACGTCTTGACACAAACTGATGACGGTGAACTGAAATAATTGAAACAAATGAAACAAATGAAAGTAACAGAATAAACAAATATAAATTTCAACTTAATACAAATATCACAATAAAGAAATTACAATAAAACACACATATAAAATAACTAAATACATACATAACAATGCTGCCTCCACTCATTCGCGTACAGTACTAGGCGTGTTCCAACCATGACAATACATGGTGACGTTTTATTACCACTCAACAGAACACCAATCATCCAACATATGAGGGCGCCACTCACACCAAGACGAGACAACACAAAGTAAACATGACAAACAACACAAACAAATGAAACAAAAAATTGCCGACGACACTGTCGGCAACACTCAGCCCACACAAAAAAAAAAAAAAAAAAATACTGTCTTCCAGTTCTTAATANCACTGACCAAAACAAAATGAAACAAAAGTGAACATTTCCTTTGGAAAAAAAAAAACAATATCCAAGGCTTTTAAATAGGGAATGTTTAGTTTTGTCATGGCGTTGAAAATGTAAGCCAGCAGATCATAACAAACTGAAAAAAGGAAACTTTGTTTTGTTTCAGGTGAGAGACATGTTTGCCATGGCCAGGGACAATGCACCGTCCATTTTGTTTATTGATGAAATAGATGCAGTGGCTAGAAAACGCACCGGCAGAAATTTTGGCGGAGCCTCGGAGCAGGAGAACACTCTGAACCAACTTCTGGTGGAAATGGATGGTATGGACGTCTGCCCTTTAGAAAAAATCCTTATGGAAGTTTTTGAATTCTAAGAAAAAGATGACAATAATCTTGATTGCAAGTTCATTATTCACCTGAACTTCATCTATGATTCAGTGGATGCATCAAATTCTGTCCAATCTCAATAAATTTCATGTGAAGTCATTAAATCATTATATTCATTCTGCAAGTTTTTCATAACCTCAGATATTGTGATAATTCACAGCCTGCATTTTTTTATCTGGCACTAATACTTTAATAACTTGCACCTAAAAATTTTTATTTCAAAAAAGGGAAATAATAATAATAATAAAATTAAGTGTATTGTGATAATTGTTTCTCCTGTAGGTTTTACTACAGACACCAATGTTGTGATTCTGGCTGCCACAAACAGAATGGATGTCCTGGACCCTGCTATTCTACGACCAGGGCGCTTTGATCGCCAGATCCACGTAGGGTCCCCAGACATCAAAGGAAGGTCAGATATGCAGAATTGAAGCCATGCTTAATTTGTCTGATTTAAAGTATCATTTTTGACCTTACACCAATTTAACCCAAATTTCACGTGTCCAATTTAAAGAATCATTTTGACCTGACACCAATTTAAGCCATACTTCATTTGTCTGATTTAAAGATCATTTTGACCTCACACCAAATAAAGCTGAATTTCATTTGTTCGATTTAAAGATTATTTTGACCTGAGCGACTTGGTGTCCTTAGTTAAAGAGTGGTTGTTCCGATTGGGGGCTTAATTATGATGCCTATCTAGTATTAAGACTATTGTGCCTTCAGTTTGGTTGCTTATCAATTTTCATGCTCTCCAAAATGTTTTGTATTTTGTTAATGTTAACAGATTGTCTTTATATTTGATGATAAAATTAAAATTTTTCAGGGCCTCCATTTTCAAAGTCCATTTGGCAAAACTGAAGACCAATTTGGTCAGGGACGACCTAGCAAGAAAGATGGCTGCACTCACTCCAGGATTTTCAGGTTTGAAGTCATTGATTGGTGTTGGTGTCTGTTTGGTTTTGGGTCAAATAAAGAATGTTTGATATAAAAAGAAATCATCTTCTCAAGATGTTTCTGCTACATATTTCTACATACATTGTATGAGGAATATAAGAGAGCAACAAAGAAGTAAAGAAATCAATCCGGTCTGTGTGACTTGTTTCTCTCACTGTCATCTATACATCATCATTCATTCTCTCTCTCTCTCTCTCTCTCTCTCTCTCTCTCAATACACACACAAATGCACATGCAAGCACACACACTCGCACAAACCACGGACTGAGAATCATTCCCAATGTCTGTGTCTTTCCCTAGGTGCTGATATTGCCAATGTCTGCAATGAGGCTGCCCTGATTGCCGCCAGAGATCTCAACACCTCCATAGAGATGACACATTTCGAAAAGGCCATTGAACGAGTCATTGGAGGTAAAGTCAATTAAAAAGTCAATTTTCTTTCCATTCCTGAAATTGTCATATTAAATAATCCTCAGTATTGAGGGGTTGCTAGTCGGGTTTGCTTTTCTGTAACTGAAAGATATATATACATTGAAGTAGTTTGGTGAAGTGTTGTTTGGGGGTTGTAGCTGTGTGTGATTGTTTACTTGACATATCTGGGCTTGCAAATAACAAAATCATTTGGAGGGGGGGGAGAAGGACAATCGGGTATGTGTATTGTTAAAGCATCAAAAACAAAATAAATCAAAAACAGGCGAAATCTATCATTAGGCACACTGTGTGGTTTTTAAAGAATGCCCAAGTGAATGGGTGGTGAAAGAAAAGTTTTAGTAAAAGTTGGTCAACTTCGTTAATTGTACCATATAAACCGGATATTGAGTTACTGTTCATAGTCATCCAGCACAAATAAAATCAATACTATATATATATATATAGAGAGAGAGAGAGAGAGAGAGATTAAACTCCTTGATGAACCAGCAGTAGTTGGTTTTAGTAGCAATATTTGTTTTGTGATAAATTCTTTGTTGTAATCACTGCTGTATGACGTAATGAGATCTTCTTTGTGACCCTCTAGGACTGGAGAAGAAGACCCAGGTACTACAGCCAGAAGAGAAGAAGACTGTGGCCTATCATGAGGCAGGACACGCTGTGGCTGGATGGTTTCTAGAGCACGCCGACCCCCTGTTGAAGGTGCGTAAAGCAGAGACAAATGTCTTCAGGATTTATCTGGGAATCCCAGATGTTTTGGTTTTGTATTTTTGCCACCCAGACCCCACACACGCATGCATACATGCAAACACAGAGCTATGACTCTTTAACATTTACATTTTTTTTTTTTTCAAAAATATTCCCTTTTTTATCTCAGCGAAAGGCTGTTGATACTTGTTTTTCAATCGGGAGATTTATGATGTGCTCTTTAGGAAATTTTTCTTGAGAGCAGTCATATGAAAGTGTAGTTTCTTAATTTTGATGTCTACAATGCAAGATTTTAAATAACTTATTTTATGGCAATGCTAAGAGCTGGAAGGTGTTTGAGAACCAAAATAAGTCATTTCGTCTACAAAAAAGGAGGGTACAAACTTAGATACAAACTTTTTTTGTGCTAGATTTTTATATGCAGAATGCACATGTGATAAGTACATGATTTTCTTAAATAGATCTTTAAATAGATTTTTTCCTCTTTGCTTTTTATCCCTAAATGATCAGATTAAGAGACATGCGTATCTCTCTCCTCCAGGTTTCTATAATTCCCAGAGGCAAGGGTCTTGGCTATGCCCAGTATCTGCCAAAGGAACAGTTCCTCNGCTGTCTTTTACATGAATACAACACTTCACCACTGAACAGGTACTCCAGTTCAATCATTTTGTATGTGGTATACATGACTGTCCTTTACACCTTGCTGAAGTGTAGTGTACATGTATCTGACCTTAACCAAGGCACATGTTGCAAACAAAAGATCCAGAACTGGTAAATTTTGCACTTTTGCACAAAGTGCCTTTTCTCCAGGTACTGCATGTCAGGATCTCATGTCTTCAGCTTTCGCTGTCGTGTTAGGATTTTGATGTAAACTTTACTTAAACAATAAACTAAATGTGCCAGAAATGGAACCAAATAAATGAAGGAATTTTTCTTAAAGGGATGACAAATCTTCGTATGAGATCTATATTTCACAATAAATATGTTGTAAACAACTCATAGAAATATAATATATTCTATTTTACCACAACAACAGTAATAGCAATAAATCTGAAATGTGTGCTTGCCATCCGACCACGTGACCTCCATAGATGGCTTTACTCTGTCATAATCTCTTAAGAGATTATTATGAAAAAACAAACTTTTTAGAAAAAATCAGGGGCTACCTTTGAATGTAGAAATGGATTCATTAACCATTGGGAAGTATGGGAAAATTGCTGTTTACCCCAGGAAAATCCATTTTTTTGGCCAAAATGAACAGTTGTTATCCCTTAAATGAATCACACCACTCCGTGGGTATTAATGAAAAAATAATCGGAGGCGGTTCTTATTCCAGATAATGGACAGGATGTGCATGACCCTGGGGGGCAGAGCATCAGAGAGCATCTTCTTCAAAAGGATCACCACCGGAGCACAGGATGACCTTCAGAAGGTCACGCAGATGGCTTATGGGATGGTAAGGTCCTTTGAAAGGGAAATTGGAGGGGAGGAGGCATTGGGCAAAGGAGTCCTTACTTCATCTTTTTGTTGATTAGGTTTTTAGTAGTAAAGCAGCTCATTTTGAAGTTGAGAGGTGCATTCATGCCATGAGTGTAGGTGTTCATGCACAGGCAGTACTGTGGTGCTACTTTAAGCCCATTTTTATGCCATATTTCAGATCACCCAGTTTGGTATGAGTGAAAAGGTGGGCAACATCTCCTTCCAAATGCCTCAAGCAGGAGACATGGTAATGAGCAAACCGTACAGTGAACAGACAGCTCAGATGATAGACGAGGAGGTGAGGAAGATAGTAAGCAGTGCTCATACCAGAACCATCGACCTCCTGACTATGCACAAGGCAGATGTGGAAAAGGTGAGTTAAAGAAGGCAGAGGTATTGTACACGGCAACAGGCACACAAAAAAACATGTCATTTGAATGTTGCTGTAAATTTATAAGTTTGAATGTATAAACTGAATATGTCTAGTGTTTTCCTGGCACTGTTTTGGTTTTAGGGACTTGCTTATTGTCAGAATATTTGTGACATGATAAAGCAGATAAATGTGAAGTGATTTGCCATTCGTTTTGTATAAGTTGTATATACTTGCCTTTTTTCTTTCTAATAAATTTTGTTTTCTTAGTACTGTAACATCAATCAACATGTGAATACATACAAAGCAAGTGAACAGATAGTCTTCAAAGAATGTTGTCATTTATACAGGTAGCTCTACTACTTCTGGAAAAAGAGGTTTTGAGTAAAGATGACATGGTGAAGCTGCTCGGGCCGAGACCCTTTGCTGAGAAGTCAACGTATGAGGAGTTTGTGGAAGGCACAGGTGGGGTGTGGATTTCATGTTATTATTCTTATAATTGACAGAAATGTGATCAGTCATAAAGTTCCACTGATCAAATAATTTTTTTTTTTTCATGATATGTATTGTGATTTTAGGTAATTTGTTTATGTGAACTTCATGTACAGCACTGTAACTTCCCTCTGTGATTCAGTCTCTTGTCCACTTTTATTTGTTAACCACTTCTTGTCAGAAACTTTCTTTAAAGTCTCAAGTTTAGCAGTTAACTTTTTGAAAATTCAGGCTCCTTTGAGGAAGATACCCAGCTACCAGAGGGTCTTAAAGAGTGGAATAAGGCTAAAGAACCGAACCGAGGGACTGACTCTAAACCATCCATGGCTGCTGAGAACTGATGCTTGTACAGGGGTTTAGGAAAATATTTGTACAGTTGCTTTATTGTTGTCTTGTTTATACCTGTATACACCCACCCAAGGAGGGGTTTCTAAAGTCCCAAGGTGGGGCTGTAAAGACATAAGCTGATGTGTGGAAATTCTTTTCATATCCAGTATTGGAAACCTGTTATGAGCTGGTGTTTCAAGGCTGGTCCACGACAGGAAGGAAATCTCAACTTGGGTGTTTAATAAAAATAGCATCATTTTAAACTGAAGAACTCAAAAAAATGAAAAGGAAAAAAGTGAAAATAATACGTATTGAATTCGAAAGGGTGGAAAAAAGGATGTAAAACTTTGTAATGAATTCAAAGCCAAATAGGTTGGATTCGGGACCTAGGTTTACAAACTGATTCTAGACTGGGCCTTGATGTTTGTAACTACAGCATCTTTAACTCCAGAAGTGTCATGGTTTCACAGGGTTTAAACGGCAATGGCGCCTACATTATGAGTAACCCCATGACAGCTGTAGCCGGACAAGATACGTCATCTGGAGTACCCATTTGTCACAGGACTTGCCTACTTCCCAAGACTGGTGGCCAAGTATGACAGGTGTCTGTCTCTTCTTTGTTGTTAAAGCCGTGATTCCAGCACAGGCTCACCACGTGTTATAACAGTCACTGGAAACATGTTCTGACTTGTGACTTTCATTGACTGAAATTATTTGGTGGTAAGGTTATTTTTCTAGGAGGAACAAATAGTAAAAAAAAAAACAATAATATGAAACTATAATGTGTTCTGCTGCACTGTTTGTGTATTAGTATTAGTATTATTATATTAATGAAACTTTGGATGGACACCTGATTTTCCACTCAAGCAAGAACTGAGAGAAACTTGATGAAGACTATACAATTTTATTTATGGAAAGAGTGATTAAAATGAATGTTAAAAATAAAAATTGAGTATTTTGTGTAATATACGGTAGTGACTCGATGTCATCACTGAGAGGTGAATTAACTCCATGTTACAGGACTGCAGGAAAGTGCTTTTCAATTTGGTTGCTATCACTCAGGAATGCAATGATTTAAAGAATTTGCACAACTTTGGAAAATACAGTATCCATTTCCCCATTGAAAAGGTGAATCATTTTTGTACCTCATGTTTTGGTTTTAGTTTAAGATATCTGGTATTTATTACTAATAATTTAAGATTTTGAAATTAAATCTTAAATACATAAAAAATAAAATCTGAAATAAAATACAATGAGCGAGTGTGAGTTTCCTTGTCATATCCTGTTCTTAAACAATTTTAGAGAATTTCTGACTAAAAAGGGGAGAAATGTTATATCAATTAAGAGAACATTTAATTATGCATCCACAAAAATAAAAAAAAATTCAATGGCAATATGGGGGTCAACAGATTTTAGCCAGGTTGATGTGAAAAATCATCTACTTGAACGATACTGAAATATTTGAGAAATTGGGTCCAGTTGTTGACTGAAAAAGAGGCAGGGCATCAAAAATAGAGCAGAAACAATGTAGAATATCACATTTTCCAACCATTTTCTTTCGGAGAAATGGCTTTCCGATATAATATTACTGTGACAGGTGTGAACTCGAGCTCGCTGAAAAACGGTCTACAGTGTGACAGGTGTGAACTAATAGGTCATTCAGGTGCGTTGCAGTAGTAGTAATCTTCTGAAAGGTTTTGTCGTCACAGATGTCCTATCTAGAACTTGATTCTTTACGTTTTGATAGATTCAGTTACAGATCATTGAATTGCGTTGTATTCGTGCTACAATAAACAGTAATGAGTGGATAAGATGTGGAGCAAAGTGAACCGCAGTTTTATTTATTGAGGGGGTGGGGGGGGGGCGGTGACACCTTTATAATTGAAACTGTGGCAGTGAGGTAAAAATATATATGTCATCGTTTGACCAAGAATACAGCACTCTTTAAACCCTTCGTGGCGTTTCATGCTTATTTGGAAATAAAACGACGAGTGGCAGATAAATTATTTGATGATTGCATTGTTTTAGTGGATAGAAAAACACCACGAGCTATTACTTATAAAAACAGTGTACGTTGAGGCATATGTTCCGAACTAACACTATGAATTATGAGATTGATTTTATGAGATAGAGCCATGGACAATGGTTGACAAGTAATTGCCAATTACACGAAACGAAGACAAAAAATGGGCATGAGGAGGTAACGAATGTCCGTTGACGTGTAAAGTATTTTACAAAAATTCAGGGATATCCATTGCAAGTTATGACTGGTGTTTGTTGGGTGAAGGGGAATATTTTGTGTTAGTTTATATTCGAAAGCAACACATTTTGCACAATGAAGTAAATAAGAAGTTTACATTGCAATTGGCTTTAAATCGCTTGAGAAATCGCGAACAGAGAGGGAAGGAGAGAGGGGAAGAGAGAGAGAGAATAAGCAATCGCTATCTGTACATCACGACAGTCAAAGTGGCGATCGTTCCTGATAACTTCTCCTTGTATCAGCGTCACTGTACACTAATAACGACTGTGAAGGCGATATCGGCTACTTCTCCGTCAACATCTCAATGACAGCACACATAATTGTCTACCCTTCCACGAATTTTATGAGCTGAAATAATCGTATTTTTCTTTCCTTTGGTAATTGAATTAGACGCGTAAAGACACTGTGCTACACACTCTCTGTCCGGTCTTCAATTACTCGTGTTCATATCATGAACTTTAATTGATATTGACTTTAAATTCACGGCAAAATGACACAAGCGGGCCCACTAATCATGTTTGAACTCCTGTGAGGCGAGTTAATTTCGACTGGTAAAGCGCCTACAGATTCCTTTCTTTTCCCTCCTCATTACGGCTTGATTTAAGTGCATTTCAAGCCAGGCCCTGACTCGTGACTAATGCCCGGAAATTGCTCTACGGGTTTTCTTCGTTTTCATTTCGTAGACGTACTTAGAGAACATGCGCGCCATCTGAAGTAAAGATGACTTCATAAATATATGTATATATATATACTGTATATGTAAGGGACGGGTTCTGGTTTGCGCTTAATACAAGAGCATTTCCTATTGTGATCTAGTCCGTGATTGTTTGACTATACATCTTCGCCGATGTGCGTGACTCCCAGAAAAACACCCGTGCAGCTGCCTCATCAGATGCCGTTTGCAGCGATCTCGGTTTCTGCACATTGCCGCGTTTTGTTCAATATCTTGCATGTGGATGTATCCGAGTCGTGAATCTGAAATGTAAGCCAAAACCACCGTTGGCGGCTGTCATTGAACTTTGTTATATAAGTTAAAGAATAGAAGAACTCGTTGCAAAGGAAGGTGGCGAACTGGCAGTGTTGATGCCTGACCGCTAAGGGCCAAGGTAAAGACTGATCACTAAAATGACGACACGATCCACCCATTATTTCTGCGCCCACACAATTGAGCGATGTTTCCGCCTCTCCAAACATGAATACTGTTGAAAACCCACACCAGCAACAATCGAGTTTGTAGCCGAATAGAAACACCTATTTTTGAACGTGCCTAGCTGTTCTTTCCGTCGGAGCAGACATTCTATGAATCACGCGGTGCCATCTGGCATCATAGCTGATTCCTTTTAAACCGTCTCTAAGACGAAATTTAACAACACATTTTTTAGCCAAGGATCTTGGGAGTAAAATGACCTCTCCAATCAACCTCGGCACTGCTCAAGTCGATTTAGTCAAGGATCCGCGCACCGGGTTCGGCGCTATAGTTCGCTCCACCAGCCAGAAGCCCGGCCTAGAGGTGAGCGGCCTCCTCAAGGGAGGGGCTGCCGACAACAGCGGAAAGGTCCAGCTGGGGGACACCATCACGTCCATCCAGGGGGTCGATATCACACACCTACAGTACTCTGCCGCCGTGGACGTGCTCCAGAAGTTCCCCATTAACAAACCGCTGCGGCTGACAATGAATAAATATGCCGGGCTGGGTTCTGAAGAAGAACCGAAAGCCGTTGCGATCAGAACGCCCATCGGACAGCATTCCCCATTGAGACGCTTGTCAGCCGGCATCAATATGAGAAGCCCCTCTCATTTGGCCATAAGGCGGGATTTAAGTATTCAAGTTCTCCCGGATCAAGAAAACAGGCAGCAGAGAGACAGTGACTCAGTAACTCCAGATTTCGAGGTGGGCGCAGCCAAAGAGAGAGGGACCTTTTTACAGAGGTTTTCTGTATTGGAATCGTTTCGGAAAATTTCGGAGAGGGTTCAGTCGGTGGTTTTCGGCTCGTCGCGTTGCCAGAGAACCGCTCGGGCATGCGACTGCTCATTTAAGACGTGCATGAAGTCCAAGGATACCGACTCAACCACGGGCCAGGAACTGTCTCTTGTTCAACTCGAACAGAACGGCGTTGAAAAGGGCAATCCGAAGTCGACTCACTCAGCACATGGTGTTGTTCCACACACTAACATCAACAGTGCGGTGAGCCAAAACTCGTGTAGCTCGAAACCTCGTGATACTCGACCCGAGGCGAGGCCACTCTGCACGAGGCAACCTCTAGACGCTCTGGGCACCGTCGTGGAAGAGGGACGCGGTCTTCCGCCTAACGACGCCCCTGGGAACGCTGCGGTAGCCCTGGAGAGTGAAGTCAGAATGGCTGATGAGGACGGCAGGATAAAAAACGGTAAGTGAATTCTCAGGTACCTGTTCTGTCCGGGTCAACACATTTGGGACAGAGAGGAGTTAGGTGCTCCTTGTTACAAAAGGGTTGTAGGCGGTAGTCATACATGAAATGCAGCCCAAGATAAAAAAGTAGGCTTATCAATGGTTTACGATGTTGTATTTTAATCTATGAGAGAGAAGGCAGTTGAATCACGGTCCGGGAGTAAGGCACCAGGTAAGGTGATGGTTTTGTAGCAATACCTGCATGGTCTTTGGCAATTCGCATGTCACGCATCGATCTCATGATCCCATCGATTAAGCTGCACTTTTAACGAGAGTGCGATATCCATGTCACACATTATACCACTAGTAAAAAGTCCTCGCCCGATTTCATTTGTCTTCTACCTCGTTAGTGTTTGTGAATTTGAGTGCTCTTCTTTGTTAAAATTTGCTTGTAAGGAACACCTGATGTTCTTCCGTTAACGGGCGGTACTTTTAATAATTTAGAAGAGCCGCATATAACGTGACCCAGAAATGTACTGGAGTTGTTCAACAAAATGGCCTGCGAAGTACTTCTTCAAACGCGTAAAAAAGTTCATGTATTTGTCGTATTTAGATACTTGTAAAAGTAGCCATATACCACAGACTTTTTTATTACACAAACTTTGCGTAAAAAATGGCCTATAGTAAAGTTCGTTGAAGGTGGTTAAGTTACTTTTTACTGTTTACGCTATTTGTAAAATTATATAAGCCCGACTTTTAAAGTTTTTTTCAGCAAGAAAAACACATTGAATATTGGCATATCTACATGTTGTTTATATTATCCATTTTGACCTTATACTTGTAAATTAAAGCAGTGAATACGGAGTAGTCATCTTTGATATCCACGCGAATCCCGTTACTTGCACTCAGTAAATAGGCACTAAAAGAACTTAATGGGTACCACAAACGGACGCGGCATAATCTCGAACACGGAAACATGGCCGCCGGTGGATTCCGGGATTTAAAAACCTGTTGTCAGATGAAAGCGTAAAGTTTGTAAAGTGATTGTCGATTTGGTTGGGCAATGTATATCTATGCATTAGTTGTTTGATTATTGGAGCACCCGTGTTCTCTTTGTAAGTTCCGTGTTGGTTGACTGTCAGTGCGGCTTCCTGAATTGATTTTTCACAAAATATCTTAAAAATTGCTCTAACATTTATGAAAATGTTTGATTATGCAAGGCAGAATTAATTACAATTACATTCTGCTACAAACATGTCTATAATAACGTCGTCGCATTGTAGACGTAGAGAGAGAACTTAAGTACATTGACATCGAAATTGGACAGGCGGTAGGGTTTTTTTAGTACACATAGGCTGTCAATGCTTCACGAATCGGATACAACACTGATTCACCAGGTTCATGGGGGGGGGGGGTTGTGGGATGGGAGTCGAAAGAATCGCCCTTTTGGCCGAAAATTGTGAATGAAAATTAATTTAGGTTCTTTTTCATTTCTTATGTTGGGTAAACTAAAATGTTTGAATGGTCTACTTTTTTTTCAGAAAAAGACACCTACTTTGAAATAGCTCGCTACAGACCCGTATACACACTAGATATAGTACCTGAACGAAACTGTTGCTTACCAAGATTAAACGTTACAAACTATGACTAACCAAGTTTATTACAGTCGAAATAACTTCATTAGAACCGATCATATTAATACTGAAAGAGAGTTTCATGTTGTTAGGATTCGTTGAACATTTGAGCCTTAGATTTGATCAAGTAAGCAGGGAAGAAGCACGAAACGGGAACCAATCAAACAGAATTATGCAAAATTTAATTTTCTATCAGTATTACAAGAATATTATGGAATTTGAACGACTCGTGAATCCGGTTGCTGTAACAAAAATCGCTTGCGAAAAGTAACGCAGCATAATTTTTTGTCAGAAATGAACTCCCTCGGGTAAAAAAGTGGTCTGTCTTTATTACATTGTAGTCTCAAAAAACGCACATTGTGAGAAGATCACTCCTACCTTGCATAAATGAAACGATAGAAAAAAAAGAAAAAAGCAAGCATTCCCCAAATCTCTTCCATTGTTTCGAATTTGAAGCGGAAACTACCAACTGAGGCAGCCAAAACAATTCTCCCGAGTGAGCACAAAAGCTCAAGTGATCACCCGGTGGAAATTAACCTCATTTCTAACAACAATCTCGACACTCCAAACATTAGTATTTGTTTCGTAAAAAAAGGCTTTACCAGAATGTTTGTGTGCTTAAAAAAAAAAAAACTGCACACTGGTATAATAAATAGTTCGGAAATATAAAATGTACAGCCACCAAATTGAGTACCATAATTTGAACAAATCAATGCATTTACAAATAAGTTATCGATCGATTAATTGACTAAATGGTTAGTGAGATTAAAAGTTAATTCAAGTGGTAAAGATTAGTTTTATGAAAATTGGAGATGCCTTATCAATTAACCATGAATGCCACACCCTAGTGGGCAGTGATGGGAGAGAGCGACCCAAGGTAATTATCGGGGGACGGTTTTGGGCGCCACGCCGAGTAAGATGAGTTTAGGCAGTCCATCATTTCTTCCGGGAAAGCCCTGGAACCAGGTCTTACATTAGATTGTGTTTGTCTCTAGGTATATCAGAAATTCCTAGTGCTCGCATTTGGTCCCCGAGAGCGATACTCATACAATTAGCCGTGAGTTTTAGTGTCATGTCTTATTAGCGTTCTGATTATTTCTTTTTTGTCGTTAAATGACAAAAAAGTATTCGCTAACGTATAAGGTGTAATACGTGTAATATTCTCCAGTTTCAGAAAATCCTTGGAACGTTGCAAGGCCATCAAGTGTATGCGATTGTAGGCATAACTGTTAAATACCCTAATTTCTATGTGCATCTCTTTACAAATATTGATCTTCGTATCATAAGATAATAATCTTAGCTTACCTTCCGACTTCGGCTATAACTGGTCTATACAATCCCTTCCCTCTATCTGCTTTACTGCCTTTCCATCTTCCTTAAAGAGACAAGAAAAACAAAACAAAAAAATAAAATAAATAAAATAAAATAAAAACAAAATAAAAAAAACCCGATCTGTTTTCTTTTAAATAGTCAAATCTCTTAGGAAAGGCGGTATATACTTTGTAGCAAGGCACGTCTCGTTGAAAGAGCAATTGTACAGACTTATACTATATTTTGTACCCAAATTCGACTTAAGGACTTCACATTCCACTCTTCTCACTCCAGACTTTATTCAGAACCGACTTATATCCAAAACCTATTGGTTTGTCGATGATTTTGGTACGTGTTCGTTGACCATAATGCACTTCCTCGGTAAGGAAGTGGAGGTCCACCGGATTTCAATCCGGTAATAGTAAATCCGGCCATCCCTCTTTATAAAAACAGAGGTAACTAGTTAGTGATCAATATGTTGATATAGGGTATGAAAACAATAGCGGGTTTTTCTAACCATCCTGTTTGCAATCGCCACCTTGTCTTGCCTGAGGCTCTCACGTACAAGATGAATGCCATCACTAACAAAATGCTTTATTTTTGGAATTGCATACATTCATACATAATTGTGCCCGATGCAGGATTCATTATGCGGTCAAATTTAAAATGCGCAGAAGATTTTTGAGAAATAAGATTTTAATGTTTGTACACGTTGTATTGCCGATGTATACAAGGTTACAAGACAAATCTCTACATATGGTGACACGACTTGGGTATTTCATTTCATAAAAAAAGGTTACTTTCCAACAGGCATAGGGCGTTTCTATCTATCTATCTATTGAATCTATCTTACTCTGTCCTTTTTCTTAAGATAAGCCAACGAATATTGTTTATCACCATTCATTTAACTAAATGATCAAACACTGACAAACCAAAATATTTTCAGTTACGGTATATTATACATGTTCTACTTTTTTCTCAAATATATACTTTGATCACTATGGTGTTATAAAATGAACGCGCGCGCTGACCAACCTCTTCCGGTCATTTATGAAACGTGCCTTGGCTACCTAGCACTTTCTAAATTCAGCATATCTTCAAATATAGATTTTAGACTAGATATTCATTACGACACAAACGAAAAGGCAAAAGTAAAAGTGACAAAAGCACTTCAAGTTGCAGTAGCAAAATGCCTAACAATCGACACGCAAATTGAACAGATATAACCTTTCACAGCGGCGACTCTCCTGTTTTGTTATATTTTTTCTTCAGGCCGCTATGGCATAACTCACGGTCGCTTTTTCTAATTGTTGTAATTCCACTTTTGGTCCTTGGTAACAATAATTTATATTGCAGAATACAAACAAACTATAATTGTGTATTTAGCATGGCTGACATTTTGACAAAGAGTTGCTTTGTCTTAATAATGTGTAAGAGACGTGCGATTTCTAAGGTTCTCTATCGCGTGCTAGGCTAGAATGCTACCTCAGACTGAATAAAAGACAATTCAAATACTGTGTATTCTACAAGATGAACAACAATGCAGAAATAAAGAACAAAGAAAGAGCAGCAACAATATCCCTTTCATTGAGCTGAGAACATGGCTTCGTTGTATAAGGTAATGTTTCTCCAGTGGCTCCTTGTAAAACCAAGTAGGAAAAAAATAAGTACGATTACACTAGTACAGGATAGCTACGCTCTGGCGAGAAGCGGAATGCCGTTGGCGTACTTGAGAGACTATAAAAAAACTAGGTAAAGTTGATTTTCTCCACACACTCCCTCTCCCCGCCCCCCTTGTGGACGTGATGTCTAGAAAACTGCTCGAATGTTGTCCATTTGCTTTGACAAAAGCAAAGTTTGTGATATTGACAGTAGTGTACCGAGTAGTGTTACATCTATAATTATCACTATTCTTTTGAGCCCCACGGGGATTTTACATAAAATATTGACCTAAATATTCTGTGCGTCAGTGGTAGATCATGCGTTACGAATATATAGATCTAAGAGTGCATTCCCAGAGATTTAGATCGATCCATCCGGATCGACCTAACTCCCTGGGGGTTCACGCTAAATTGCAGTCAGCCGAGCGCGCACGCGTTTTAAAATTACCCCCTTACAGCTTTTAGTAGGCGGGACAGACGCTTAAGCCGGCTAAGCTGACAGTAATCTGGTGAGACTCCCCACAGGGATAGATCGATCTAAAATCTGTGGGAATGGGGCCTTATAGAGCTGTGGTGGGTGAATTTTGATGTATGAATATTTGGCATTTGGTTCTGTTTCTCTATCAAAACGACATGTAGTAGAAACAGTTTCGACATACTTTATTATTATTATTATTATTTTTTTTTTTGAAACTTTTTTTCGTTAAAATGTTTTAATTGTTTTCCAGGCGCCTTACAAGTGCATATATGTCTTATAGTACTAAGTTTGAACAAAAAAGTGTTAATGCCCAGCAAAAACCGTAAGAATTTTTTTCCGCAAAAAAGGATTTTTGTAGAAGTTCTCTCGACTCGTTTGAAAATCCATACAGTCGTATTCATGTTCTGTATAGCTTGTTACATTTCCCAATTCAGACTCTTAAGACGATAATATCTTAAGAGATTATCGGAAGCGTACCTTGTGCCGTGCTAATCTAAACGGCACAGCACCGTTGACTGGCCAATCATTATACACTAAAGTATTAAATTAAAAATGGAATATAACATTGAATCCAAATGCAGGTACTGGTGAGGAAATATTTCGCGAGTAAGAGTAAAAATTTCTCTTTACCCCGGAAAAATTAATGTATGAGGGACAATGCAATGGAATGGCCCTTTGAAGAACGCGACCGACTCTAAATTGGAGGAATCAGAATTTTTGAGCCTATATTTTAGAGCAAAAATACTTTAAGTATTAGTTTGGTAAGTGGGTGGAGTATATAATTGAGGAAAACTTTAATGCTATTTTTTTTCTAACAAATCGCCTTTGCAGTGGATTTTGAAGATAAAATATTAAAAACACTGATGGACGATTGTATTTGGTTGTTTTAAAATTTAAAAAAATTAAAAAACAAAAATAAATCAACAACAGACCCCGTTTACAGCGTCGCCTCTCTTTAACCAACAATCAATTCATCTGGCCTTCTCCTTACCACTTCTCCTCAGTCCACACTAAAAATCGATTTTGAGGGCACTTCAGGTAAAAAAATGCAGGTATGTTGCCATTAGCCCTGCCAGGACGCTGAAATTAATCTAATTCTCCAACAAAAGCTTAATGAACCCCTGTTAAAGTGATTAAGACCATCGGTCGTTACCTCTGTAGATCACTTTATTTCGCCAAATGGACACAGATATATCCAAGTTTTGACACAATGAATGCTTTTTGATCTTCACGAGATGCCCAAACACCCTGGTGTTGATTGGAGTCAAACCATAGGGGGCGCTGATGCGCTGGCCATTTAAATTAAGTTTCTATCCATGCATGATTATGTGAAAATGATCACCTCTGAACACTTTATTATTATTATTATTATTATTATTATTATTATTATTATTATGTGCGTATGTTAGCAATGTTTAAACCACATTATTTTTCTACTTTTTAGTGTAAAGTTTTTCCCTGTAAAGCGTTGAACAAACCGCCGAGCTTGGGATATTTTAAATTTGATTTTAAAACGGAACATTTCTCAACTTATTGGTCAGTTGCTGGTCTATGTTTCCTTCCTCGAAAAAAGTCCAAAAATGGCCGTCAGTTCTCAAAGCGTGTTGTTGGACTAGAATCAGATGAAACGTGAACCTTTCACAACTAGCGACGACATGCTCATTTACATATATAGTTAGGCATAGCATAATTTTCAGTAACGCATGATTTTTATCGGATATTATTTGAAGGGGTGTTCTTTATGGCGGGGAAATGGTACTTGAGGGAAAAGGTATAATACGAAACAATTTACATGATCTTACTACAAACGGCATGCAACTTAAGAGACTAAACATGTTTTACCGGTAAGGCAAGACATTTCGAGCCTTCATCAAAGGACTTTGATGGCATCACTTACTCGATGTGACCTCCGGTAGTAAGGATGTCATCGTAGTTTTTTTTGTATTTTATTTTATTTTATTCTATTTTATAAGGGGGGGGGGGCGGTAAGTGCAGGCATGGGGACTTGGTTTTTAGACGGCTCCTCAGTCTTCCTGCTGTACCAAGGTTCCTCTTTGTAGGCCAACAGACTGGCCCCTGAGACCTGTGTTCACCTATGGCATTAGATTTCACTGTATTTACTTCTTCATTTCATTATTTTCAATTAATAGATACAACGGAATTACATGCAGCTATATCAATTACCGTGTACTGTAAAAGTGATTTGCAAGTTGCTCACTGTATACACATAATTTCTTTGACATCGATCGGAATTGCGTAAATTACACACATTCACCGTCGATCTCACCTTTTTTTTTATTTCGGGTTATTTTTAAACCCCATTTTACCATTTTTCTTTTGGCTTGTAAGATCTGAAAAGATCTGTAAGGTCTGAAAAGCACTAGAGGTGGGAATAAAGTTAATGAACTGCGATGAACCGACATTCCATGCCAAATGAGTAATTTATCACAACTACCGCAAAGTTATCCAATAAAGAACAGTGGTTGGATAAAGTATGGGCCACATAGACCCCCTTTGTTTCGATGTGTCACGCCTGACGTAGTGACACTGATGAACCGATGTCTTATTAGAATAACCTGCCCAGGTACACGGAAGTGGCACCACTTTGTACAGGTAGGTGAACGCGAAAAGACAGACGGAAAGGGTCTTTACAGCAAAGATGTTAACTTTTTGGTAGAAACAGGGGAATATATAAACCATGTTGGAAAATGAGAATGCGATCTTTTGTCACCTTTAGGCGACAGATATTGAACGCGTTTTTTAATGTATATTTATATACATTAAAAATATACATTTATGTATGTAAATTTTAATGTATATTTATATGAGAGGTGCACAGGTTACCATGGACACGAAAGGCGTTTAACATTTATGCGCATTAAACCCATTAAACTAAGATAGACTGGTCCTAGCATGTACGGTGTACGGGAACTTGGATTGAATGTTCTCAGTCCGTCAGTAAGAAAATAAACTAAATGCATACATGCTAAACTTTGACAAAGATGAATAAACCACCTTCTCATTCTCGCTTAAATCAAGTCATTGTCGATGACTACAAAAATGTGAAAAAAGTAGGGTATTAATATATCTTTCTTTACGCAGGCCGCTCTAGGAAGATGTCCAACTCGAGTGAGGTGAATGGTCACGCGGGCTCATGTCCAGTTATCCGACCACCAGTTCCGGTCACTTTGCTCAATATCGCCACAGGGGTGAGCACAGAGGACACGCTGCACCAGCAGGCAGTGCAGGTAAGTTAGGTAACAAAGGGGGAAGAATTCGGTGTTGTAATGTAGATATACGCTTCCCTTTTAACTTAGAGACCATTCCCACAGATATTTGGATCGATCTATCACCCTGGGGAGTCTCAATAAATTGCTGTCAATTTGGCCGGTGTAACGAAACTGAGGGTCAGTGTAACAGAAAGTCCGCCCTCTATATAATTATAATGCTTAGGGTTACTTTGACCTAAGTGGGTGGAAATCTAGGGCGAGGCTCACCTGTACAATTGAATGGAAAGCGGACTGTCTGTTATGGGGGACTCTCTGTCACGTTACACCGGCTTAAATGTCTGTCACGCCTAGTAAAGCTATTAGGGGGTAATTATCTTTACCCCTAGCTGATTTGGTAGGCGTGACAGAAATTGAAGCCGGTTAGTTGATAGTGAGACTCCCCCAAGGAGTTAGATCGATCCTGATGGATCGATCTATGTATGGGAACCCAGTCCTAGTAATATCAGTTTCGGAGGACACAGCATGAGTGATAGCGGAACCTACCGGATGACTCCATTCCTAAGCCCTGTTTTAACGGGCTTGCAAGTTGTAAGAATGTACATGTATTTTCGTCCACTTTCACACTGGTGAGAGATTAATGAAGCAACTGGATGTGGTGGTTCAAACTAAGACCAACATCATGCACGGGGAAGCCACATAAATGACCTCAGCAGCTCATTAGGGACTAAAGGCGTCAAACAAAGATGCAAAACACTTGAAAGTTAGTCTCTAAATTGCCCGGCACTCCCAGGGCTGTTAAAAAACACGGAACGTGCTGTATCATTTATGTAAAAGTAAAGATACCAAAAAAAAAAAAAAAAGAAAGAAAAATCGTCAACCATCGAAATCACCGACTGCAAAGTGGACAAGCATTGTTCACGTTTACCAGTTAATTCTTTCAATGACTCATTCGGTGAAGTTATTTCCAGATATCACCTTTTTACCTCAAATTGCTCAGGTACTTTGAAGATTGCCTCATTTACTAATATTATTTCGAGCTAATACCTTCTGGTAACATTTTATACATGAAAGGGATGTTATGAACCAGAGATTCTATAAAGCATAACGACCATTTGACCATTTGACTTGACTTGGTGACTTTCAAACATTTTACGCCCGTTCAATATCTTTGTATTTCTCTGAAGAGTGCGTGTCAATAATTGCATTCCAGATGTTTCAGAATTGTATTGACATTGTTTTGACAATAATATATTTACACTGACGAGTTAGTTAAGACTATGTCGTTTGGGGTCGCACGGTGAGCTATCAGGCGCTTGAAGAAAGTCAGTTTGATTAAATAGGAGAGGGGTAGAATAAACAACCAATGAACGCTCTGATGCAGTCGGGTATTTGTCACAGTCGTTCACAAAGATGGGTTAAAAATGGCTCCTCTTCACCGTGGATGTTGCGTAAACTTATACTGCCCTCCTGGTGGAGTTCTTTCTGTTTGGTTGCACCAATTGAAACTTCAGTTCAAGATTATCTGTCGTTCTTGTTTTACAGTTTTCTTACTTTAAAGATAGGTGAATCAGACATATTTGACAAGACTTATGATTCTGGAAAAATTTAGGGGTGTGACTTTTGCGGATAAGATCACTTGCCTAACACGTAAATGACTCCACCAGTGGTCTTTTTGCAAACCATCATGCTTCTGCGACGAAATAAATGATTCTTTTGGTATTCCACGTGTATGTTAATACCTACATTAATGAAAGCCGGTCTAGTTTCTAAACTGGTTCAGCATCTCTTCGTGACAAGGGCTTTCATAAAAATGTCAAAGGTTTGTAGTAGAAAGATTTGTGAATTAATCTTCTTATCGTCCTCCGCTTTGTTCGACTTTTGTGGTCTGCATGTTTTTTTGCAGTTGCCATGAACTTTTGAACAGTATGTGCTGTATTGTATATAGCCCTGGATAGCTGATACCCGGGTTACCTAGCTTGTAACTTTACCAGATACCAGCTTGACAAAGACGTCCTTTCTGAAATCATGTACACGTTCAAAAATGTGCACAGGATTATTCAGAATGATGTATCGAGTGGCAACATTCTCTCGGTGGCCTCAGAAGAGGATAGTATGGTGACACTTGATTGCTCCAGCATTTCCGCGGATGGATTTATTGTCTCCCCCGATTTTTTCACCAATCTTATCCCGGCTAAATAGGGTCACATTCTCCATATACGGTTTATAGGCGGGAATAAAGCATTGGAATGAAAAATTCTGTACTGTAATGTTTATCTATTCACCATCTCACCTGAATGTTACGGCCCAGTGGTACAAGGTAATGACAAATGATGTGGACAACTGCCGAACTTCTCATTTTACTTTTAATAGAGCTTCAGGTATTTTATTGAAAAATAAGGTGTTGTTTGAATTTTGATCATCGGTGTATATGCATGTTTATACATTATCTCAACTGTTTTCTTAATGATCTTCGTTTATTTATATGTTCTGTAAAGTTTGAAATGCTCAGTCATTCTGCTCTGTCATGTACAAGGAGAAGATAAATGCGAGACGGGGATGATTCAAAAGACATAGGTTTAGGTAAACTTGCTGTGCAACAGAAAATACCGACTTTACATTTTGGTATTAAATAAAATTGATGTGAAAAATTGCTTATCTTTTACACCAAGTATGGTACTTGATGTGAGCAAATGGCCTCAAGCAGACTTGTGCTGTGCAGGGAATTTTTTAATTTCTAAATGCCAATTAGCACGTCCGCTATATTCCAATTTTATGATTAATATAGATATTCTACATATTTTATAAACATTTTAACTACAAAAACTTTAAACAGTAAGAAGGTTTTGTGATGGGGCTTAAATGAAATGTATGTCCATTGCATAGTTGTATATACGTCTCTTCTGTAGTGAGCTTTATTTCAATGTTTATTTATCCTAAATGTCTTTTTTAAAATTCATTTACAGCGCGGGGTTGACTGCTCCTCTGAAAAGTGTCATGGCTCCAGCATGTTTCCCAAGAGATCGATGCGCCTAGGCACCGAACCACGTGACCTCGCGGAAGTGAAGCGACAAGCTTCCGAGCTTGTAGACTTGTATTATGCCTCCATTAAAAGGTATATTCCTTAATTACTGAATGCAACATTGGTGTAATTGTGAATGGATAAGTAAGAAAAATTGTACCAGTATAATTGTACAATTTAACTACAGCTTTAAACTGCTACATTGACAAGCGTCAGGATGACACGTTATTGTCAGTTTATAGTATACATCGATCGTCGGAACAATAATTCATAATATTTTTCAAAAGCTTTTTGTTTAATTCTAAATGATTGCACAACGTTCGATTCGCTCTATCTAAAATTGTTTAGAACATGTGCTATGGTTTTGCTTCTGGTTTTCCCCTGGTATATGCTGCTTCAGAGTTTCAAAGGACAGTGGAGACTCGTTTCGTAACTTTCTTCAGATTTCCAGAAGATTATCTAGACGCATCTTTGTAAAAGTGAGCTAGTGGTTCTCATCAACAACGCACGGTGTAATTACGCCCTTTGTCATTCTGTCAACTGCGTGTTGTCAATCACACATTTGGTCTCATATATTGAACAGAGTTAACAGACAGCTAACGTTTCCTGGTATTCAAAATAGCTTGCAATATACTCATTTTGCCTCATGGGAAATATATTCTTTTCATATCCTGGAGGGAAGAAACCAACGGCATTTTGTATTTGAGAGGCAGACAAACAGTTTGACATATAACAACCATGAAGGGATTATTGCAGGGCTGCTTGTAGGGTTCTGCAAGGAGTGTTTCTCTTGCAACTTGATTTTCTGAAAGTAATATTTGAGCATTTGCCGTAAAAACTGTTCCATTCCAATACTATACTCCTCCCTGACACTACCCATCCATGTGGGACACACGCACGCACACACGCACGCACTCATACACACACTTTTTGACCTCAAACCAGAATGTGCCTTCTAAACTTCTGAAATTCGGCCACTTTTAAGGTCTCAGTGGCACTCCAACTACTATACATTCCCAGGCTTATCATTCCTAGTGTTGTTCCTGTAGATTACAATAAATTTAAAAGGACATTCTGCATCCGATGATGATTCTTTATGAATTTAAATGCATTGTTCATAATGACCTTATTATGGCCGTAATGATATGGACCAAACTTTATTGTGAAGCGTGGTTTTAAGTATTGGGATATTATTATTATTATTATTATTATTATTATTATTATTATTATTCATCAACGTGTTACGACACCCCGCATACGGACATATTACAAGAGACCGCAAAAGCTCAGTAATGGCATTGTGTATTTGGATGTTTTGTATGAAATGCCACAAGGCAATTATTATAGAAGCCATAAAAATGTTTAAGCAGTATTTTTCTTCAACCAACAGCTAGCATTGTAATTGTTGTTTACCTTCAATATTTTGATGTTTATGTAGAGTATCTTCACCGGGTAAAGAGACTATTCAGCTGTACAACCGCTAATAAGTAGATGAGCCCCCCCCCCCCCCCCCAAACACACACACAAACAAACTTAGAAATGTGAGATGTCAGTGGCTTAATTATAATGGATTACGTTTTAGTTGTTCAAATCTTTGGGTCGGGCCTATTTTATGTCTGTTTATTTTACTATATATGCATTCACTGTCTTTCACTTCCATGTAGGGTCCACGGTGTGTTCTCTTTCCAGAACCAACACTCCAGCACATAAAGCAAGGCGTGACGAGGTCATGGCGTCATTAGATAACACAGGGACCTATGAGTTGACCTCGCAAGAACTGACATTTGGCGCAAAAACTGCCTGGAGAAACGCCCCGCGCTGCATAGGCAGGATACAGTGGTCTAAGCTCCAGGTAAGTGCAACTTGGGACTCGTTCCCAATGGAACTATCGGTTTACGTAGATCGATCCAACTCTGTGGGGACTCTCGCTGAATGCCATTAGTTTATAACAGATTTACACGCCTCCTCCTCCTCCTGGCGTTTAGTAGAATACAGGAAACGAGTGGTTATACGAGTATGTTGGATAAAAGAGGAGTCCCCAAGGAGTTGGATCGATTTGCGTAGACCGATAACTTCAATGGAAATGAGCCCTTACGCAAGTACCTGAGTTGATATAGAATGTTCGAAAAGAAGGCCAATAGCTCTGTGTCGGAATTTACGTAACCCCCTGGCAGTTTAACTGAATCATCTCACGAAGGAAACCGTTCAATGCACCTTTCAAGTGATATATAAGCGAGAAACTTTAATGAGCAAACTCTACATTAGATACTTACTTAAGATACTAAATTGTGGATTTTATCAGCACATCTACAGGTGTTTGTAATATAGTAACCTCTGAAGAAATACATAGACGATGAATTGAATAATTTAAGACCATCTACAGTTTAGTTGTCTCGTACGTTGTGCGGTACACAGACGTCAAAGCGCCCACTGGTACCTCACAATATTAACGTGGACCGTATTATTCTTACCGCTAGTTCAATGTAGCTCTTAACGAAGCACGCAAATGTCAACGGATTTCAGTAATTTAGCGCGCAATGGATGGATAGATTTGATTGAAATATCTTTGGAATAACATAATAACGTTTTTATTTACAAGCCATAATTAGGTAAGATAATCTGATCATTGATTTTTGTTCATAATTGGTTCGATTTAAGTGCATAATCCGTGTGTGATTTTGTATGATTTGGATTTCGTGCAGCCCAAGGCTACAAAAATGTCACGATTGATATCATTTCAAAAATAGAATATGGGCGGATTATGCCACTCATTTCTCTATGGATTGTGACAAATTTAGTTATCCTTCGTGTAAATGATCTCTGTTTTAATAAAAAGAATGCAATATTTTCTCCGATTTCTCTTAATGTGGTTATCATATAGGTGTCATCTACGTTTTCCGAACATGGTATTTTTGTTGTTATTGCCCAAATCTATTTTGTAAATTTGCTTACTCTTGTTAAGTTGATTCTTCGACTAGATTATCCCTCGTTAATAGAGTCAAATTTAGGCATGTCACTCTTTATCAGAAACAAATATTTCCCAAGCGCTAATTCTTGGACAATGAAGGAAGCGCACAGAAGCTTGTGTTTTGTGAAACTGCGTACCATAGAGCATTTGGCCTAGAGAATCACGGGGTACGATGTTAAGATTTAGGACCTACATGTTATAGAACGCTTGCACTGATGGAATGAAAAATAATTTCGCAAATTATCTAAGTACCCAGTAGTGCAACTGGGCACTAACTACGAAACCACAAAAGGCTAAGTGACAGACGCAGTTTTCAGCAATCACTGGCAAGAAACTTGTGGTCAAATAATACAGGCCATCATGCAACTTGGACTTTTGTGGTTTCGTATAGTTAGTGCCCAGTGCCAGGGTTTCATGAGTGGCATACAGAAATATTTATAATTTATTTTCCTTGAACGGAATCGTGGATTTCAAAACAAGCGACAACCAACTGAAGCGTATACATTAAAGACAAACCACTCAGTTCAAATACAAAGTCTTATTTAATAAAACAACAAAAACAAAATGCAGTTTCGCTGTACCTTGAAAATATGGTCTGATTATAATATCAGTATAACTCCATGTAGTCTTTTCACATTTATCTTAATTTCAGAGCATACTGAAAACGCATTAAAGACAAACCTGAACAAATTTTAACAAAAATCGTCGGTAGGTACCTAACGTTATGCTGGAACATCCGTGCATGCACTTATAATGTACTTCCAGGTGTTTGACGCCCGTCATGTGCGCACTACCACCGGAATGTACCAGTCTATATGCGATCACATACGATATGGGACAAATAACGGCGTGATACGGTGAGGAAAGTGGGCCAGTTACGGTACAGTATGTAGCAAAATGGGATTTTTCAAATAATTACCATATTATAAATGACTTACTATAACCATTCACGATTGGATAGAAGCCCTCCTGACTATCCTGCCCTCTACCAGAGCTACGGAGGGAGTTGTTTCAGATTTTTGTGGCTTGTTCTGTGCACATTTTGCACAAAAATGACGTCACCACCTAGTAGGCACCACGTAACGGGTATGACTATCTAATATATTGGGTTTACAAGTGCACGTTTTCCCAAGGTTTCCGCATGTACCGATTACTTTTTTCTATGACAATATCGACACGAGTCGTCTTGATTTATTTGGAACAAAAGATACAATGTCATATGTTACAAGGTATATCCATGTTTTGGTAGTTTTACGTCGTACAATGATTTATTAAACAGTACGGACTGTAAGGCATACCACCCGTGCTGATTGTATTCTGCAATGCTAATCTAAGCTAACATTATCCTAGTTGTCCTACATAACATTAAACCATATTCTTCTTGCAGATCAGCAATAACGATCTTTCCCCCTCGTACAGACGGTTGCCATGACTTCCGTGTCTGGAACCCTCTTCTGATTGGTTATGCCTGTTACAAACAACCAGATGGCAGTGTTATCGGAGACCCGGCGAACGCAGCCATTACAGAGGTAAGACGAGAAATGGCACCTGTTGAAACGCTGCATTGTGCAAAGAAAAAGTTAAGTAGCCTATCGTGACGCAGTAAAACATTAAATCCGATGGCATTACATTAAGAACATACAGTGGTATGTCTGTTTTATTTCAGATAAAGTTTAATACTGTAGAAGCAGTCAGATATGCTTGTGCCTTAAAAAGGCACAAATCACAGTTCTTTGCCAATCATTTATTTGGTGTGGAGGAACTGAAGCTTTCATATAAAATACTACATAATAAACCCCGATGAACTTATTTTCTTATCCTGTAGGTCTGTATGAAACTGGGATGGAAGGGGAAAGGGGGGCGTTTTGATGTCTTACCCTTGGTCCTGTCTGCTAATGGAGAAGATCCGGAATTGTTTGAAATCCCGGAAGACCTGATACTGCAGGTTAAGTTAACTCACCCAAAGTAAGTGTATTTCACGAATGTCTTTATTGGTATACAGTACCGTACAGTATTATAGCTTAAGAGGATATTGAAAATAATTGGATTTTTATGTCATTTTGAGTATACGAAAACCATATAGTTTCTATAAATATTTTTCATTTTACATTTATTGCAATTGTAAATAAGAATTCGCAATCCCGTGAAGGCCTTTTATTATATTTATTCTGTAGCTTTGCTGCTTGTAAAATCGTTTTAACAAACAATGGTGCATGGTATCTGGCAAAGACAAAATGCGTTTGAATAGTAGTTCTGTAAAGTTATCTTTATTCAGCTGTGACTCTAAAGCATATATCTTTGCGCATTATGAAAAATCCAAACCTTTGACTCGACAAAGTTTTCTTTATTTAACTGTGACTGTCATTGCAGGCCCGTAGCTTGCAGTTTCAAAAGGGGGGGTCTTTTTATGAAAAAAGTGGACCTTTTAACACGAAACCTTTGTGTACCTATATATATCAATATTAACCCAGAGGGGACCTCCCCCCCCCCCCCCCCCCCCTCCCGGCTACGGGCCCGCATGGTTTAATTTGTTTCTTTCGATATATTCATAATCTAATTTTTTCAACAGACCTATGAGCACGACTTACCTTGTTAATTCCCAAACTACAACACTTAATTAGTAATTTCCGTTGCGTGCCGAGAATGACATTTTACCATTTGGTTTTCTTTTATTGATGGTGAAAGACGGTTAATAAACTCTAGTTTCAACCGCTCGTGTTCGGCATTTCGCAGACATAATCTGTATCTTTTTAGTTTTTCCTTTCGAAAAAATTAAGGCATTATGTACTTTTTCATATGAACATTTTTTACAGACTTTTTTCATGTACCACAGCATATGCCACTACTACTACTATTACTATTAACTTACATATCATGCAAGAGTTTGATTGGAAAGCAAGAGCCTGAAAGCAAAAGTTGAGGCCAAGAAATGGTTTTCTTCCAATAAAGAGAGTCGAATCATATTCGAACAGCGACAAAACATTGCAATGGTTGAAGAAACTGAACAAATAATACAAATCAATATTTCAAACAAGTGCTTAAACCAAGTACGAAGAAAAAAGCACGCAGGTCACGTTTCTAATTTTTTTTCATTTTATTAGTCGACCCAGGAAAACATTATAACAGGATAATTCTTTCGTCTGGCTAGTTGTCCTACCCACAAATCCACACCAAACTGATGTGAATACATAACGTATTTCATTTAAAATCATACAACAGATACCCTTGGTTTGCCGAGCTCGGGCTCCAGTGGTTTGCCCTCCCTGCGGTGGCCAGCCTCATGTTTGACTGTGGAGGGATAGAGTTCACGGCCTGCCCCTTCAACGGCTGGTACATGGGCACAGAGATAGCCACACGTGACCTGTGTGACCAGTCCAGGTATAACATTATTAAGGTACGAACACGTGATCTGTGTGACCAGTCCAGGTATAACGTTATTAAGGTACGAACACGTGACCTGTGTGACCAGTCCAGGTATAACATTATTAAGGTACGAACACGTGACCTGTGTGACCAGTCCAGGTAGGCTATAACATTATTAAGGTACGAACACGTGAGGTGTATGGTGGGTCCAAGTATAACATTTTTAAAAATTAAACAATTAAAAGTGTACAAACACGTGGCCTTTGTCATCCCTTGTCATTGAAACAACCTGAGTTTGGTGACATTCATTTTCCATTACCCTCTGCTATTTTGAAAACGGCAAAGAAATGCTACTTTGTTATATTTATATATATATATATATTTTTTTTTTTGATAGTTTAATCTATTTTTCAGGAAGTAGCTGACAGAATGTGTCTTCACACCGGTACTCCTGTGACACTGTGGAAAGACCAGGCATTGGTCGAAGTGAACATCGCTGTACTTCATAGCTTTCAGGTCCGTAGGGATTTTACAATATCAGAAAAAAAACGTAAACTTATCATTGGTTTTACCTGGAAAAAAACATGCCGCTTGGGTAGATATAAATAATTATGAAATCAACCGTGTATTGAAAATGTTTAAGTGATAGCAAGGAACTTCCGTTTCCTAGTCGCAGAGCTAGGTAGACTGGGTATCGTGAATAAATGAAACTTGACGAATCAATAGTCCTAACGAACAGAAAAAATCGGTCGGTTCACTGACAAATAACTGCGTGTACACACTCGTACGTCAAGTGCTTTTACTAGTTATAACGCATGTGTATGCTACACCGTGCGTAAAGCGCGAGTCGGCAATCCATCCCCTAATCAGGGTCTAAACTGTGTCTATTGGGCAAAACTCAAAGCTAGATTTAATCTGATGATGTTCTGAATGAGGCAAGTTTGCCACATCCCATCAGTGACCTCTGTCGTGTCTTGTATGTCGTCATATTTCTCTCGTCTCACGGAGATCGGTGTAGGAACAACCGCATAATTAATAAATGATAGTGCGTGACGTGACTCTGTTGTTGGTAAACAGCATACATCCGTGCGGCATTAGGCGTTTGGCCATTTTTGGCCTTGAGACAGACTTGGTGCAGACGTTCTCGCCTTTCTGGGGAGGAGATAGTTAAGCTGCCGTTTGAGGCCTTGAAAACTAGCAAACGAACAATATCTTTCACTGCCAGACCAGATATTTAGCCCCTGCTTCAACCCCCTAATTGCTGAGTGCTAAGCGGAGAGCCAGCAGGCACCGCCATTTATGGAGTGGTATGTCTCCGAACAGAGGCGGACACTCTGACCAGACCGTTGCATTTACTCTCTGCTCTGTCTTATGAAACAAAAAGCTTTTTGAATGTTCATTTTAAAGACTTGCTTCACGTTTTGGTTATTATAATTTGAAAGTTAATATAAACGCACAAAAATGATTTTAAGTAGGAAAACAACGACGATCGCCCCCAAATAGTCTTCTATCATTAAGAAATTCATCTTTATTGTTTTCGACAGTGAATTAATCAACTTAACGGTGCTCTGATCACGATCTTTCTCCGTTTCTCCAGGAGGCAGGCGTCACCATCGTAGACCACCACACGGCCGCAGAGACGTTCATGCACCACATGAGGCGAGAAGTGGCGACCCGGGGGGGCTGCCCTGGGGATTGGGTGTGGATCGTACCCCCTATGAGCGGAAGTCTGACACCCGTGTTTCACCAGGAGATGGTGTGTTATAAACTTCGACCTTCGTACGAATACCAGGTAATATATTGGCTGGATTATCTGTGTCTTTTTTAAAAAAATTAAAATGTTTGCGTAGGCCAGTTTGTATGCCTCTTTAAGTCTACGTGTACAGACCTTCGTACTACATGTAGTCCATGTGTATGGTACCTGCACGGCAAGCAGTTCAATTTCGTCTTTGTCAGGGTGCGTGTACACGCATTTGCGCCGACATTTGCTTTAAAACGCATGTGCAGGAACAGGTATAAATACAGACGTGGGTTTAGGTGTTGAAACATGCGCGCTTTGTGAAAATATGTCTAGTTGTTTAAGAGCATGTGCACTTTCGTCTGTTAATGGTCACGATGCAGAAGATGAGAAAATACAATATTAGCACTTAGTTAAAAAGATACAGCCTACGTAGCGATATGTACCTTGAATAAATTGAGTGATTTTTACACCCATAGGAGGCCCCGTGGATTACACACAAGTGGAAAAACCGACAGATAGCCCAAGTAGAGAGAAAATCGAAGGAGAAGAAGGAAAAGAAGAAAATTAGATTTAGGGACATTGCCAGGTAAAATTTGCACTATGTTTCATTTAATGTTTTGTGCAGATTGGAGCTTGGATGTAATGAATCTGTCATAAATCAATAATTTCAATGATATTTCAACATTTCTCCATTCTTTAGTTATTATAATGTAATTTGTTGGCGGGATTTCCTAAGATTAAGCAGTCCCCTCTAATTAAGTTACAGAATAGAATGTTTCTTACTGAGGGCCTGAAATATTTCAATTTCATATATAAACAATGAACATTTCTTCATGTCATTGTTAATATTTGGTGTAACGTTTGTTTCACAACAAAGTTTAAACTGGTGCGTTTTTCTTCAGAGCTATTCGATTTACATCTAACATGATGACGACGGCGTTAACCCGACGCATCAAGTGCACAGTGCTGTTTGCCACGGAGACCGGCAAGTCAGAGATCTTTGCTCGCTCGCTTTCTGGTATTTTCAACAAGGCGTTTGACACAAGGGTAAGGGAGATATGACAGCAAGAAATACTTTGAAATACTTGTGGGTGTGCGCGGTAATGCGTATAGGTATGCCTTTCGAGTTTTGAAACTTTCCTTTTCGACAATCTAAGATTTTGATGAAAGAGCATTATTGTTTTTTGTTTGTTTTATATTTGTGGTTAAAGTAGTTCCCCATGTATTACTTCTTAGTTAAAATTATTTTCGTTCAAAGAGCAAATGTATTTAACAAAGAAAAGATAGGGTTATTGCTCTAGCGCTTGTAATTGGCCTTCATATTTGCAAACGCATTTTCAAAATAACCAGTGTCGCAATTCTGTGAAGAGACCTGTTATAATTACTTCCCAGCTGGTCTGTATGGAGGACTACGACGTGGTGGAGCTGGAGCACGAAACACTGCTGCTGATAGTGACCAGTACCTTTGGTAGCGGAGACCCGCCTGACAACGGCAAGGTGCGTTTGACTTCCGATAGGTGGCAGCAGTAGATAGTAACGTCTAAAATCATGCTGGGCCACGCTTGGCACCAATGAGGGCAAAAGCCATAGTGTCTCTTATAATATTCTGATTATTCATTATCCCTAGCACCCCCTCAACCTATCTACCAACACATTTTGTTTTTTCGAAGTTAATGATTCGACGTTGTAAATCCTCGCGCTATAGCAGTTACCACGTGGGCCAAAATGTGCAGAAAAACCAATAGACGCCATGGTCAATTATACATATAGTCACCAAAGTGGGCTGGGATATTTTTCTTACACCTAGTTAAACAGCAAAGAGCTACTGTTGCTTTCTACGTGCAAAAGATCCTATAGATATCTTTGCTGTTGTTAACAATACAGCTTTCCTAACAGCTGCTCTGTTGTTGCAGACGTTCGCTGAAGCTTTGGACGGGATGGTGCGTTCACTCCCAGAAGAAATGTTCAGGTAAATTTATGTCGCTTATCCAGAGGTTAAAGTGGTAAATGTGACTGTGTGTGTATAGAATGGTGTGACTGACATTGTGTGTATCATTACTGAATGTGTTGCTTAATCCACATAATTTATACACATAGGACGGGCGAGAATGTCAAGAAAATAACGCATAGCCAAAGCATTCAAGATATCGGAGGAGCTCTTCCTTTAGAAAATATAAGGTAAGATACGCCCAGGTACTATGCAGTATGGACAGTGGCACTATTTTATTTCTTTATAATTGGGAAATGTTATTTTTTTTATTTTAACAATTTCTTCTAATGCTAAATTCTCCATATCAAGATTTATATATATCTTAATTAAAAGACACTAACATATGGGTTCCAGAGTCTAATTACCCTTGGTCTAATTACCCATGGATTGAAAGCAAACGGATAAAATTGTCGATTTGCCATTGGAAGTGTCTAATGTTACTGCAGGTTCTCTGTGTTTGCCCTTGGGTCCCGGGCATATCCGGACTACTGCGGGTTTGGTCACTACCTGGATGGGATCCTGTACCAGCTGGGGGGTGAGAGGGTGTTAAAGATGGCAGACGGGGACGCGCTCTGTGGGCAGGATGACGCCTTTAGACAGTGGAGTAACCAGGTGTTGCAGGTATGAATGTTGTGATTTTAACGAAATAGTATAAGTCTACTAAGAATAATATAAATCGACATAAGAATGGTCCATATGTATGTATGATTAATAGAACAGTATGTTTTGTGTCGCGCATGCAGGAACGTATGCACGCACGCAAGAACACACTTCAGAGACACATACAAAGGTGTATGCATGCACGCACGCTTTTAGAGTTGTAAAAGGCATTTTCCCTCTTCTTGCATTACAAGTTCTAAAATTTTGCATTACTTTAAAATTTCATTGTAAGTTATAAGTTATAAGTGTTTTTTTAAAGAAATGCATACCAGTAACTCCTTGATCGCACTCACATAGACTAACACCGAACATGATATAGTGTTGGGAATCCCTTACTCTATTTTAACCATCATTCCGACATAAGGATCGACTTTCAACACAGATCGTGTTTGCTTTTCAGGCATCTTGCCAGCAGTTCTGTATTGATGATGGATTGTACAAAGAGGTCACCCAATCCTCTGACCTTCAGGGTCATTCGTGGCAGGAGGGAGTGTTCCGCCTAGTGACGTCAGAGGGGCTAGACAGCCCGGATGCAGATGGAGAACTTTGCAAAGGTACACATGTAAGATTTCCATACATTAGCGTCAAATAAAATGCTGCATCGAGAGAAGTTAAATGTTAATAACGTGTTTTATTTATTTATTCATTCATTAATTTGTTTGTTTATATTTTTTATTTAGACGATGTATTCCAAATTAAAAAAAAATTGAATTAATCCACATGTAGCGAAAGGGAGGATATTCGATGTTGAATCCAAAACTTTTACCTCTTAGTCTTCAGCTTGGAATTTCATTTTAGTGTGAAGCCTGTGATAGTATGCGTAGTCATGATCAGTATCTTCTCAATGTGTTCTTAGTCTATAATTGAAATCAACCTATTATTTAACTTTAGGTCTGTCTGCTATACACGGTAAGACCCTTGCCCCGTATAGAATCACAGAGAGGCGGAATTTACAAGGAAATAATTCTGGGTGCGTATCACAAAAAAAAAATAAAAAAAAAAAATAATAATAATAATAATAATAATAATAATAATAATAATGATAAAATTAATAAATAGATAAAATAGATTTGAAAAAATTCATAGAAAATAAAATCATTGTAATTAAAACCATTAGTCAGACCAGCTTATTAACGTTGCATTTAGGTAGTAGTGTACGTTGAGATGTGTCAATTTAGAACCAGTGATGTATCAACGGTTTTACTTTAGCTTTTGTTTTTTCCAGGCGGAGAACACTATTTTTGAGACTGCAGTCAGACAAAGATCACGTGATCACCCACGTTCCTGGTGACCATTTGTCTGTTTCTCCGGCGAATTCAGAAAGCACGGTCAACGAGATACTGGCTCGTCTTGACGACTGCCCTGACCCCGATCGGACAGTGGCTGTAGAAGAGTTTAAACCTTGTAGTGAACCTTGGGGTAGGTTTTAAAACTCCATGCAATCAAGACTGTTGTTGCTGATTGAGCTTATTGACAACCTTGCCGAAAACTAAACATATTAACACATGGCCCATCTCAATCATCCATCCTTCCATTGAGCTTAGATCCATTTCATTCGTTCGCTTGACAGTTTGCCACAATTTCTTCGCCTCGCTTCAACCCACAAAGTAAAACGTGGTAAGTATGTAAAATGACAAAGAGCCTTTCAAAACAGCGAAGAACCAGACACGTGGGAAAACATCATTTTATCTTTTTATTGGTATCTTTCTTGATTTGGTTTGCGAATAATGTACGTGCATCATCCAAATACCGTTTTTACAGATTCGACATTTCAGGTACCCTTGTCACAAATGTTACATGTAAATGAGTTGATAGTATAGAAAAAAAAAACAATATTTCAACTCAGTTTAGAATGCTAACTGCAATGGATAGATTGTCCTGTTAAATTTTGATATTGCATTGGAAATGTCTATGGGTTCGATGGAGAACTGTAACAGCCGCCGTATAGTGTCGCCACCGTCTATTTACCATCTGATCTGCTTGGTGCCGCCTGGAATTGAAAACTCTTTATTGAGATTTTAAATTTAATATGTTACGAAATAGTTTTATCAAATTGAGGAGCATTTACAGAATCGAACACGCCAACATTTGACCCGCACATGTTCACGTACAATTATTAAAAGGACAAACGAAAAAATGAATTAAGTCTGTAACTCTCTCTCTCTCTCTCTCACACACACACACACACGGTCAGAAAATATGAATAATACCTCCAACTTAAAAACACTTACGAAACTAAATGCAGTATCGGATGCACTGCAATCACAGCCAATACAGTAACAGTTTGTCCCGGAGCACTCACTACCACAACAGGTGCATTTCGCCTTGAGGGCCACGGAGGTGCCTGCTCTAGCCGCGGCAGCTGTGGTCTCTATGATTGAAATAAAATGGAGATCAGTTGATGGTGTGTGTGTGTGTGTGTGTGTGTGTGTGTGTGTCGAGGAAGGAGAAGTTACATCCTGGTAGATTAGGCCTGTTTCAAGTGTCTCATTTTCCTAGACGCCTATCTAAATGTACCTTGGGCCACTTTGCGCAAACTGTGGCGAGAAATGTGCAATAAACACATACAATAAAAATGAAGGAAAGTAAATGAGCAATTAAAAAAGCGTGAACAAATAAAAGTGGAGGAAATTAATGCTTTTGCAACTCCCTTCGACATCTCTTTCTATAAATCCTCTCTCGCCCTCTCTCCAACTGTGACGCACTCACGATGTCGTTCAAAAAAAAAATAATAATAAATAAATAAATAAACAAAAAAAATAATAATAAAATAACCCTACGTTTTTGATAAAACCTTATTTCGGTGCTGGATTTTTCGAGTGTGTTCATTCTAACGAAACAGTTATGTATCCTAAATTAGCAAGAAACGGCAGGATTAACGACTACAGTTTATATATATAGATCGCTTAAATATTAAATAAAATATAAAATTTAATGTACTGGTACCTTGTAAAGACAACAGCAGCAACAACCAAAAGCACCATGAGAGCCAGAGTCTTCATTTTTATAATGATACCAAATGATACAACGATCAAATATGTCGGTTTTTAGGCGTCCGTCGATATGACTTTCCGACAAATGAAGTGAATTTATATACAATTGTAAGTAGTCTAATTATCATACTTAATCAATAACAAGACAAGAGAATTCTTCAAGCAAAACCAAGTATGCGGAAAAGTTGGACAAGGTCTTGCAAAGCACCTATAAATATGTATATTCAAGACGTTTCCTCGCATATAAACAATTTTCCATAGTCATGAAAGAGAGAAACAAGTGCATTGGGACAAGAACCGGGTGATATTTTCAAAAGTATGTATTGCCGACTTCCACAATAAGGTGGTTTTTATTCAATAGTTTCGCCACACGGAAATGTGAATACTGATAATCTTAATGGACATTAATTACGCCGGCGGTGTTTGGTGAGAGATGGTAAGAAGTTGATCTTCAAAACCCACAAAAATGGCGTGACTGCGGTCTCCAAAGTTTTGACCAATCGTCTATTTTATAGGAGTCTCGCCGTCCGTTCTATAACATTTGAACTGATTTGACTCTCACAAATAACGTAAAAACACGTCGAAAAATGCTCGTTAAGATGATCATTATTCACATTTCCCTATATATAACGAAAAAATCGAGTTTTAAAATCCAATAAATGGAATTTTTATAGATGGTTTTTACGGCGTGGTACAACTCCGTAAACATGTTTTTGACGCACTCTTATTTTCCCACAAAGAGCACTCGATACCCGGTTTCTTTTCGTCGGTAGCGAAGCGGGGAAACCGTAAGTATGTGGGGATCCGCAGAATATATCGGTAGTGTGGTAAGATTTATCGGTGGGCTCTGCGGAAAATTGTAAGACCGAGGAAAAACCGCGGCAAATCTGTAAAAAATTTGTAACAGTGGTAATGCTCATGATCGCGTGCGGTGATTAGGGGGCCCTGCGTTATCCCCACACCCAGGGCTATTTTTTTTTTTCTGAATGCGACCCTCCTCCTCCTCCTCCACTACCATACACATGTAGTTACAAATAAAAAAAACTTAAAGAGAAACCCCCATGTTACATCATTTCCAGAAAAAAAAGACATTTGCACGGATATTTCTGTTTACCTTTTGCGCTCTGCATGCTGGAAGGAAAAGAAGTAGGTCAAATTCACGAATAAAAATGGTGAAGGTGGTGTTTTAAAGCCTTTTCCTGCACCCGAAAGATTGATTTCTTTCTTTTTTTTTCGCATTTTATTTTGATTTTATTATAATTATAATTACTATTATTGACATGTGGGTTTTATTTTTATTGGAAAACTGGCACTAATGATTGCGTTACAAGCCATGCATTTAGTCTTGCTTCATATTTATCTTTAAATTCGCTTTCTTCGCACCTGAATAGTGGCCCATGCAGAGGTGTATGATATCACCAAGCAGAAAGAACTATAATTATGTCGTTACCTTTATTTTTCTTGTATATACTCATATTAAAGGTGTGCCATTGATGAACACGTGTAGGCCAACAAAGTTATATATAGAGAATGACAGTGATAGGAACGTGTACGTGCACGATAACACATTATTTCCATACAGGTCCTATTGGGAAATGGGTCAGATACAAGCGTCTGCCACCTTGCAGCGTTCGGACTGCGATCACGTGGTACCTTGACGTCACGACCCCGCCAGTGCCAAAGCTACTTGCCAACCTGTCTTGTTTTGCGACGGATGCATCTGAAAAGGCCAAGCTAGAGGAATTAGCCAAGGTAAGTGTCATAGTATTAAGTGTATAGAGCACTTTGCAAACAGGCATTCTGTTCCCAGTCTTCTGCAAGGTTGATTGATTTAGTTAGGCATTTCATTCCACGTGACTTTGAGTGATGTTAGAACAAACGTATAGCGCTTTCCAGTACATGTAGATGCATGACGCTTACAGGTACATGCCTGAAGCAAGTAGGCCCTATTATTTATTTATTTATTTTAAAAATCACCTCAGCAAAAATATTCGTACCAAATAAAAATAATTTATATTAATTCGCTCTTTTATCTTTAGGATGAAAACGCCTATGACGACTGGAAACATGAGACAGCTCCAACCATTCCATATATACTCCAGAAATTTCCCAGCATTCGCTTGCCTGCTTCCTTTCTGCTGACGCAACTTCCGCTTTTGATGCCGAGGTTTTACAGCATCAGTTCCTCTCCAGAACTCCACAAAGGCGAAGTGCACCTGACAGTAGCCGTGGTTGAGTACAGGACCAAGGGTAGCTTTTCACATTTTAAATAAACTGAAATATAATAAACTGAAATATAATAAAAACACATTTTCCATTGTGACAAACAACCCTCACCCTTGAAAAAACTGAAAACAAAAATGCATTTTTCATTCAGTTCTTTTCGTTTGTTGTAATTCCTCGTTGATATTTATTAAAATACTTGTCTCTGTGTTACGTTATTTGGATGTTGCGATTCCTTGTCTCCTTGATTCAAAGTCTTATGAAAGTTTAAAGCAATATCTTACTCTTTCATTTGATATGAAGTCAGAACTACACAGTGCGTCAGGACTTCAGGTGATTTTCACCCTTGTTTTTGTAGGTGGCGCTGTGAGGAAGGGCGTGTGCTCCTCGTGGTTCGATACAATGGCCATCGGCTGTGTGGTCCCCGCATATGTGAGACCGTAAGTTTGAGCTTTTTTCGTACTGCGGTGTTGTTTGAAAAAGTCCGTGTTACATGTTATCCCGGTTGCTATGAGAAACGTCATCTTTTCATGTGTTAACGCGTCTTTGTAGGCAGTAATCGTCATAAATATGATGACGGAAAGCGACAAGAAGATCAGATAAAAATAGGCAAGAAAGTATAATTCCTTGTCTTAGTGACAGGGTTATCGGCACGACGACAACATTTTGGACCTCATGAACTGTTTTTACACTTAATGAGCCCAGTGTACCAATAGGGCCTGTTTTATGTGAAGGACAATTGAAAAGTGCTAACTTTATCGCCGCGAAAAACTCTACAACTCTGAAATCCTAGGGTAGAAGATATTTTGGGTGCTAGCTGAAATCAAAGTCTAAGTGGTACACTGAAGAAAGTAAATATAATAAGTTGTCTTTTATATACTTTCCAGTGCTCCACGGTTCCACCTCCCCGCAGATAGATCTTTACCGGTTATAATGGTTGGACCCGGAACTGGAATAGCACCATTTCGGGGCTTCTGGCAGCAACGATATGTAGAGAGGCAAAGGGATAATTCCAATAGTAACGTATAACGTTTTATGTCTTGTGCTTGCCTGCATTCCAAACCATGTGAAAATCATTTTAGGCTGTAGTCTGAAAACTAGAGGCCTGTTTATTTGTATTTAATTGTTAAAATATCGCTTCTTACAGTGAAATAGAGATTGTGTCGACATGTCTAATCGCTGTTTTCACATTTTTATTTTTAGATTTTGGAGACATGCATTTATATTTTGGGTGTCGCCAAAAGTCCCACGACAAGTTATACCACGAGGAAATTAGTCGCATGAGGTTAGGTGGTGCGTTAAGTAAGGCTTTTGTAGCTCTGTCACGAGAACCCGGTATACCAAAGGTAATACCAGTAGTACTTTTCACAGCAAATTTGTCCATTTATTCTTAAATGATAAAAGATACGCGTGCTAACTTTTGAAGTAGTTTCACAACAAACTCGTTATTATTTATTTGAGTTATGTTTTTTAAGAAAGCAGTCTAAAACAACAAAATCCTTATTTATTTTTACATTCAAGACATAAGGCGGGTTTGTAGCACACGGTCACAAGGTTAGTATTTCATCAAATATTCAACAAATTACTCTGCGACAAAATAAACAGAATAATCATACTCGTATCTATTCATCCAGATGTACGTTCAAGACTTGCTTCGTGAGAACAAAGCCGAAGTTTACAGGGACATCGTGGAGAAAGGTGGCCATTTCTACGTTTGCGGTGATATCTCCATGGCAGCTGACGTGAATCGCACAATCAAGACAATCCTGATCGAGAGTGGGATGACAGAGGATGATGCAGTCAGTTACCTGAAACAAATGTCTGTAAGTATACCTTTTCGACATTTATGAGGCCTATATTCAAAAGAACATCTTTTAAGGTACAAAAAATAAATTCTTTTTGAGATACACGCATTGTTATATGCTTTAAGAGACAAACAGAACTACCGTACACTACAGAACACTGCACGTCTGTAATGAAACCATGGAACCAAAATATGGATATGCTGTTCACCGAAATATTTATGTATCCTCTTCTGAAGTGTTGGCAGAAAGCGCGTACGGAGTACTGTAATTTGAGATTATAACACCAGCCATCAGGATTAAACATGTAAAACTCGCGCATATCTATGCAGTTAATTCATAAAATACGCCGTAATTATGATTTATTTCTAGAGAAACGGTCGATATCACGAAGACATATTCGGTGTGACGTTGCGTACATCGGAGGTGACGGCAATCAAACGGCAGATTTCCTTGCAGATTTTGAGGACGCCGTCAGACGCGTCCAGCACTTCCAGCCTAATGGACATACCGGAAGTATAGGTGTAGGCCCTATATCGTTTACCGCAACGTCGGGCCTTAGCTTATTTGGGTGAAAATCGTTGTGGTGTGGCAGGTGTGAATCAATTCTTTAGAACAAGTGTAAAGGGGTTCTGAAACAAAGACTCCCTCCACTGATACATTGTACGTTTTTGATAGGTCAGAGATATAGGGCGACATCCGGGCAACCACAATAGAGGTACTTAATTGTGTCGCATGGGACTTTTGCATTAGATTGTAGGTTTATCTGTATTGAACTCAGGCAAGATTATATGATCAGAGAGAGAGATGCAAAAGACATGTTTTATTCTGCTGTATTTCAGATCTGATTCAATTTATTCAATGCAAGGAGGACGTTTTCTTGTTTGAATTGATGAATTATTTTGTGATTGGTTGCCGTGAAAATATACCCAAAAATGCTCTAAGAAAGAAATTTAATTGCGAGATAATACACATAATTGCTGAATGGCTGTAGGCAAGACTATGATAAGGCATGACGCATTGATCAAATGCTTTGAATGAACAAAAATCTTCAATTCATGGGCATTTGGCATCAGGGTGATCTAGAGTATCCAAAGGCACAATCAAATCCTTTCTAATGGGATATTTCGAGCTAAATTTTGCTTCTGTGCCTTTAAGAACCCTGGAGGTGTGTAGGCACACGTTCTGGTACTTGGCTGTTCACATTGGTTTGATGCATTTTCTTTTATATTCTGAATGTTAAATGTTTTGACCAAGAATCGTAAGAGTGATCTACTAGTATATTCAGATAGAGTGCAACACCGATAATTTGCTGCTTATTTTGCATGAAACAACAAGCTTGAGGATTTTTTATAGCCGATCAAATGAAACCAGGCCCGTAGCCAGGGGGGTTCGGGGGTTCAAAAGAACCGCTCCTTTTGGTGGAAAAAGGTCCATTCTTGGTAAAATTTGATCTAAGTTCATTAAGTTTTTCTGGAAAAAGGTCCACTTTTTCAGAAAAAGAGACCCCCTTTTGAAATTGCTGGCTACAGGCTTGGAAATGTTACTGTTTTTCAGTTAGAGGCATCTATCATATGCCTAAATGTATTGTATTCACCGCATTTTGATAAACTGAAGTTTTCTTCTAAGCCCAAATAAATGTTAAATCCGCACCGTGTATGAGAAGCGCCTTGTAGAATATTTTATTGTTCACATCAAATACATGTGTACGAAAAGCATAATAATTATAACTATTATAATATTGACTAATTAGGATTAATACGTTTTCACCATGTTTTGTCGTAAATCTGCGAATGCTAGGTGCGTATCGTTGTTTAACTTAAGGCTTATCATGATTTGAATTTGATTTGATTTGATTTGAATTTTCTGGCTTTAGATCCATCCACTTAAACAATATTCTTAAAATAACAGTTGTACTTTTATTGAAAGGACGATGGTTTGAATAAAAATCCAATGCATACAGAGATCGAACGTTTTCTATTGTTTCTCGTACGTTACAAAATCTACCTAATTTTAAGAAAGGTGTAGAAAAGGATGATTCTGTCTGAAAGTAATCCGAAAAGATATGAATGTCGTTCTTTTAGGGAGCATATCAAATAAAAAAGATATCTTAAAGAAGAAAGTGATGTTTTGGTAACTAATATATAGACACTTACATATATCTCCAGTGTTATTCAAGCCAATAAATTCAACTTCAATAAAAAATCTCAATATGGATCTGCCCGTGAACTTGATAGTTACTTTTTTCTTTTATCATATCACTATTTTATATGACCTGATGTGTTAATATGTCATATACTTATATAAATAGATGGATCGCTGTAACGGTTATACACTGATTTAGAAGCCAAACTCCTTTCCATCGTTTAGTGAATGTAAAGTTTTGTTTAATTGCCGCGACTCCTGACTACCGTATTAGAGGAGAACAGGTTTGTCCTACACCAAAGACATCAGCAACCGCACCCATGCCAAGATTGTCTAGTTTTGTCTAGTCTAGTCTAGTCTAGTCTAGTCTAGTCTAGTCGAATTTTGCCTTCTGTTTAATTTGAATAATATAGACTTGGTTCTTATATTTTTCTTCAAGACGTGTATCAACTAAAAAGTCGTACGCATATTATGCACGAAAAAGTGTATTAAATGGGCTAGTTTGATACTACACATACACGTATGTTACCAAGTCGTTGTGCAGTACTTTTTCTATGCAGTATACATGCATGCGTTATTACAATGTGTTTATCCACTTGGGTCGTTAGTTGGTACCCATCAGTTCTCCATCCCTAGCAGAAACGACTCATTTGGAGTCATCCTTTAACAGTTAATGTGAGCGCAAAGAGTGCCTTACTTTTGTGATGTACACGTACATGAGATATATCTTCTTGCCAACTTAAAGCCGAAGTTGAAAGAAGATATATTCAAGAATGCTTGTAGACGACAAATGAAGGTAATTTTTCTCTCCAATTTTTAATTCTTATTTTTATCTATTATGTAATGCTTACAAAATATAACGGTGACATTGCTTCGTTATTATTGAATTATAAAAAAGGATCTAAGTGCAGAGAAGCAATAACTGCATGTACATAATCATGTATAGATATAGTATTGCATGTGTAAATTAACCTGCCGCGTGCCTATAAAAATCAACTATTATATAAAGCAAACAACATCTATTTGTAAACCACCATCATAAACCCGGCAGGCTTTCATAGAAAAAGACCCTGAGGACCCCAGCGGATTGGGACCCGTTTTACGTGCCAAACCAAAGCAGCGTGACGTCACTTCCTAGCGTAGCTGTGGGCCGTGAAATAAATGGTCAAGAGAATAAACGGCTGCGGCGAGGACTGGTATCAGAAAACAGCAGATGTGACTTTTACTTTCGTGAAGGAATATCAGGAATGGTACATCATAGGACTTGAATGCTGCTCTGCTTAATTCTCTCTCTTTCTCTCTCTTTCATAGTATAAGTTCACCTTTGCTTTGCACATTCATCATAGTGGTCTCTTTCCTTCGCATGTAGGCCTTACGCAAATTGTGAAAGTATGTAGTCTGCCCAGTCCCCATTCTTCCGGGTGAATTTATCTTTTATTCATGCGAATTTTTATGTTTGTATGATGTTGCCAGTGCTTTGGGATTTTTCTTTCATTTTTAATTCATCTTATTTATTTTTATTTATTCATGTATCTACAGTATTTTTTCAATTTGGCTAAATCGTACAAAGAAGGAATCCCTTGTGTAACAAGTCGTTGTCATATTCCAGCGCAAGTACAGCCCCCGAGCATGAAGGCCGACATAAGGTACATGCGGCTAGGCTTGTCCATTTCCTTGCTTAAGTCCTGTTTGCGGAGGAAAACATCCCGCAGGACAGTGAATGGGTGAGTAGTTATTTTTATTTTTAAGCGGTTCAATGTATAAGCCATCACTTCATGAGAAACACATACAACGACATGATCACTTGATCACAGTATCTGGTTCAATGTTAAATGTAAATATATTGTTAAAATGGTGCTTTTTGTGGTATACAGGATGTAGATTGCTTTTTGATATATATTCATAACCCACCAACGAGTGGTGCAAACTATACTGCATTTTTTTTGTGTGACAGGTCAACTTACGAACATTGAACATCATTATGGGTTGGAAGAAATTGCCTTAAATTCAATGTCAACATCAGTGTAACTTATGCAAACCACAACAAATAAGATAAAGCGACTTCGAGTTTTTTTTAATATAACGTTACAACAGCAGGTACGGGGCCTAATTTTTTTCTCATGTCACCTTTAAAAGTCAATAGGTCATATCGAAACTGTCCCTTATGTCCTGTTGTAAAACTAAATCGATATAAATTACTTAAAAAAAAAACATTTCATCATTGCGATGATGGAGAGAAATTGAGAGATTTTGCATCAGTTTGCGTTTTTTGGATACATGTACTAGTACATTTCTACAATCACAAAGTGGTGCACTCATCCACTTTACATCTTAGACAGCACCCAAGATACTGCTGTCCATTTTCCTCTAGACATGTACACAGCATATAGAACGCCCTCTCCTCTTTCGTCAATATTAAATTGAGGAGCACCCGCGTCTTCTCGGGTGACACTGCACTTGATGTAGAAACTCCTGTGGTCCATTCTGCGTCACCTGAAGATGGCGCTGTACGCACAAATTCCGCCTCTCTGTCAGTTATAATCCCCTCCTGGATAAACGTGTCAAGCATGTGCCCGAGGCAAGGGGTGGTGATACTGTGGACCAGCTGGCCTATAGTCTCCTGTATGGCTCGTCTCTGCTGACGTGGCATTTCAGCAAAACCTGCAGCGTTTAAAGTGTTTTAATTAAATTTACAGGTATTTCCAAAAATTACCTCGAACATGTAATAGGATGATTGAAAGCAATGAAAAATGTGCACTTTTTTGTATTGCAACTTCTTTCATGTAGATCTACAGGCCCGTAGCCAGCAATTTCAAAAGGGGGGGGGGGTCTTTTTCTGAAAAAGTGGACCTTTTTCCATAAAAATTTCATGTACCTAGATCAAATTTTACCCAGAGTGGACCTTTTCCCGGCNTATTTTAACACGATGCAGGCCGGCTATCTTAGGAATGATAAATACACATGCAGTATACGCGTACTCATAGAAAGAAACTGATTTAAATGAAATGATTAATTGTTTGCACATACTGTTTACTAATATCAGGCCTGTAGCCAGCAATTTCAAAAGGGGGGGTTCTTTTTCTGAAAAAGTGGACCTTTCCCATAAAAACTTCATAAACCTAGATCAAATTTTACCCAGAGTGGACCTTTTCCCAGCAAAAGGGGAGGTTCTTTCGAACCCCCCCCCCCTGGCTACGGGCCTGATCTAAATACCACACAATTGACTTTTCATTTAAAAATAAATTCTGTATTCTTGTTTGATTCGATCAATTTCATTCTAAAAATTCTACTGTAGTACGCATTTTTTAAATATCCTGGTGCTACTGTAGTAACCAGTATTGTAAACATTTAAGTAATCTTTGTCTGATCGTGAGTAATTAAATGAATAGCAATTTGCACAGACGAAAACAATTAACTTAAGATCTAGTTATTAATTTTTAGCCAAATCAAGTAAACAAGATCACTAATGTCTACACCCTTCAGCGAAATTAACAGTGCACAAAATGATATGGAGTATCCCAGATAACACAGCACGTTGGAACCACGTGTCTATCACGTCATCATAGCGGCGGCGACGCACTAAGCAAATTTTTTTGTATTTGTTTTGGCAGCACAATAACAATGGATTATAAAGAATGCATACTTTGGCTGGGATAAACTAGATTAGCTGGAATCATGGCATTCGTTTTCTCACAAAGTACCACGCTGACAGGCTGTACAAGGGGTTCGTCATTCAGCTCCCCGGGGTAGAGGGTCGGGTATTGTTCACCTTGGTCCACACAGTGAGGACACACCAGGTACTTGTCGTACGGCATACCAGGCCAGTCCTCCTCTAGGATATCCATGAGATCACCATGTGTTCGCAGAAGAGTTTGCCAGAGTTCTGGAAGGTGCCTGCCCCTCACAGCTGCTGCGATAACCCAGTCTCCATCAACCTTGCATCTGGTGAGCTGCATGCGGCAAGATTCCATCTCTGCGTATACGCCATCTTTCCAGTCAACCCTTCTTGCTTTGTAAAATCCTAGGTACTTATGCTGGCGGACAGAAAGCTTCTCGTACAACCCGTTGGGGCACACGTGCGGAAAGTAAACTTTCAATGTAACTTGCTTGGTATCGAGAGGGGGCCACTCTGGCCATTGTTCAGTTACGAAAGAGTGGCGCTCATCGGTTAAAAGACAGGGGAAGTGAAAGAAAGTCTCGTGTGCTTCAGGTTGGACGACTTTGTAACATAGTTCCAATGCTTGCAGGAGCTCAAACATTGCATCAGTTTCTGCTCTGCTCAACCCAAACGGTCTCCAAAGGCACTCCAACGCTCCCATGGTAAGGACACCTCTTTTGGTGAAATCGTCTCTCACTCTGTCAAGACTGGGTTGACAAGTTGTTACTGACAAGTCATGGAGAAGGGATGGCAAAAGAGCTTCCATATCATGGTTTAATACAGCTTTTAGCAGGTTGCTTAAAACTTCCTGCTTATGGAAAATGATTCTTCGTAACAGAGGAGAGGTTTCGAACCAAACAATATCTCCGCGTCCAGCTAGGAAACTGAGCACTCCATTTATAATTTCTTCGTTTGACTTGCTCTTTTTCTTGGAAATAGCACTTGAGACTTTCCAAAGGAAGGGTGCATGTCCAAATACATCTTTCTTTATTTCTTCCCACTGAAGAGTATTTCCAGTATTTTCATACTTGTGAGTACGTATGTTTTTGGCGGCTTTTATCCAAGATCTGGGCAATACGACTCCTTTCCCCCTTGCATTCCTGATCAAAAACTCCTCAAGGTCTTGGTAACCGGACATGGTTTTGGAACTCACTACAAAAACTTTATCATGAATCTCTGGTTCCTCTTTTCGAAATTTTACAAGCGTCGTTAATTTATTCTTGTATGCTTGAACAATCCCCACATCCACAGATGCTTCTAAAGCTGCAATTTTATTTGAGACCATGTCGTAGTGTTTGTTCATCGTGAACCTTTTGTGAACTATCCTCCTTTGTAGTTCCTTTTCAACTGAGATGCAAATTGTTTGAGCCTTGTAGGGGGTCGTTTGGTCTGAATGAGTTCCTACGATGGCAACTCTACAACTTGGATGCTGTGCATGGACCTTGTCCATCCAACTTCCAATGAACTTGTCAAAGTGATCAGTATCGTTACTATCGTACCTTGATAGGTCAAATATGACAAGAACCAGACCGTTCTTGGATATGAAAATGGGATGGCCAACTTTGTATACGTCATGCCCTCCAAAATCGTTGACATTAAATGAAATGTCTTCTTCTGGCTCCCATTCTCTCTGCTCCACCACTCTGGTCCTATCTGCTGCTTCAGTTAACACTGATATCCCCCTTCTCAAAGTTCGAGCTAGACTGCTTTTTCCGCCCTCTGTTTCTCCAAGAAGGTTTAACTGAACTGTACAAGCATTCACAGCTTTTGAGTCTTTAATTCCTGCCAAATAATTGAAAATGGCCTCCTTGCCTCGTTTACTCACGGATTTAGGCAGCGACGTAAAACGGTTACCTGAAACCCGAAGGTCTTCCAGCTTGGAGAGGTTAACAAGTTGGTAGGGCAGTTGTGTTAAATGATTGTTATCTATCCACAGCTTTCTCAGTTTGGTCATCCTACCTATGTCTCTTGGTACGTTGGCCATCTTGTTGTGACTTAGCTGTAGTTCCTCTAAACAAGGCAGAGCAAAAACCAAATCGGGGAATTCTGTGAAATTATTTTTGCCCAGCAGTAGTCTTTTCAGGGCAGTCATCCCAACGATATTTGGCGGGAGGCTGGCCAGTTTGTTGTACCACAGGTCCAGATGCTCTAAATTAGGTATACCACATACTTCAGTTGGAAATGTGGTAAACTTATTCCAGGAGAGAATAAGATGCGTGAGGTTGACGAGTAAAGATATCGAATCAGGCAGAGCAGTTAGTCCGTTGTTCGAGGCATTGATTTTCTTTACGTGAACACATTTGTGAATGGTGGTCGGGATGTGCTGTATGTGGGACCATTCCAGATCGAGTTCTGTGCACTGGAAGACCAGATCTGGCAGAGCAGAGTGCTCGTTTGCACTGGACTCTTCTTCCAGCTTGTGTAGTATTTGAAAAACTTCTCTTCCTCCACGCTTTTCTTTGCCTGCCATGGTTAAGTCACCTCATGTTCACCACGATAGCTTCCAAATTAGGTCAGATTCCAAAGCTGCATCTTTTTATTAATTGACGTGAACAGATTGGAGTGATCTGAAAAACAAATTTATTACATGTAGGCCTATGTTTAAAATATAGCTCCAAACTTTGTTTCAGCTAATGGGTTCATTAATCATCTCTATCATAGTTTTCAACTGCTACGTCAATTGCCTTTCTAACGCCACCTGGCGGGATAAAACCAGATCTTAAAACTTAGTGCAAATGTGAAATGAAATTATTTGGACCTTTGTGAAATGTGTGTGGGATCTCTAAAAGTATTCAAAAATTCACAAATATAAAAATAATAAAGTTTAAAAATGTATCGAAAGCGCATATGGTAGCTACTATATAAAAGTATTATCTAAAAGTATCAACCACAAAAAGTGTTACAGGTATCCTAGTTGAGATAAATATGGAGGTGCTTCAATGCAAAATCTAATGGGAAATAAACCCGCATCATTTTGATCTCTGTTGATAATATTACAGGAAAACAGCATGTGCATGCACCGTGCATATTTACGCATAATAAGCTAGCAGGCCTGCATAATATAGGCTAAAATAACATTGCTCTTTCCAATACAGATGTTTGGCACCCTCACCGTTCTCTGAACACGACCTCTAGGCATACAATTTACGAGGGTCGTTGACAACGTAGTGAGGGGGCAATTCTCTTACCAATCGTATAAAGTCCATACGCAGAAAAACGTCACTGAATTCTGGCATGAATGAACTTTCCTTTTGGTGTTGCTGCACCTTTATCCTGTGTCTGTTGCCCATCCAGGTTGACAGCAGTGCTTAAAATTGAATGGCTCTAATCCTCGCAGCTCGACACAATACAAGTAGTACACGAACAGTGAATGCTTCACGGACTGGTGCACTTACTGCTCAACCCAACATAATTTTTGCAATGTTATATTGTCCCTTGTAAAATATTACACCCGATCCATATAAGCCATCACGTGACCAGCCGTTCTAACTATTAAACACCACAGTACAGGAGAGTCCCTTCCTTCGACTACGCCCGTGTCGACCATGTGTCCCATACAGACGACTGTATGTGTTTAGTTCATTTCTGATGCATCTAGCCTATTAAAGCTCATTTCAAACGAAAAGGGTAAATTTACAGGAGGATGTTCATAATGGGCAATAACATAGGGGTGACAAATATGTCCCGCAAAAGCTTTTCACAGGTTAAAAAAATGCGGGCGCTGACTAAACAACCTCTATGCGAGAATATCGCTTTCAGTTTTCATCACTGTACTAACAAGAGCAGGTCGCGGGGACTGTATTTGTATACTTATATATAAGATGTCGTAGGGAAAAGTGAAGTGTTCGTGAATAAAAATCGATGATTCATCTGTCAGTTCATATCGGCACAGCGTATAAACGAAAGGTCGTCTTATTTTCAAAGGACGCCTCGCTAACACGGTTGGTTTTAATCTGATCAACTACATAATTTCAGCATCGGATATTTTTTCAAATTTGTAATATATGCTCGCAAAATTTGAGTAAAAGGGGGGGGGGTAAAGATACATGTAGCTCAAGCACGCACCACGTCTCATTGCTGTACGCGCCAACCAGATCGCGATCGATCGTTTTCTGCTGGAATCGTCGTTTCAGTCCCATGATACATACCTGTCAACATACCTGTAGACAATCGCCAGAGAGGGAGATTCCACACACACACACACACACACACACACACACACACACACACACACGTTGTTCCTTTTTTTAATGAACTGCTTTTAGTGCTTTATGCTGCGTTTTTTTTTTTTTTTTTTTTTTTTTTTTTTTTTTTTTTTTTTTAGAAATGTGTAAGTAGTTTGCTATAATCAAAAAAAAAAACTTTGACTACACAAAATAATAATTAATATTTCAAGAATTCGTTCATCTGTTTTACAACGGCCTCGGATGAAAAGCCGACCATTGCCCCCTTGGTGTGGGGTTCGAGGCCTGCTCAAGGACACCGAAAAATTTTCGGTGTTTTGGAGAATATACAGTGACCTTTAGTACAGTTTAGAACTATGATTTAGCTAGTCAAAATTCTAATTTCAAGAGGGGAATATAGGTGTGATATATTTTTCAAAAACCGAAGGGGGGGTCAGGAGAACTATAGACTTCACATTTTCGTGAATGAAGTCACCACTGCACGTTCTCACGCCAGAAAAAAGAGAAAAGTCTGATATCTGATAGATCGATAGATTTTTAGTCTGATTAGGGAGATATGTGCCCAAATCGGGAGAGTACCGACGAGATCGGGAGAGTTGACAGATCTGAATTGATACGTGGCCAGATCATCCCTAGATTTAAACTCCAAGCCGTACATTTAGCTTGACAACATGAAAGTATATGTTTATTAACTAAATGCAATTACAAACTATACATTGTGCTTTTGTATCAAGCACTCTGATGCGGTGCTGTTAACCCACGTTATTTGTAAATATTAACATGTATAATAATTCAGTCTGCACCAAAAACGTCCTGCATTAATGACTCTTCAGGCCACCATGGACTCTACCGGCCCAGAGAATAAATAGTCACCCGCGACTGACCAAATTAACGAAATTCTATCGGCCCCTTCTTTAAGTGCACTTTCTTAGGGGGACAGTGGTCAGGATATTGATTCTTCTCCAGTATGGCATACGTATCATATTATATATCACAGACAATTTGACATTGAATATTAATATAGCTTCCACTACAGCACATAGATGTATACTACGAGATAAGCATTGAGCAATCGTTTTAATTTACACATATCACCAGTACTAGACAGCATTAATCTCTATTGCTGGTGGCCTCACACCTGATGAACCTTGATTAATTATGTGAAACCATTCTCTCCCAAGACCCGACTGTTACTTTATCAATATGTCTAGATCTGAAGGAAAAGCGAAAGCTTGGAGTTCCTATTAAATGGCACAAATAGTCATCGATTCATCAACGCTGCGTGACTTACAAAAGTATATTCTTCATCGTTTTTCCGGATCCACTCGGCTTGCTGTTGGGTCTGTAACCTTCTCTTATTCCATATACTCACTGAATACTGAAAGCTTTGGTGTTACATTAACACAATGCTACAGTCATGCAATTCATATATATAGCCTGATATTATATGACTTATTCATGAGCTTAAACACAATGGTGCCTATCTTCGTTCAGAGAAATTGATACAGGTTAGAAAAAAGTGAAAAAATTCAAAAAGAATGAAGGGAAAAAAATAATAAATTTTACAATACCTAGTTATCGTCACGTACAATATAGGCAAAGTCTGTACCTGGTATGTTTGTGCACCATCAAAATAATTAATTTGTGCTAAACAGAAGTAGTTATCCGGTTGAAATACACAGAGTAACTTGCATGGGGTACCCTCTCACATCAGGGGCTTCTAAATTAGTATAGGTACAATAATTTTGTAACAGACCACTAGCGGACCCTGTGGTCAGAGAGTATGCATGGGGTAATGCAATCATACTGTCACCTTGGCGTCTTCAGAAAAAAAAACTGATTCGCACGGAGTATGTGCGGCTCGAATAATGGTGACAACAAATGAATAGGTAAGTGTGTGTTGTTTGTTATTTTTGACATTTATTAAGACTAAGGCTACTGGAAGGAGGCTCGGATCACCCTCTTGTTTAACGACTGTGTTGGCCGGTAGTTGTCCGCCATGATACCGTCCTCGCTGTTGTGCGGCATCTCGTTCTTGGCGTGGGTGCGGAGGCGGCGGAATTCCTCGATCTATAACGATATGTTTGTTTGTCCATCAAACGGCAATGATATTACATAGATGCTGCAGGAATTCTAGTTGATATGATGCTGGTTGACAAAGAAATGTACAAGCAACATGGTTTCAGAGACAAAATTTCATTAAATTGTAGGTATGGGTATTCACGGTAATTTCTAAACTATTTAGGAGCTAATAAAATGATTAAAATCTGAAAGAATAACGAAACGAAACGCTGTCGCTGGTCACATTCTATCAAATAAATGAATGGAATAAATAAAGTAAAATACTCGTATTTTTCATTGCGCAAAAAATATAGAGACTTAACATTATTCTCGAGATCCAGACTGGTCCCTTGGAAAGTATTTGCATTTGCAAATGAACGAAATGTTACGTAACGTAAACCATATACATAAGTCGGGTCATGTATGCATGAAGAATGTTAATATACAGATAGACAGATATATTCACCTGAGCGTGCGAGATGGTTAAAGGGTAGCGGAACAGTATCCAAGTGACGTTCTCAGAGCAGGGGGGAACTGTCAGCGACCCGTTGTAGGTCCAAAAGTCACGTAGCATGGGATCTGTAAAGAAGTAGCGCAAAATGTAGGTATATTTACCGTACTTTTTATTAACATGGGTCCCAATGATACTTCAGGTGGTACTTCAGTATACAATTCGTGGTTTATGGCAATTGCTTTGTTATTGGCCCATGCAGTCTGTCATCGATTTGATTTATATCCCAGTTTCATATTCGTTATGGATCCTACATTCTATCGACATTAAACGATGCATTTAACATGTAACATATCAATCATACTTTGACAATATGAGAGTGCTCTGGCAGGTCAAAGATAATGAAAATACAGGGTTTTTTTTAAGCAAAAGAAGACAAATCTCTGTCTGCCTCACCGGGTAACAGGCTGTTGGGGTTAAAGGCCGTGGCAACCGTCTTCATCCGTCCCTATAAACATAAAAAGTGGAGTGTTTAGTACCTAATCAGATTAATCACCCTTTAGAGATCACCACTCCTGCCTTGCTAATGTCCGAGGCAAATTATCGTAATCAAAAATTAAGTAAATGTTATAAAGTCTATGGAAATTAAAAGAATACAAAATGCTTTGATAAATATTCCGGGCGTGTTTATAACTCCATATGTTTATAATGAGAAATTGTCTACAAGAATTTTTTATAATAATTCATTGTTGGGGTTAAAAACGTTCATTCGGCCCTCATAGAAGATAACAAACATAGCAATTTACAAAGCGAATTACTAACCATATATTTATACAACCACACAGATCGTGGACATGGTACAAAATATTGACTCGGTACCTTATACTGGATTTCTTCTAAATGATCGGTAAGTATCTTCAGTCCGCTATTTTCTCGCCCAACCTACATTAAACGACACAAAACAAGATTCTTAATGACTCAATTTATGAAAATATCTATAGAAATTAATACCATTTTACTGAGATAACCCTACACGGAGCATAATTGATGCAGCAACGGTAATTTGCACGGTGAAAAACAAAGCACGTGTCAAACCACTCGTGAATCTACTGGAGTGCGCTGACTTTACCAAACATTGCTGCAGAACCCACGCTGCAGATAACGCTTAATGGAGACAACAAAGGCATTCTGAGGCTAGAGATGATTTTCCAGTGACCTCTGAAACACTGGGTGACTTCCATTTGACTACGATGCTCATTCAGGAATAACGTTCACCTGTACAAAAAGGGCTGCAATCATGATCCCGTTAGGTTGTCCTAGGGCCTCATCCACGCTGTCGTATTGGCTGCTATTCCAGTGAATAAGCTGAACCTGAGAATAAAAAATTGTCGTTCGCCATTTTTGTTAACGTAAATAGATCCCCCCCCCCCCACCCGCCCGCCCCGGAAAAGTACCACGCAGTCTGATAATTTCCAATTGTACGTCTGAAAAACAGTTTGTGACGTCACTCAGATATTAACATATGGTGTCACGGATAAAAGTGGCTTTATTCTTGTATGGTTACTGATAGGCACCTTTGAAACGGGAAAGGAGACCGACCTGATGTCCATTGGGCAACCCAAATTACAATTTACAACAAATTTCCAACCAATCTTTTTACAGGCGGGGATGGGGGGAGTATGGGAATCACCCCCTTCCTAACATACTTGGTACGCCATTAATTATATATATATATATATATATATATATATATATATATATATATATATATATATATATATATAATTAATGGCGTACCAAGTATGTATATATATATATATATATATATCTGAACACAAACTGAAGGGCAACAAGAGACATTACCTCCATAGGAAAGGCCTTATAGTTGACAGTATGTTCTGATCCCCGGGCTTCCTCTCTCCCCCAATGAAAGCGGCACTCTGCCAGCTCGTAGACGTCGTTGGACGGCAGTGGACCTCCTTCCATAGCTTAGAACAGAAGCAATCGAGATTTACGTCCAAATCTAAATAGCTCATGTCGAAAAGTTTCATTGTGTTTGAAAAGGCCACATAATTTTTTTTGTCAAAAGCTATAATAAATTCACTTACATTGACCATCCAATATTTCGTCTGCTGACAGACTTCATCACGGAAATGAGCTCGTTAGTTCATTAGCTCATTAAATAGCTCATTGGTTCATAGGTTTTGATTAACATATTGTTTAGGGTTAGATGCAAACATTGTCAAGCACATTTTGCCAAAGAAACAAGCGATCGTATAAAATCCCAGGGGCAATATGGTGTGTGGAAATCCCGTTATTTTATTATCACTCTTGGAAATCTATAGCAAAACACGTTGTTGTAAATCGTACTTCATCATAGCTTCCATTTGTGTAATCGTGGGACATAATCACACGGCTACCACTGTTAGTTACTGTCTTAGGCTAATTCTTACAATCTATAAATCAGCAAATCTCCCAAAATAATTTTACACCAATATATTTTAACAGATATTGAAAATGACAGTCCATCGAACGCAAAGAGGAGACCAAAGCCCATGGTGGAAATTCTAATGAATAGTCTACTTACTGGATCGGGGCGTAGAGTCCGGTCGAAAGCCAGAGTCGCCTGAAACGAAAGCATTAATTGTCAACGTGCGAAACTAACAGAGTACCAATGTGCATTTTGTACATTAATTGTATACTGCTTAATTGGTGACTCATATCAGTTTGTGGGAATGTTTTAAACTGCCAGTGATCAGAAAAGGTTTCAAATATTTCACCATTATAAAACGTTTGGTAATGACTAATGAATAACTACCGATCAATTAGATAATGTAAAATATTACTTATTATAAAAAATTAACGACTAACCCATGAAATTATATTCGGGTCTTTATCGCAACACTTACACCTACTTTTGAAAAAGTTAAAATCGAAAAGCAATTTTAAATTTTAAGTTTTCTTATACAGATAGGAATCGATTTAGGGGGAGGTAGAAAAGGGAAAAAAGACGACTGAAACAAGTTTTCGACCCGATTGCGTCACGTTTACCTGGCTTGTATCTTGGGTAGATAACCACCGTATGGCCATTGTTGTAGATATCGGTCTCTCGGCACAACACATAATTCGCAACCAAGGGATTTTCATTCAACTTTGGATCAAAGGTGGTGTCACGTGAGTTCAGGTTGATCGGTGATTGGTGTATCCCTTTGGCCGCAGGAAACCGTTTTGCCCAATCGGATGTGTCTAAAATGGAGCATTAAATCATATGTTAGGATTGGTCATCTAAGATCAAGGTTGGTTCATGTTTCCCTTGACGTCGATAAGTATGAGACTGGAATAAAGTATGCAGTCTATAAAACAGTTTCACGGGAGTAAAGATTGATTGCCGAGCAGGGAAATTATTTCTGTTCGGCGACAGAAAACCGTTCAATTCACCATTTTATGTGTGTAGGCTGTCAGGAATCCTCAAAGATTTGCTTGTAAGATTAAGAACAAGGATTTTCCAAGTAATATTTTCAATTCTGATGCAGCAACTTATAAGGAAATTCCATATTTAAAAAATATTTTACATGATCTTGCTCAAAAAAGGATAAAAATCACTCCTTGTTTTTAGCCACAGAAGCATTTCTCTTCGTAATCATGAAAAGTAATAAAGCAACAATTAAGAGTCCTTGGTATCTTTGATTTTACCTTCCATTTCAAAGATTGTGTGCAGACAGTAAAAAAGGATTATTTGCATGCAACATATATGTATTATGGCAACTTTTATTTTGTTTATAGTAACATCATGCATTCTGGGAGATTTTTTTCCAAATATGGTCTGGATAGGATGTCCGTAGAAACCAACCAATGATTTAATTAAACTCAAACACCGTTTAGCTGATCGGCTCTTTAAATGCCCTCTATAAAACAATTTTAACTGTCGTTTAGTTAACAGGTGTATAGAGAATTTATCCACTGGATAGGCTTTACGTTGGTTATAGTGCTAAACGCCCTTTATAAAACTCGGTCCAGCCTATTCCTGTACGTGTTAAAGTTGTTTTGTACAAAGGCTCAGCCTTTATCAAATTGCAATTAAACTAATTTGACGCGTTTTAATAGTAAACTGAAATTTTGGTCCATCCTTAAAAACCAAGGACAAGTATAAAATGTCTCAAGATCGCTTCTCATCGCGTGTTTTCATCATCCTGCTTTGCTGTGCTGTTACCATGGGAACATTGTGCCCATAGTAACATACAACAGCGAAATATATAAGCAATCATGTTTGTTATTCAACCGAGTGGATGTATGGCAGACACATCAGACTTCGCGGTAAATTGATCATTAGCACGTGCAGGGGTATAGTTCAATGTCAAAACGATGCAGAAAATAACAAATTGTCAGCTAATCTTTAAATTAAATGTACGGCCAACTGCGCTCTGGTCTGCAACAGATAAACGAAAATAAACTTTATAGATTGTGCAGAAAATGGCATTCAGTGATGACATTCAAATGAATAGTTGATTTATTTTAAAAAAAAGAAATAAACATAACTGTTTGTCTCTCAACAGGGTGCGTGCATGCATAGACACGCGCACCCACAGACACACATGCGCATTTACACTTACATTCACTCAATTGAACAAAAAAACCCACATGTTCGCTCGCACTTGCGCGAACACGTCCGTAACGGTTACTGAAACCCTGGAGAAGACTAGATCTAGGCACCATGAATCACAGCATCCTCTTAGAAACTGCATACTCAGAATTATTATGCGCCTGGACAAACCGCTATCTCAAACGCATACTTGGAATATAAAGCAGCCAGTTCTCATCGCTTGGGATTTTTAATGACTATTTTAAAGGGCTTGATGAACTAACGTTTTAAATTCTACATTATTTAAATCAATTGGTTTAGATCAGTGTTCCTTTTTTAAACTAGCATTTGATCTTCTATATTCATGGTTGGTTTTAGACTTTCGATAACCAAACTCAGGACAACGGAGGCCGCAGAATGGCTGCAAAACCAGTTGCGTGTTCTAGTTTTCTACCTGCCTGCTGCATCTGTCGCATTAGTCTGTCTTTATTGATTTTATCTCATATATGCTGGGGATAGGCAGCTTACCGCCTACAGAACAATTGGACAGAGATATTATTACAGACATGATAGGTTATGACGGAACCCCGGAAAATACCAAATGTTTAAAAAAACGTTGATGCGTGGACGGTATTGTACGGGATAGACCTTTGGTTTATCATGTTATTGACCATCAAGGAACATCTGAAAAGAAAAGGATTGTAATCCATGCAATGCACCGTACACCTCTATAAAACAAACAGAAGGGCTTTTCTGGAAATGTCCACAGTTTTCTTTATATAACCAATGTGTACTCTACTGAGAAAATATATTTAATAACGATGTATAAATCCGTTGTCGTATTTCTAATTTTCATTGTTACAAGTAACATTCTCTGTCTTCATTAAAGGATTGGCTTAAAAAAGGAACTCATTAAACGTACTTCTGCGAACGGCTTTGGTTTTTTGGAAACCTGTTGAAATTTCCAGAGAAACTTCAATTAGAATTTTGTCTAAGGGCGAGATATAATAAGTGTTCCTCTTAGTTCTTATTGAAGTGCAACTTTGTTCGTTAAGAGTCAAGGTAGGCTTAACCGAGACCGAAATGCGACATAAAATGTTTGTGCAGTAAGGCTCGGACAGACGACCGTTCACGTCCACTCACCAGACCAGATAAACCATCCTGCCATTTTACAATGATTACTTGAAGACTCGTTAAAACCATGAAATATAAGGACTAAACNGCCATCTATCACCGACTCAAAAAACTCATTGCGACCATCCTCAGTCACCACCTTATAATCGCTTTCTATGATATCGTTCCCTCCCAGCACATCGTCCAAATAACTACCTGTGAAAAAAATCGTCAGCATACAGCGCCGCTTTGACACTACTAATCTCGAATTCTAACGCGAATTAACGCATATAAAATCAATCTCCAAGCTGAGGAGAGCGACGCAGACGAAACCTTGAGACAGGAGGCCCCCCGTAGCTAGCTCCGTCCACCGTAACAGACATCGGACAATAGAAAGGCTTGCGTGTAATCTCCTTCTGTTATAACTCCTTGGTTCATGTTACCCTTGACGTCGATAAGTATGAGACTTGAATAAAGTATGCAGTCTATAAAACAGTTTCACGTGAGTAAAGATTGATTGCCGAGCAGGGAAATTATTTCTGTTCGGCGACAGAAAACCGTTCAATTCACCATTTTATGTGTGTAGGCTGTCAGGAATCCTCAAAGATTTGCTTGTAAGATTAAGAACAAGGATTTTCCAAGTAATATTTTCAATTCTGATGCAGCAACTTATAAGGAAATTCCATATTTAAAAAATATTTTACATGATCTTGCTCAAAAAAGGATAAAAATCACTCCTTGTTTTTAGCCACAGAAGCATTTCTCTTCGTAATCATGAAAAGTAATAAAGCAACAATTAAGAGTCCTTGGTATCTTTGATTTTACCTTCCATTTCAAAGATTGTGTGCAGACAGTAAAACAAGATTATTTGTATGCAACATATATGTATTATGGCAACTTTTATTTTGTTTATAGTAACATCATGCATTCTGGGAGATTTTTTTCCAAATATGGTCTGGATAGGATGTCCGTAGAAACCAACCAATGATTTAATTAAACTCAAACACCGTTTAGCTGATCGGCTCTTTAAATGCCCTCTATAAAACAATTTTAACTGTCGTTTAGTTAACCGGTGTATAGAGAATTTATCCACTGGATAGGCTTTACGTTGGTTATAGTGCTAAACGCCCTTTATAAAACTCGGTCCAGCCTATTCCTGTACGTGTTAAAGTTGTTTTGTACAAAGGCTCAGCCTTTATCAAATTGCAATTAAACTAATTTGACGCGTTTTAATAGTAAACTGAAATTTTGGTCCATCCTTAAAAACCAAGGACAAGTATAAAATGTCTCAAGATCGCTTCTCATCGCGTGTTTTCATCATCCTGCTTTGCTGTGCTGTTACCATGGGAACATTGTGCCCATGGTAACATACAACAGCGAAATATATAAGCAATCATGTTTGTTAATCAACCGAGTGGATGTATGGCAGACACATCAGACTTAGCGGTAAATTGATCATTAGCACGTGCAGGGGTATAGTTCAATGTCAAAACGATGCAGAAAATAACAAATTGTCAGCTAATCTTTAAATTAAATGTACGGCCAACTGCGCTCTGGTCTGCAACAGATAAACGAAAATAAACTTTATAGATTGTGCAGAAAATGGCATTCAGTGATGACATTCAAATGTATAGTTGATTTATTAAAAAAAAAAAAGAAATAAACATAACTGTTTGTCTCTCAACAGGGTGCGTGCATGCATAGACACGCGCACCCACAGACACACATGCGCATTAACACTTACATTCACTCAATTGAACAAAAAAACCCACATGTTCGCTCGCACTTGCGCGAACACGTCCGTAACGGTTACTGAAACCCTGGAGAAGACTAGATCTAGGCACCATGAATCACAGCATCCTCTTAGAAACTGCGTACTCAGAATCATTATGCGCCTGGACAAACCGCTATCTCAAACGCATACTTGGAATATAAAGCAGCCAGTTCTCATCGCTTGGGATTTTTAATAACTATTTTAAAGGGCTTGATGAACTAACATTTTAAATTCTACATTATTTAAATCAATTGGTTTAGATCAGTGTTCCTTTTTTAAACTAGCATTTGATCTTCTATATTCATGGTTGGTTTTAGACTTTCGATAACCAAACTCAGGACAACGGAGGCCGCAGAATGGCTGCAAAACCAGTTGCGTGTTCTAGTTTTCTACCTGCCTGCTGCATCTGTCGCATTAGTCTGTCTTTATTGATTTTATCTCATATATGCTGGGGATAGGCAGCTTACCGCCTACAGAACAATTGGACAGAGATATTATTACAGACATGATAGGTTATGACAGAACCCCGGAAAATACCAAATGTTTAAAAAAAACGTTGATGCGTGGACGGTATCGTACGGGATAGACCTTTGGTTTATCATGTTATTGACCATCAAGGAACATCTGAAAAGAAAAGGATTGTAATCCATGCAATGCACCGTACACCTCTATAAAACAAACAGAAGGGCTTTTCTGGAAATGTCCACAGTTTTCTTTATATAACCAATGTGTACTCTACTGAGAAAATATATTTAATAACGATGTATAAATCCGTTGTCGTATTTCTAATTTTCATTGTTACAAGTAACATTCTCTGTCTTCATTAAAGGATTGGCTTAAAAAAGGAACTTATTAAACGTACTTCTGCGAACGGCTTTGGTTTTTTGGAAACCTGTTGAAATTTCCAGAGAAACTTCAATTAGAATTTTGTCTAAGGGCGAGATATAATAAGTGTTCCTCTTAGTTCTTATTGAAGTGCAACTTTGTTCGTTAAGAGTCAAGGTAGGCTTAACCGAGACCGAAATGCGACATAAAATGTTTGTGCAGTAAGGCTCAGACAGACGAACGTTCACGTCCACTCACCAGACCAGATAAACCATCCTGCCATTTTACAATGATTACTTGAAGACTCGTTAAAACCATGAAATATAAGGACTTAACCCCATTCAGAATACAAAGCTTGCCGTCTAATCCGTTAATAGACACTGAATAGATATCCCGTCGGGAAGTATTCAAGTGGGTCGGCCATATTTGACCCTCGGACTAGTTAGCCCTCTATTCTGAATGGGGCTTTAGTGAGACCAGTACAAGGTGCCGACGTACGAAACGTCTTTGAGAAACAACCAGGCTGTGCGCCCCCCCCCCTCCCCCCCCCAACACCATACGGTCGTGCCTTTAATGTGACTGGAAAAAGTATAGACTTGGAGATTCAAGAAGCCTCAGGTCTGCCAAACTACCACACGCCATAATGAAGAATATCACGTCTAACAAATCTAATAATATCCTGCATTATCTAACAATATTCTGTCTAACATTACCGATACGTTACGTGCATCTGGACATGCCTGACATGTCTGACATGTTTCCGCGCCCCGCAACAAATCGTCATCCTGCTTGCACTGTGTATTCGTGGCAATCGTTTCGGGTATTGGTCAACAGCCTGTGAGGATGAAATCGGGAGGCGCGTGGAAGGGGTTGAACGGATCGGGACGGGACGGGCATTACATTTTTTCTATGATGTTTGAGATACTCTTTTTGACAATGAGTCGTTTTTCATACAATGCAGTACGAACCTTCTCGTTTGTTCTTCTCTGTGGCATGGCTCCACGTTCCCTCAACCTCGTCCCAGGTAGAACGCTCACTCATAGCGCCGTCTTTAACGCTGTGATCCGTGTTCCAAAAAAGAAAACCTGTTCACACTTGCTTCACTGACTATGAAGCACAAGGCAAATTTGTGCTCGCTGCAACTCTCCACGTTTAATGTTAAATAAATGTGAAATTTGCCTCAGTATCAGGCCTTACTCTGCTCCATACTTACCGCAGAATGAAATAGAGTAAGGCCTCACAATGAGGCAAATGTGAAGTGAGAACATTGCCACCAATACTCTCAGTATTGCTCTTGGTAGGTAAGCAAGCAACCAAGCAGGAACTGGTCTTGGGACCATAAACAGTCAACAGCAACGCTCAGACATGCGCAGAATCTCAAATCCGCTGGGTCTAGATGACCTCATCAGACGACCAAGTTAATGTACTAGTGATATTTGTGGGTTTAAAACCCAGCAACAGCTCAGCAAGAAGCCAGCTGCTCATCTGTACTACTTTAAACTTAAGCCGCCAAAGACTATTTCAGCTGGGTGCCGCCATGCAGAGTGGGCTTCTACTGGACATGGAAAATTAAATAACTGCTGATTTAATGGATTCGTCTGATGGAGTCACGTAGGCCTATACCGGTTCAAGTGTATATCATGCCTTATTCAACATCAAACGAGACTGTCCAAGCATTGGTGATTTTGTCGTTCATACATTCCGCCAAGGCTCAAAGGCCGCACGCTTTGCCAGTGGTAATACCTCAATTTTTGCCCAAATTCCTGAGCAGGTGGTTTTATCTATGCTGCACACCGATCTTGAAATTTTTAAGTATGGTGAATTCTACTCCAGTATATAACAGCTTTGCGCCGTGACTATGCTCTGACCTCAGTCACCTTTGCAGAGCTGAACTTCTCCCTGGTATTGATTGCCTATGTCTCCGTTGCTGTAATAGTTTCATCATGAACTCCTCCGTAGTGTTATGAATATTACAGCCTATATGCAAAATTACTCACGGCGCTGAGTAAGCCGAAATAAATGTCGTCATCATCATATATTATAATTCTGACCTGTTCCAATAATAGTATTGAATGATTATATCTGTAACGCACGTAAAGAACAGATGTAACAAACAAGTCGGGATGTGTGACTGTGGGGCTGTGGCATGTTGACACAAAATGTGACACCTTTACATCTAGTGTGAAAACAAGACAGCGGAAACCGTGAGTTACAAGTATACTTTAAAATATCAAACACCGACTCCATTTTTCGCTTTGAAGCCGTACAAAAAGTTTCAACGTGCGGTCACTGTAATATAACGAATAGAAGATTATTCTTACTACATTTGCAATGTCACTTTATATGTCGAGGTTTTCATTATTAAGATGACATTTAATATGGCAAATTTATTGTTTCATTTAAGAGCAAAACGGCATTATTTAACTTTTTCAATTACTAATCTATATATATATATATTTAATTCACTGTATGTATTTATTAATTCGTTTTTGGTGGTACAGTTTCAGATTTTTTTCTATTTTTCAAAAAATAAAGACATTCCATTTTTAATATTAGACTTGTTGAAAAGGTTTTGTGTAACTGTTAGTGCAAGCAACACATACTGGGGTAATTGCTATTACCAATACATTATTTACATATGTACAAAAACACTTGAAATACGTACTCGCTTTGCATTGGCAGTTTCAAAACAGCTTTTCCATCATTGAGAAAATACTTCAGAAAATTGACTATTTAGGCTCACACTTGACGATCATTTTATGTTACGGTATTGTGAGCTAAACGAATAAATCAACTTGAAGACCAAAATGGAAAAATGGTTGCGCTTTTTGATTTGCCTTCCGTAATATTATGTATATTATATATGTTTTATTACGAAATAAATCTACTTTTCTGTGTATAATTTAATAATAATAAACTGTCATTGACAATACGCTCCTTACTTTTGTACACGAGGTCCGTGTCCTGGCTCATCACGTCCCTGTGGCGTCCCCTAGCGTGCGCGGTGCTCGCCATAGTACTTGGAGCACTGTTCTGGCGCGGCAGCTTCAGAGCTATCCTGGAGGTTTTGAAGAGAACAAACATTGGAGATGTGTTGTTATTGGTCTCTTCTTGAGTCTGAAAGATAAAGTACATGACATTAAACAAAAGACTGTCTGTTGAGCAGACCAATCCTAGATTTTGCATTAAAACACCTTTTTAACTGTGTGGTGGACATGAAAGGCAACCAAAGTTTTGTGTCTTCAGTTTCAGTTTCTTTCACGAAATATTTGGTATAATTTTAGCTACCTTGAGCGAGGTAGTCCGGGTGAAAGGTGTGATACGTCGCATGTTCGCCATCCTGATGCTGCAGATATATGCACGGACTATCTGCAATACCTGTGTCCAGGAAATGCCTGATGAATCTCTTTGTCCTTATAAGAACAACGGGCCACCTTCCGACTCCCAAATTGTCGACTGTTGAAAACACTGACTTCTATTGACTGTCTGATCTCCCAGGTTTAGTATTGGACCACTTTTGTTGTGCAGCTTGATCAAATAATGTGGCGATTCAGCAACATGTAAATACGGAAAGCCGTCTTGTCATGTAATTACATGGCAGCCAATTAGAACTTGAACCATGTTCGCGAGTAGAGCGAATGAACGTACTCTAGAACTTCTATGACCTTTTCCATGTATCCACTGCTGAGCTTATATCTCAGTAATTAAAAATTGGTAATAATAGGTATAAAAGCTGGATATTTCAAACCGTAATGGCTCGGCCTCCTTTTGACAAATATTGGATGGTCTGCGTCCGACACCAAAAGCCGACCGTATGTGGAGACGCGGGTACAGGTACCTTCAATCGATCACACGTCTGAGACAGCGTAATTACAGCATAACAGTGCTCCCCTCACCCCGCACGCTGATAACTGATAAAACTGCCTGACCTGACACACACAACTTCCAGGCAGCGTCCCAAACTTTGTAATTAATTGAATAGTTATCACTTCATCTATCACGAATTCTTCGAATGTGCACGTACAGTGCTGGCGTGTCTCGAAAATCAGAGCGCATTTCCAAACGAGCTATAACGACCTAATTTAGTCCGTGGCAGGGGCGGATCCAGAGATATTTTCTGACAGTCTTCCAAATTATCTTTGTGGATCCATCCTCCATTTTTGACCGTCTTCCGACAGAAAAAGATAGATACCTGTCAATATAAACTTGAAAATCTGACCGTCTTCTGGAAGACCCAGAAGACGGCCTAAATCCGCCCCTGCGTGGTATCTAAATAGATCATGTGGATGCAAATTTTGGCAATAGGAATAAAGTCTACAATACATGTGTGACGGCAAACGACTTGACTCAAATTTGGGCAGGTGACATTAACTACTTTACGAGATTGGAGGCTCCTGTGATGAAAAATCATTAATTCACACGATAGGCTGCGATCGAGAGCGCACCAAGATGAGTCCTTCATATTTAAATGGAAACACGCCTTCAGATTGCCTCGCCATTAACATTATAATGGTATCTGTATTTAATGTGATTTACAAACGCAGGTGTTCGCACGTACGGTACACAAGAGAGAGCGAAAAAACAACGTAAAAATCGTCATGTGTTAATTATTCAGCTCCCAGCTGTGATTGAAATCCATTTAGATAATGACAATCAGCGGTACTAGCTAGACATTTGCTGAATCATTCACAAGTCAGCACAGACAGCAAAAATTAGTCGACGACGGCGATTGTCGGAGCTGTCGACGTTGACAACCGCGGTCGCTCCGACGTTGGGCTATTAGTAAATGGCTTTAGCAGACTTACGTTAGCCCGTCTTGGGGTCATGGCGTTGTGTTAACTGCATAACCTGCATGTCTTTCCATTAGCCCGTTCTGTAGACAAGTTGCTTTGTCTGTATGTCTTTCCATTAGCCCGTTTTGTAGACAAGTTGCTTTGTCTGTATCTTCTTTTTTCAAGATTATACAAGGGGATATCTTTCCTTTTTTTTTTATGCTGTAGTACAGTTCCGGTTCGATACGTTATAATGCCAACATCTTTCATATTCAAATTAATATATTGATATGGGCGCAATAAAAATTGACGCTATTAGAGTAAAAACTAATCTTGTTGTTTCAAGCACCTTCCCCGTGCTTCCGCACATAGGCCTGTGGTGGCCAAGGATGTATCGTCAGTTAAGCTGCTTTGTAAATTGCTGTGAAGTGCTACATGTAATCGTTTTCAACGCACTTCAGAATTTTTTTAGTACTTTTATAAGGTACCAGTATTGTCATGAAAATTAATATGGTAAATAACTAGGGTGCGAACTACATTCGATGCCGTTGTGTGGTTTTATGTATTTTTGTTTATGATATATTGGCCCCTCATCACGATGTTCCATTAAACAAAGGCATTATTTCGCGTTAATACTGATAATTTTTATATTAGAAGTAAGCTTTTCAAGAAATTTTCCTGGCACTGTTTCCTCACGCGCACGTGTGTGTATGTTGCGTGTGCCAAAAATGCATTGCTCTTAATCTCGGTATAGATATTCTAACGGTTCATTCGTTTTAGTGTTCACCAAAATATTTTGTAAATAATCATTGAGCGAGTATTTCGATCATTAGTCAACGCCAGTCAACCTATCGTGGGGACATCCTATGTAAAGAACTTCGACATACTAGTATGAATTTATATCTGTGGCTTATGCAACGGCAAGTGACACTGATAGTGCACAATACATCGGTATATAAACATGTTGCATATTTACGGAGAAAGCATGCTTTGAATATTGCAATGAATACAACGGTGTACATAAAATAAACACGTAAATAAAATCAGGTTTTAGGAAATATTCATTATCCTTGTAATAACGTGTGGGTGATGGGTGCTACACAGTCCCTCTTATGAAAGGCTAACCACAATGCTTATCAATTGCTGACATATGTTCATCACGATAAATGATAACGAGAGAAATGTCACCGTTTTCTTAATTACTCGCCTGATTACCTCCTCTTTAAAGTCGTGACTTTCATAAAACGTGACACATTCAAGGAAATGGGATGCGGAAATTTTTGACCCCGTTCCCATATTTAGATCTATCTAGCTTGATCGACCCATCTCCGAGGGGTTCTCACTAACTCCTTGATTGCATTCAGCTTAAGTGGCTTAGATGTCTGGCACGCCTACTGAAGCTGCTTAACGATAGTTAATTACCCCCAAATAGCTTAACTTAATCTACCATTTTACATATCTGAAATAAAATCAATCCATTTGAAAAGTTGAAATTTTGTGGCTTCTTTTCCACGTTGCTAAGCTCAACTAATCTTGCCGGTTGACGCGTCTTGTTTTGACCACGAAAGGGAGGAGTTACTAGTATGTATAGATATATAGATACCCCGTAATAAGGCACCCAAGTTGTCTATCCGTTTGAGTCCCAAGTGACGTGTACGTGTTACGTGAAGCGCAAGGTCGTAGTCAGAAAAAATATGTCAGACAATAGGCAATCATATCCCGGGAAAATCGCTGTAGTTATTGACATGCCCGAACCAGTCACACTGAAGGTTAAAATACTGAAGTTGAGCATTAACAGAGTAAGTTAAGTATAATCAGTATCATTCACGTATTAGAAAAATTGATATATCTATCATGATGCATTCTAATATGATTAAAATGATTAATATTTATAGTAATCGACACGTTCCCAAAGTACATTTACCAATTTTTAAAGAAATTCTAGTCGCAAACTTGAGAAACTGTCGAAGAAGAGTCAATTATTCAGCTAACGCGTTTTTAGGCATACTTTTTAACTCCTGACGATTCAGTGCAGGTGTAGAGTCTAGCCTTTATGTTAACGAGGAAATCATTCTTAATTGACGATGTAGTGCACTTCGTACCATTTTCTTTCTTAAAACTGGTATAAAATGAGTGATGTCTTTTTTACCTGTTGATGTACCTGGAAGCGTTTTTCAAAACTCAATTTTCCTTACAAGCGATTGGTTCTAGGCTTAATTATATAACCACTGCAGAAAAAAATCACCAATATTGGATTAGTTACCGACAAAGTTGTAAAGAATAATCAGGAGTCGCAAATCTAAAGAGAAACGGTGGAATTTCACGTTATAAGTGAAAAAAGCTAAACGAAGCGACTTGAAGGAAATCGGTGGCAGTACTCCTGCACGGCTCATATTTGTCGTTGGATTTTTCGATACGAGCCCAGGTATGGCAGAACACGGAACATCAAGACACCACAAATGTCACTTTCACCCGAAAATCGTATATATTGCGTCATCAGTAAAATGGCCATTTTATTATAATTAAATAACAACCAGATTAATGGGTTTTACCCTGGTATTGGCTGAAAGGCAAGGCTGTAACATATCTTTAACAATAACATCACAAAATAGGCAGCTCACATTACTACCGGAACATTAGTTGAAGCTATGAACAGCAGATACTTACATGTTGTAGGAAAACAAAGAAGATCCACTCTAAGGAAACTCCACCTTCGTTCGTCGCCGAGAGGTGATTTCGTGGAAAATATGACAAACAGACTTCGTTTCTCTACTAATAATAATAATGTAGCGGAAAAGGCTTCGTTGAAACAAGACCCGTGAAATCGTGACAGCAAACAACAGTAAGCTCTCACGATATCAGATGACGCCAGGTGGGTTGCAGGTTTGTGCGTCTGATGCACGAATACGCGGCAACGATACGGCTTCGTTCAGGAAATCGTGCAAATCTTTACACGCAAAAATATTTATAACCATTTATTATTTGTGTCTTTTTATATCAGTTAATCACGTATCTTTTATCATTTTCAGCTGCAGTTACATAGGTCGTGCTCTGATCATGAAGCTATTAAAAAATCTCTTCCCATAAAGCTGATGTCAGTTGTCTTATGCCTTCTCATGCATATGGAAGTTACAAAAACGACGACTTTCCACCGCCATCCATTGATTTTCTTATTCTGTACTACTGGTTCTAGTATGAAAAAGAAAAGTCAATCTTCTTTACCGTGTTTTCCAGGCCTTTTTGTACCTCGCAGTGCAGCCAAGAATGTTTATATGGCGTAGAATTAACATGGTTATTACTCTAAACTTCAAACATTTTGCAAAGCTAGCTGCTGCTCGCTGCGTGTTCTATTACAGATAGGTCTGGATCATTTTTTTTTTTTTGTTAACCCCACGACTACACCACCTTTTAACTTTTTATCCAAAACTTTTTGTTCAAACGCGTTATGAAGTTGATTCAGTGTCAAGAGATAGCATTGGTGCCTCAGCGCGACTCAAAAGTTAACATAATTAATTGCTATTAACGGTTACCTGTCTACGTCCTGGTGCTAGTCTCCCGACGATTTTAGTCAAAACGGCCCTGAACGCGACTCATGGCTTAGCTTTAATCGTCATTGATTTATAAGATGCTCTGTGTTTTCTTTTACTTACATTATCACTGGACATTCTTGTTGATTATCTACACTTATCAATTCAGACTTGTAATTCTTATCCTCGCTTACTGCCAGCATGTCTCACTAAGGATCAATTTATTCACGTATGTCACCATTCTGCCATCTGCGTGTAGGCTACGTGTCGTTTTGTTCCAATTCTTACAATAAGTGCAGGTACACAATAATCATCATCATTTTTCACTGCGTCTGTCAAAAGGCCTCCATTTTATTTTACATTTGGAATGAACTACGGAGAATTATATTTTTTTACTCCCCTCCATCTGTCTGATATACATTCATAGGTAAGTGAGTTGCACTAAATGATACAATAGGAATAATAGTAATCGTTTTGCAAGCGTTATTCCGGTCTCGGGTACTAGTAGGAACCCAGCAGCCAAGTCAGACCCAGAAAAGGTTGGATTTTCGAGACCACTATTTTTTTATATTTCCCTCAAATTGTGCCCTGTCATTATATCACCTATATAACATGGTTGTGTGTGTGCGCGCGCGCAAATCATGGTGAAAAAAATCTGGCTGCTCCTAGTTTTACGCTAGTTTAGCTAATAGCATTCATCAGAGGCTAATCGCAAATGTCGCAGAGAAGGCTACAGTAGCACCTATAGCTTAACGGCAATCCAATGCGGTTGTGATGTATATCAAGTTACACAAAATCGGCAAATTTTCCGATTTTTTTCCCTACCTTCGAACTGAATGTGATAGTTGCACCAAACGCAGCGCAATCTGCCTGGATGCATTGTGCCATGTTTTGCGCAGTAGTGGGTCATCATCGTTTTACTAAATTAGCGTGATTAAACTTAAGTAGTACAACCTTAATTTCCAGTTTTTTAAGGCCACCAATATATTCAATATCCTTCACAATGTCAAATATTTCATCATTCACGTTTTGCAGTGAACAATATCTATCGTTAAATTATAACGTGAACTTCGGCGTTTTTTTTTTAAGTGCAGTTGTAATTAAATATAAAAGTGGTCTCAATCAACAAAATGTATAGATAAAAAGAAAGACAAAAAGAAACACACACACACACACACACACACACACGAGAGAGAGAGAGAGAGAGAGAGAGAGAAGAACATGCTTCATCCCAGAAGTATTCTCAGCCAACGCATTCGATAATAAGAGCATCTTGTTGAAGATCGCCACCCTGTGTGCAAGTTAGAAACTAAAGTTCCGAGAGAGAAGACGGTGTTACTGTAATCAGGTAGGACTTTAGAATATTTTCGTGTCACGGTTTTATGAAGTAGACCAGCTCCCATGATACTTATGTTGCAGCGTACATTAGATTTATGTGCAATTCAGAATGCAAAATTGAATTTCAAAGACAGTGGATTTTTCTTGTACATACGGCGATCGGCTTTTCTGTGCACAAACAAGCTACATGTGCATGTATGATGTATTGTTTATATATTTTGTCAAGATACGGGATCCATCTGTGTTAAGAGACGGTGTTTTGTTGTTAGTACTATTTCTTGATTATCTGCGCATTTGCGTTATTGTGCTTAAGATAATGTTTGCCCACAGGTTCTTCAATATTGCAACTGTAGGACGTGTTAAAACCGGTATTTGTATATTTGGGCACATTTAACGTTAGTGTTATTTGGTACGTTAATAATATTCCCCGTCCGATAATGTTTATATTGGATGTTTTTTCTAAATAATTCAGTTACGTGGAGATTTTGATCAATATTTCACCGTGGTATTTTTTGTGGTTTTACAAGAAACGTCAAGCCCACTGAGGTAAATAAATAAAACAAAACACTGAAAACCAAAGACTTTTTGGGGTGGGACTTCATAACTGTCTTTCGGTTAACATAGGTATGAAGTAGCACTTTCAAACAGAAAGTCTGTACAAAAACAGCATACTAGTAGTTGTCAAGTGCCCCAGTTAACACCCCTCAAACGCACATTTTTATCAGATATTCACTATGTTAATGCCTGTGTTTTTTTCAGACTTATTTACTTGCATTATTTTCTAAATGTAGACAGCTGCTGTATGGAGGATAGGCATTCGCAGACAGAGATAAGTTTATCAAACCATTCTTGTTGTAAATAAATAAAATATTTTCAATTTCAGTGTTTTCCTGAGATGCATTTAAACCAGATTGATACGAAATGATTAATTATAAAAGTAATGCAGAACAAACTGAACATTTGGAGTCATGGGCCCATTTAGAATAGGGGACTAAATAGTCTGAGGGTCAAATATGGCCGACCCACTTGAATACTTCCCCACGGGATATCTATTCAGTGGATAAGATGGCAACCTTTGTGGTAGGTGCCATATTTGCCCCTCAGACTAGTTAGTCTCCTATTCTGAATGGGGCGGATATTAGTACTGTAACACCCCTCCCCTTCCACAAATTTTTATATACTTAATACAGACTTTGTAAAAGGATTTTGAGATTTTATCCATAATTGAACATCTTATTTACAGTACATATGCTATGCCAGATGGAATGCCCTGGCTAGAGGAACAAGTGTGCATATTCAGGTCATTGCATCCTGATAGATAAAACAATCAATTAGCTATTTGCTGAATGGACTTTGGAGGAACTCTGTACATTGAATAACGTAGAATACTGAATGGCAAAGAGACCCTCGTCAAATAAATACAGAGTGACAGAGTACATGCATGTTTTAAATCAAGAATAAATTATAAGGTACTGTATAAATTACGTAGTGCAGATAACTATAAATATACTAATATATCTTTTCAGAGATGTATTTGTTTCTAATCTTCTTCTTATATAGACTAGTTTATTAGTTCTGACTGGATATGAAAACCATTCAACCAGATAGGCTGTGTCAGCTGATGAAGTGCTCCTTCAGCCATTTTGTTAAGCACATGTTAGTGTGTGGTTTGGGGAAATTTGATTATAAGACATTACATGTATATATGGGTCATTTAGATAGATTGATTTTTGTTCACCCAAAGAGATTTCATGATCTGGTCGTGACAGTGGTACGAAAAAATGAGAATGCAAAAACTTAAGCCAGTCCAATGTATGTCTCTGTCTGGTCTTTTCATTTCTGTTCAGTGGACACTGTATTTTATAAGAAAGAAGTCAGTGTGAACTGTGAACTAAAACTGGTTTGCAAAAAGTTGACACCCAAAATGACCCTCACATTTTAACCTGCTGGAAAGGCCTACTAGTAAATAGTAAACATAAACTATGCTAATGTCCTGAAACATGTAGGTCTATTTAAAGTGTTCCTTTTAAAAGTTGAAATGGAACATTAATTCCTTGCCTTTTTTATTTTAGAGACGAAATTGAATAGTAAAGGTTCCACTGCGGTAACCTGACCTCCCAGTCATGTGTGGGTGTATAATTTTCATAAAAAATGACACTGTCATGCATATGAGGAGTCTTACTCATAGAATGTCACAAGATTTCACTTACTGTATGACTGTGGTCTTTTTGTCTATGTATTGTCTTTGTTTTATTAAAGACACTGGTTTTGACTTGACATTGTCATGAGCAGTTGGGTATACATACGTGCTTGTGAATTATAGAGGCCTATAATAATTCCAGTCTTGTTATATAGTGTGCATATATTACCTAGTGTGTACTGTACATTATACAGAATTGGAACATGAGGAACTACTCAAAGGAAAACATCAACTGTAATATTTTTTGCATGCCCGTCTGCTTGCTACCTGTTTGAGCTCATGATCACTTTCTTTCTCCCCCCTCCTCTCTCTCTCTCTCTCTCTCTCTCTCTCTCTCTCTCTCTCTCTCTCTCTCAAAACCCCCATAGAATATTTCTGAGTAGGTCTACATGTCTACTTGCTTACTAGTTTGTGTGATGTGTATACACTTACAACATAATTTTCACATTGCATGCAGTAACTATCTCCCTGAGTGAAAAAATCTAGCTCTTAATGCACCAAAGCCACTGAACCAGGTTTCAGAATGTGCAATTTTGTGTCCAGTTAATCATTCAAATGCAGCTGTACATGCCAATTAATATCATATCATGTCATTACAGTGTTTTTACTTAGTCAGAATTTGATCATTACTACCTCCCTAGCCTGCTGGCATTAATGACATCAACAAGTCTCTCTGGACTTGTCTACGGTGTTGGTCAACCCATGTACCGCTTCAAATGCATTCAGTTTCAAAATGTGGGGTTGATTGAATTACTTCATGCAGATATCACTGACAGCCCATTTACTAGCATGATGCTGTGTAACTCGGTTTGATGTTTAAATTGGCTTATAAATAGAAATCATTGAATAGGGCTTGTACACATTGAGACTAAGATTGGAAGTGACTGCTGCTGACCTGATGACTTGAAGGACTCCCTCCCCTCCCCCCCAATGGTAGGTTGACTTTGAAAATGTAACATGTATAAAAGGGTTTATACTGTCTGACCATTTTGGTAAGCAAATGTTAGTGTTGGAAAATTTAATTACTGGACATAGCATGTATGTGGCTCATTAAGATAGATTGATTTTTAATTACCCCAAGAGATCTGGTTATGACAGTGGGAGAGAAAAATGATGAATAATTGTATAAATTCTATAAATTGTAAACATGAAATATTGGGTTAGAAATGTCAGTTATTGTTTTTTTTTTTCTTTTCTTTCTGGGTCAGTTCATGGTGAAGAAAATCTTAAGGCATGTTTACATCCAACTTAAGTTGGGACGACTGTTCTCAGTATAACTCTTCTCCTCTGGCTGTCTAGCTATAGGTTATAGTGCCAGTGTCATGTCTAGGAGGTGTGGGGGAGAGGCTGAAGGGAAGAACAGAGGAGGTCTAAAGGGGTGGGGAAGGGAGAGGCTCATCAGCCAGCCTTCTGAACAGGGTTGGACTGCCAAGGGGGGGGGGTGGCTCATTTTGTACTTTTCAGTTAGAAAAATAATAAAAATTAAAGAAAAAACAAGGCCTTATGAATTTATCTTAAAGGTTATGTTTGCAAACATAATTTATATGATAGCATGGGACAAGATCCTCAGCTGTACTACAGTGTAGCCACCCATTAAGTCATCATATTGAATGTTGTGGTTAACACCTGAGGCAGCCTGAGTATGTACATAGCTGGCAGGTGTTTTACAAGGAACCGGCTGCTGTGGAATAAGGAATAATGATACTTATAGATCTTTGGAATTAATGGTAAAAGTAAGGGGATTTTCTATACCATGCACTTCATATGCAGGGGCGTATCAAGAGATATTTTTTGACAGTCTTCCCAATTATCTTTGTTGATCTATTCTCTATTTTTGACCATCTTCTGACTGAAAAAATTAGATGTACCCGTCAATGCAAACTTTAAAATCTGACCCTCTTCCCAGAAGACGGCCTCAATCCGCCCCTGATACAGGTTGGGTAGACTGGGCAAAAATCACTAATTAGTATTAATAGTTTCTCCCATTATAACTGAGGATTTAATTGCAGCCTCAGGCCAGTCATGGTGCAATTAGTATAGCATTAGGTGTACACATGAACAGGTGTGCTGTGAAAAGGGGTTGTTATAACAGTTGTAGTATATACCTATATGTGACTGTATTACATATAACCATCACTGTGTTAGCAGCTAGATAAACATAGGTGAAATACACCACACAATTGTCTTAAAGATGCATTTTGAAGTCAAATTTTAAGCATGGCAATACACATACACAGTGTAATCTAACCATGTACTGTACATGTACAGTACATTACATGATATTTCTTGAGCTCCATTAATGCAATTATTAATCAGCAAATTTAAACAAATTTCCGATTATTATGATTTAGCTATATTATCCTGCATTTCCAAAATGATGTTTTCTTTGTGATCATTTGTCTGATAATATATATTGGGTCAAGTAAGGCATATGTGTCACATATAGTGTAGTACTTATGGTTTATGTATTTATGGATCTTGAGGCAAAATGTAAAGAAATGAGTGAGAGAAATTGTAAATAGTGAGAATATCTGTGAAAGAGACTATGTTACTGTATATATTTCATTCTGATGTCCGCTTTTGCAATTGCAGTGTAGACTACCTAATTGTACACAAACCTAATAAGGAAATTAATTTCATGATGCAAAAAACTGGCAAAATTGGATTTATTACTACCTGTGCTTTTTAGGTCAACAGCTTTTCACCAATCATATATTATGCACATAACTAGGTCTCATTGTATTGGATTCAACTTTTCAGAACATAGAAATGTTCCTTATTATGTTCAGCAATGAGAGATATACATGTAA